GTTAGAGACACAGTAAAGCTCCCTCTATACTGCCCTGGACAGCACAGTGTGTTGGGGACGAGTCAGGCTGATGCTGTGGCTGTTTATTCCACCTCTATCTTCTTGCCGTACTTTGAGTGAACGTCATTGCCATAGTAACAGCTCAGAGCGGGCTATAATCAGCGTGTCTCAGCCCCCGCACAGCCACCGGCTGCCGAGCAGCAACAATGAGAAAGAGAGAGAGTGTGGCTGGGATTATTAACCCTCCATTGCCCAGTGCCTGCTCATATCAGGGAGCTCCCACCCTCATCCACTCAACTCTCACCAACACAGAGTCTTACAACAACAACCTGAAGGTGACTGTAGACATGGTTGAAGAGGAAGGTCTTCAATAAATGCGCTTGAAGACCTTCCTCTTCTACCACGTGTGGTGGGGTAACTGCTGGAGTCTAACCAGCTGAAACCCATCGCTCCAATCTCTTGTCTGTAAAAGGCATTGTAACAGCATCATAACAGCCGGAAATGATAAAATAGCAGCCGGTAATGGCATAGTAACAGTCGGTAATGGTAAAGTAACAGTCGGTAATGGCACAGTAGCGGCCGGTAATGGTAAAGTAACAGTTGGTAATGGTACAGTAGCTGCCGGTAATGGTAAAGTAACAGCCGGTAATGGTACAGTAGCGGCCGGTAACGGCACAGTAATGGCTGGTAACGGCGCAATAACAGCCGGTAACGGCACAGTAACAGCCGGTTGTGTGTTTGGAGAATCTGGTGACATGGGGTAACGGAGCCACTGAACAGCCACATACACGTCCTGCGTCCCAGCCCCAATGTGGTGGGAATGGTCGTCCCTGTGAGGAGAATAATAATAATCCTTGAGTTTGATACAAAGCCTTATCACATCTTTCAGACGTCTCAAAGAGCTTCACAGGAAGCAGGGAATGATCACCCCCCCTTCTCAGCTGGGAACCAGAGATGGTAACGTGTGGTCAGGAAGTTGAGCACAGACGCATTCATCGAGAATCTACCTGCAGGGAGGCCCGGAGTGCAATTGTCCTGTCACTTACCCTTTACTGACTGCCTGGCAGCACGTGGTCAACACAGCCAGACCACAGCCTTGCTCGCTCTCCCCTGGTCACCAGGAGCCCACAGTCTCTCGCTCTGCCGGTCACCAGCTCAGCACTCACAGAGGGAAGTGAGGAGATGCTGACATTAGCTGAGTACACTGGGTGTGTGTGTGCTGTGCCTCAGTGTATGTACCTCAGTGTGCACTGTGCCTCAGTGTGTGTGTGCCTCAGTGTGCACTGTGCCTCAGTGTGTGTGTGTGCGCTGTGCCTCAGTGTGTGTGTGCGTTGTGTCTCAGTGTGTGTGTGTGCGCTGTGCCTCAGTGTGTGTGTGTGTGTGCGCTGTGCCTCAGTGTGTGTGTGCGCTGTGCCTCAGTGTGTGTGTGTGCGCTGTGCCTCAGTGTGTGTGTGTGTGCGCTGTGCCTCAGTGTGTGTGTGTGCGCTGTGCCTCGCTGTGTGTTAATGTAATGTCTCCCTGTGTGTCACAGACTGTGGGCGCTGGGGGTGTAACTGGCAGCACTTGACGTGTTACAGGGCAGACCTCAGTTTCTCTGCTTAATGAACGGGTGCGGAGGCTGCTACAATCTGGGCAAAGTCTGTTCCCTCTTTTATTACATTAAAAACTTCTTGCTCTCGATGTGAAAGCTGTGAGATTAGCCTTTACGTCAAGCTTCTCCCTCGCTCCTCTGTCTGTCTGTCTGTCTGTCTGTCTCCTTCCTCTCTTTCTTGTTCCCTCCTTTTCCTACTTTCTCTCTCTGTCTCTCTTTCCCCTTCCTTCTATCTTTCCCTCAATCTCTCCCTTTTTTCCGATCCTTCTAATTCCCACTCTCTCTGTTTCTCCTTCCTTCTTCCTCACTCATCCTTTGGATCAGACATTAAGCGAACACGATTGGAAAAGAGAAGGGAGTTTCTCTCTCTCTCCTGGTGTCCTGGCCGATAATCCCCAAAATTAAATTGCTTCTTCGCTACATGGCTAACTGGTTGCCACATTCGCCCCCCAAAATAACACAGTCACTCCACTTTACGGTATATCCTGTGAAGCGCTTTGAGATGTCCTCCTGATATGCGCTAGACCAAACGTAAGTATTATTATTATTATTGATCCTTTTCCCTCCCTCCCTTCCTTTCTCACCTCCTCCTCTTCTTCTCTTGCCCTCTATTCCCTCCTCTTTATCTCTCTGTCTTTAGTAAACTATGTTATTTCCTCCGCACTCTCCCCCTTGCTTGCAGGGGGAGTGGGGTGGGGGTGAGGAGTTTATTTGTCCTGAACTGTTCCTGATCAGCAAGATGGTTCCCTGGTCCCCTTTCCCCCCACTCCACCAACTGTGTGACACCCAAAACCATACACACACCAACCCACGACTGTTTATGGGGACGCTGCTGTTCGCAATTGGCTGCCGCGTTTCACTCAAAATATGCAGTCAATTCACTTTACAGTATATTCTGTGAAGCGCTTTGAGACGTCTCGAACATGTGATAAGGCGCTATATCAAATACAAGGCTTATTATTGTTATTCTTATAATAAATACACCTATTATATAGCGCCTCCACAAAAGCCCTGAGCTGAGGAGCTCGCTGTGGCTGGCATTAGTGGGCTGACCTGTGCTGAGACCCTGCTCTACAATAACACAGCACTAGCAGTAATTGCCGTGAGTGGTGGGACTCGCACATAATGGAGCTGGGGCCGGGCTAATTATGCTGAAGTGCACTGAGCATTGAGGAGGCCGTGTTAGTCAGCGCAGCTCGGCTATGAATCACTCACGGCTCACAGCCCTGAGCTGCAGCGTGACTAAGACAAGTGGTTACCAAAGCAATCGAAATTCCTGCATCCAGATATTTTTAGACTGAACGAGGCATTCAAACATAACCTGAGCCGTTAATCAGCAGTTACTTACATTAAACCACAGCACTATGCCACTCGCTAAAACATTTTATATTAAACAGCAGGATGTCAAAGCAATGTGACAGTAAAAGGTTAAGTTTGTCATGGGGATGAGTGGGGAACTGTATCCATTGGGATCCTGTATAGTGGGAATAAACATAGGAAGGGGTTTAGACCATTGGAATCCTATAGTGGGATGGGGATCAAATGCAAGGATTATTATTATTATAATGAGGTGATAATGCAAGGATTATTATTGAGGAAGTAGCAGTTAGTCATTGCCATGTGTATCTGCTCCAGAACAAGAACAATGTCCGTAGCTCATGAACAACTGGGACTCAAACCAACTTCCCTGAAAGCAACAGGTGCTGTTGGCTCTCAATTAACCAGCAATGAACGGCCAACGGCACCAGCTTTGGCCTGCATTACTCTCTGATTTGTTTTTGCCCAGATGGGTGTCTGACACATGACAACCCACCACCGTGATCAGTCTGACACACATGGAAACCTGTCACCTGCTTAAGAGTCTCCAAACCTAACCGAGAATTCCCCATATCCGTCTACATCCCCAAGATAAAGTGCTGTGAGACGCCGTCCAGCATGGAGGGCACTATATAAATCCAAGTTGTTGTTGTTGAGATAGATTGTTGAAATGGAATGCGCTCTCTCTTGAGGGACACATCCTGTTTACCTAATTCCGGACAGCATTAGGCTCAGGTTGGTGAGAGCCAAGTCTTGGGGACTCCAGGGTGTGCACTGGGGTAACTGCTGGACTCTAACCAGCTAAAACCACACAGCTTGCCATGGAGAGTGCTGTCTGACACGCTTCCCCGCTGCCTGGGAAGCCCCGAGTGCGGGTTGGAGTAACTGCTGTGACTGAGATGTAATTTACAGGAAGGAATAATCACTGAGGAGCTCACACTGGGCTCAGGCCGACACCCCGCGATGGAGCCCTGTAGATTGGGTTTCCTGGAGTGGGTCCATCAGCTCACAATGGCAAACCAACAGCACACCTCGTCCACAGGGCACAGAGTCTGCGCCGCAGTACCTCACACCACAGACACCGGTGCAGGACAGACAAGCGGGGCCGGGGGGCAGTGGGCGGGGCCGGGGGCAGTGGGCGGGGCCGGGGGGTGTGGGCGGGGCCGGGGGCGTGGGCGGGCCGGGGGGCTGTGGGCGGGGCCGGGGGCAGTGGGCGGGGTCGGGGGGCAGTGGGCGGGGCGGGGGGCTGGGCGGGGCCGGGGGTGTGGGCGGGCCGGGGGGCAGTGGGCGGGGCCGGGGGCAGTGGGCGGGGCCGGGGCAGTGGGCGGGGCCGGGGGGCGTGGGCGGGGCCGGGGGGTGTGGGCGGGGCCGGGGGCAGTGGGCGGAGCCGGAGGGCTGTGGGCGGGGTCGGGGTGTGTGGGCGGGGCCGGGGCAGTGGGCGGGGCCGGAGGGGCCGTGGGCGGGGTCGGAGGGCTGTGGGCGGGGCTTCCATTGGCTGCGGCTCATGAATATCAATGAGATGTTAATATGACGCGTTTACATTCACATATTAGCGGCACCGGAAGCAGCAACTGATAGACACACACACAGCCCCACAGCCACACCCACAGCCACAGCCCCACACACATAGCCACAGCCCCACACACACATAGCCACAGCCCCACACACACATAGCCACAGCCCCACACACACAGCCCCACACACATAGCCACAGCCCCACACACACACAGCCCCACACACACAGCCACAGCCCCACACACACATAGCCACAGCCCCACACACATAGCCACAGCCCCACACACACAGCCACACACACACACACAGCCTGGGATAGAGAGAGAGAGACAGGCCTGGGGCGGGGGGGAAGGTTGTTGAAGCAGGGCCTCACTCAGGTGTGTGAGCTGCAGTGCTGTGTGTGTGTGAGTGTGAGAGCTGCTGTGTGTGAGTGTGAGCTGCTGTGTGTGTGAGTGTGAGCTGCTGTGTGTGAGTGTGAGCTGCTGTGTGTGTGAGAGCTGCTGTGTGTGTGTGAGAGCTGCTGTGTGTGTGTGTGAGCTGCTGTGTGTGAGTGTGAGCTGCTGTGTGTGTGTGAGTGTGAGCTGCTGTGTGTGAGTGTGAGGGCAATGATGGGGGTGAGGGGCTGTCGGCATGTGCTCCACACGCACTGTCCGGGGCTGTGGGGAAGGGCCACCGTTACACAGGCGCTGCTCTCTGCCCCGCAGTGGCCAACACAGGCCTCGGGCAGAGGGGCTGAAGGCCGCCCCACCCCCCACAGCAGCTCCCGGGACAGGAGGCTGTGCTCCCACAGCCGGGACACGGGAGGGGTCGGCACCGGCCCTCGGGATCCTCACCCCCCGACAGGCGGCGGCAGTCACAGGTGGCAATGCCGAGCTCGGCCTCCGCAGGGGAAGCGGACACCCGGGAGCCCCGGGGCCCCGGGTACCGGGAGGCTGGCACTGAGCAGACGGTATGGGACGAGAGTCCCTCCAGCGCACAGCGCCCCGCGGCGCCCCCACAGCCCTGAGAGCTCACAGCTCACACTGCGCACACGGGTCCTGGTGGCCTCGGGCCTGGGGGCCGCGGTCCTGGGATGGTTCCTGTACCTCCGTTGGGAGAAGAGGAGACAGTGTGAACGGCAGCGGCTGCAGAACGTGGTGTTGGGTCGCGGAGATTTCCAGCTGCTCGACCACACGGGGAGACCGAGGAGCACCAGTGACCTGCGGGGCCAGTGGGCGCTGCTGTACTTCGGGTTCACTCACTGCCCCGACATCTGTCCCGATGAGCTGCTCAAGATGACCAGTGTGGTGGAGATGTTGGACAGGATCCCAGCGCTGCCTCGGGTGCAGCCCGTGTTCATCACTGTGGATCCTGAGCGGGACGGGGTGGAGGCCATGGCCAAGTATGTCAAGGATTTCCACCCTCGGCTGCTGGGGCTGACGGGCTCGGCCGAGCAGATCAGGGCGGTGGGTCAGGCCTATAGGGTGTATTACAGTGTGGGGCCCAGAGACCAAGACAATGACTACATTGTGGACCACACCGTCATCATGTACCTCCTGAACCCGGACGGGATCTTTGTGGATCATTACAACAGGAGCAGAAGCGACCACGAGATGGCACAGAGTATCCAGAGCCACATGAAGAGCTCCGTCAGGCTGTCCAGCCAGTGAGCAGGTGAGGCCCGGGAGCCACACGAGGGGAATCGGGGGCCGCCCTGTTTGTCTGTGCATTTTACAGTGAAGGCGGTTTCCCTCTCTGTCCCGGTGTCCTGGTCAACAATCCCCCAACTCTCACTGCTCACTCACTCCATGGCCATTGTGGGATGTTGCTGGTTGTGTATCCTGTGAACAAGTCGAGTTTCTCATGACGACAATGATAAGGCACTGTATCAAATGTAAGAATTATAGAATTATTATTAAATTGTGTGAAACGCTTTGAAACATTCTTCCGATGTGAAAGAAGATGTATCAAATACAAGGATTATGTTAATATAAATGGATTCAGTTCAGAGATCACACATCAGTTCAGGCTGCAGTGAGTATTGTTCCATCTCCCTCCCCTCCAACCTCAGCCATGATCCACCTGCAGTGATCACAGGGGAAAGTGAGGAGGGTGGGGGGTGGGGGAAGGAAGAGTGAGTGAGGGAGAGAGGGAGGGGAGAGTGAGGAGTGAGGGAGGAAAGGGGAAGGAAGGGAGAGCCAAGGGAGTGAGGGAGGAAGGGAGAAGGGCTTCCTCTTCACTTAGACACAATACAGAGTGAGCTTTTACACTTTACTATGATTTTAATTTACAAAATAGAAAAGTTCCATATAGTTTGTGTTTTGCCAAGAGGATGAAAATGGCTTTAAAATGATAAGTCAGGATAGAATAAAGGTTCCTGAGGTTTAAGCAAAATATAAGGGGGGGAAAGAGAGAGTGTGAGGGTGTGTGGGGGGTAGAGGGTGTGTGGTGGTAGAGGGGGAGGCTGGGATGAGGTGGGTGGGGGCCAGGCGGCGCTCAGTTGTTGGAGACGGTCGTGGCTCTGTAGGTATTGAAGCGATCGTGTGCCCTCTGTTTGCTCAGCAGTGTGAGCGTCATGGTGTCCACAGCCTGATACAGTCCGTCCTCCTGCCAGATGTCCACTGTGTAGTCATTGGCCTGGGAACAATGAGCAGTTACAGACAATGTTCATCACAGCAAAGAGCAGCCCATTCTCCCTGGGGAGCTGACAGTGAATATACAGTACACTCAGCACAGAACGATGGGGGTGAGAGAGAGAGCAGGGAATGGGGTTAGAGTAGAGAGCTCCAGTGGGGGAGCGAACCCCAGCACAGACACCATGGGGAGAGAGAGAGAGCAGGGAATGGGGTTAGAGTAGAGAGCTCCAGTGGGGAGCGAACCCCAGCACAGACACCATGGGGAGAGAGAGAGAGCAGGGAATGGGGTGCGAGTAGAGAGCTCCAGTGGGGAGCGAGCCCCAGCACAGACACCATGGGGAGAGAGAGAGCAGGGAATGGGGTGAGAGTAGAGAGCTCCAGTGGGGGAGCGAACCCCAGCACAGACACCATGGGGAGAGAGAGAGAGAGCAGGGAATGGGGTTAGAGTAGAGAGCTCCAGTGGGGAGCGAGCCCCAGCAGAGATGGTGTCACAAGACCTCACTCACCAGCTGTAGGGAGGCCAACATGTAACGGCAAACCTCAAACGCTTCCTTTCCAGCCACAATGTTTCCGAACCATTTTCTCTGACCAACACTATCAAACTCGGCCATAATTCTGTCCCCGTAATCGTGGATGTCAAAACCGCCTCTCTGCTCCTGTGGTGAGGGAGAGCAAGGTTTCCACATGTCGCTGTGTGTTTGACACTGCTCTATGTACAGTCAGTCACGAACTCCAGCCCACACTTCAATATTGTTACTTCTCAACTGCTCATCCGGCTTCCTGCTGAGCAACACTAGTCATCCAACCTCAACAGTCACCATGACAAGTCATTGGAAAGCCTCCCTTCCCACCTCTCCTCCATCACATCCGCTCTCTCTCACCCCATCACATCCTCCCTCACTCTCATCCATTGAGGTCCCCTCTCTTAGCTCCAGCGTAAAAAAAACATTTAGCTCAACTCCATCTACTGTCTGGTACTGAGCATTAACCCCGTATGAGATGGTGATTCAAGGCACAAGAAAAATAACAGCACAATATGACCCAGCTCAACACATGGAATACAAGGTGCTGTAAATGATAGAGGAAAAAGATGTTATGGTATGTTTAATTGTATATCGTAGCTTGTGCCCTGGCCTATTGCTGTGTAGACGCCTTTAAGCAGACATAAGTAAGTAGGTTAGACATGTTATTATAGAATCCCGTTATCTGAAGGCCACAGTGTAAGGAACGGCGGGTGATAACATAGAAATGGCCTTCCAGCAAAACTGCAAGATTAGTACAGTTGAAACAAGCTGAAGCAAGAAGTGTGGGAACGCATGCAGCAAACCGGATTGGTCTGTAAGGAAAAACACCCCTTCTGTGTATTTTGTGTACTCCTGTATAAAACTTAATGGTACCGAAGAAGAGGATCTTTTGTCTGACAGGGAGACATTAGATCCTATTTGTATACGGGAACAATTGTGTGCTCCTGTATACAAGTAGAAATAAAAACCCATTCTTTGTTTCTTAAGTTTACTTGTATCAGATTTTTTCTCTCCAGATACAGACACATAATTTGCAGATCTAACACAAGTGTCATCACATAGGAAATGGCAGCTACCTTCTCGCCCTCCCCGCACACTCTCACACCCACTCTCACATACTCACACCCTCTCACAACTCACATCCACTCTCTCTCACATTCACCCACACTCACTTTCACACTCAAAGTGACTCACGCACACACTCACACAAACACTCTCACACACTCTCACACGATGAACCATTATTTGGATTACTGCCCCGTTTACCTGCTGCTGCATTCTGGGTACTATCTTCTCCTCCCAGTCGCGGACCCTAAGTGAGAGTGCGGTCTCCTGGGCGTATTGCTGGGAGTTGGCAATAAACAGCTCCTGCAACACAGAGGGTCACAGCTGAACACAGCACAGGAGGAGTGGTGGAACCCATGGAGCCTCCCCTGGTTTAGTAGATCATGAGATCTTTCAATCCCATTTCCCCAAATCCCCTTAACACTCAACTGTCCATCTCCCCTTCAAACATCCCAATCTTTACAGCCTTTACTGCCTTCTGGGCTGTGTGTTTCACACTCTGTTAGCTTCTGCGTGAGGAGACGTTTCCTGATCTCACTTATAACCGTTTTGGTTCTATGTTGAAAATCACGTCCTATTGTTTTGGATCTTCCAACAATCTACTATCATAGTGTGTTAGTGCTGCCCTCGCTCAGCCTCGCTATCTGCAATCACACTTGTGAAGACGTACCACATTCCTCCTAACCAGGTCCTCATAGCTGACACTCACAGCTTCTCCCACAGCGTCTGAAATCAGATAAGTACCAGTGTGATCAAAACACTTCCTACATTCCACTGGGGGAAACACCCCCACACACAGATACACAGTCTCACACACACAGACAGACACACAGTGACACACACAGTCGCACTCGGTCACATACGAACAGTGACATACACACGCGTACTCGCACACATATGCACACCTATAGCGGGGAAGCAGGGAGCATCGATCTCTGCACCTGGTTCTTGTTCCAAATCATCCAGGTCGTAATCTTCATCTAACAATTGAAGAAAAATAAAGCAGATGAGCAGGTCACACCTCCCCCTCCCTGTACCTGCTGTCCTGTTTGATCCTTAACTATCCTTTCTCCCCATATCTGTGCCATGACCCGCTCTGCCTTCCCCCAACTCCGCAACATTGCACGACTCCGCCACTGCCTTACCCCTCCAGCCACCGAAACCCTCATACATGCATTCGTCACCTCAAGGCTCGACTACGTAAACTCCCTTCTTGTCAGCCTCTGCAGATCACCCAGAGCTCTGCAGCTCGTGCCCTCTCCCGCATCAGGTTCTGTGACCCCATCACCTCCATCCTCGCCCGGCTCCACATCCCTCAGAGGATGGAGTTCAAAATCCTTGTCCTCACTTTCAAGGCCCTCCATGGCCTTGCTCCCTCCAACCTGCTGACTCCCTATCAACCTGTCCATTCCCTCCGCTCAGCAGGCCTGCTCCATGTCTCCCGCCCGACCTGCCCTCCCACCGGAGGCTGGGCTTTCAGCCTCTCTGCCCCCACCCTTTGGAACTCCATCCCACAATCCCTTCGCCTCGCTCCTTCAAGGCACAACTCAAAACTCCTTTTCGACTATGTCTTCAGCCACCTTCTTACCTCTCTGCCCTCCCTCATCCCAATCTTGCTCCCTTCCACCCACACTCGGGTCCTGATCCCCGACTGTCCAGCGCCTTGGGACGTCCTCCCGACGTGAAGGCACTTTACATATGTAGTGTTGTTGTTGTCCTACTCTTTACTGCTGACAAACACTGCTCTCGTCTACACACAGGACAGTACAAGTCAGACAGACGCCTGGGGAACGATTACCTGCTGGCCTGTCCTGATCTACATCGTCATCATCTCGCTGCTGCTCATGGTGTATCGCTTCCTCAGCATTCTCTTGGTTATTCTCCAGCTCGTCAATCACCCACCCACACAGCACAGACTACAGAGGAACAATCACAAACACACACTGGCATTTTATCAGAAACCTTCTGAAAATTCCCCCCCACCAACCCCCGGGTTACCTCACTTATTTCATCAAAGAACTTGATTAGAGTTGTTAAACAAGCCCTGCCTGTAACCACACTGGCGTAGATTGTACAGGCACCACACTGGGAAGGGAGGGAGTGAGTCACTATTTACCATTCGTTTGCGGAAGATTCTCTGAGCTGCTGCTCTCTCCTTCATGTGTTTCCAGTGCAGAACCTCCAGATCTGTGAGGGTAAAGTACAGTATGAACCAACCCTGACACCCGAGACCCCCTACCCCAAACCCTGAACCCCGATATCTTGGAGGATGAAGAAACCTGGAGTGCACACACATTTATACACCAGCGTCCGGAATTCACCCTGATGGGTTTACAGAGAGCTTCAGAGAGGGTTATGGAGAGGTAAGCAGCTGCTGCTCAAGCTCCACACCTCCACCTGGTGGAGCCATGGCTCAGTGTGAGGGGACGTGTGTCTGAGCTGCGGCAGAAAGATGGTGACAATGCTATCATGCGTTTGATGCTGAGCTGTACTCCCTACCGGGAGCTCATAGGGAGATCCTGGTACCTACCGTCCACCTAGTGATAGCTCAAACCTGCGCTTGTCGCATATCAAATGAGCAACTAGTGGCTATGGTTTTGCCTCGTCCGAGAATCTAATCTCGCTTACTGAGCGCTACTGAGCACTGCAGTGAACAGGAAGTGGGGAGGTGTATACAGGTGATCTCAGGGCTCAGCTGGCAATGGAATCGAGTTCACCCTCTGTAGTGGTCTCTCTACCGGATCCTGAGCCAGGCAGGTCCACAGCACTACTGATGTCAGTACAGCCCAGCCAGGATCATTGGTCAGCAGACCCCCCATTGGAGACTCAGTTCCCATCAACACTGCAGCCAAAGGGTGTGGGCGGAGGAGAAAGGCAGGGAGGGAGGCGAGAAGGTCAGACGAGGGGTTGCTAATACAGTGACCGACACGTGCTGTGGGTTTCTTACCTGCATGGCTGAGACCTGTTCTCTTCAGCTTCACAAAATCGGCTCCACCATAATCTGTGAGACAGGAGGTTAGTCAATGGTGGGAGGAGCAGGAGCCATAATAATAATAATAATCCTTGCATTTGATACAGTGCTTTTCACATCTTCTGGACGTCCCAAAGCGCTTCACAGAATATACTGTAAAGTGAACTGACTGTATATTTGTGGGCAAACGCGGCAGCCAATTGCGCACAGCAATGTCCCACAAACAGTCGTAGATTGAAAATGACCAATTTATTATTGTTTTGGTTTTGGAGGATTATTATTAGGCTCTGTGTGGAGTAAGGAAACTTGCCCAAGGTTTCGCCCTCTGCCTGGAATTGAACTCAGGTCTCTCACTTGCAAAACAAATGCTCTAACCACTGAGCTACAGGACTCCATGTAGCGTTCACACCAGATCCAGCATCCTCCACAACAGAGCAGAGTCTCACACACCACCCCCAACTTCCCCCCCACTACCCCATCTCTCCCCAACTGCCCCCCCACCATACCATCTCCCCCCACACCTCTCCCCCACCCCATCTCCCACCGCCCCCAGCTCAGGTCTGAATGACTGCCCAGCGCCTTGGGACGCTCCCTACATGAAAGCCGCTTTACAAATGTAATGTTGTTGTTACAAATTGATTTTGTGCTGTAAATGTGAGTCGTTATTGTCAGCAGGTACTCACGGGCCCGGGAGAACCACTTGCCAAACTCCAGCAATGTCACTGAACATTTCCGCTTCCGCTTGTTTCCCGTGTGAGGGACACGAGCAGGGATCACATAGTGCTTACCTGAGAGAGAGGGACAGCATCATTGTGTGCATGAGAGGGACACACACACAGCATCAGTGTGGAAGAGAGACACACACAAAGTGTCAGTGTACGAGTGTGTAAGAGTGAGACGACAGGCACAAACACAAAGAAAACGCAAAATACTGCAGATGCTGGAAATCTGAAACAAAAACAGAGAGAGCTGGGAAAGCTCAGCAGGTCAGGCAGCATCTATGGAGAGAGGAAAGTGAGTCAACGTTTCGGGTCCACAACCCTTCATCAGAACTGGGGCATGTTGGGAGGGAGAGGCTTTTAAGGGCTAACAGAGATGGGGGAGCCAGGGTAAAGAAGACAAAGGAGAAAATGGGGTAGAGGACAAGGGATGATGGGTTAGAGGTGTTAAATATGCAGAACAAAGTGAAGGATTGCAACAAAGCAGGGGAATAAAATCTTCTCCCTGGTCGGCCTATTTTGCTGCAATTCCCCCCACTTGGTTTTGCATCATTAACATCTCTTTAACCCATTATCCCTTGTCCTCTACACCATTTTCTCCTTCGTCGTCCTTGCCCCCCACTATCTGTTAGCCCTTAAAAGTCTCTCCCTCCCAACCTGCTGCAGTTCTGACGAAGGGTCGTGGATCCGAAACATTGACTCATTTTCCTTTCTCCATAGATGCTGCCTGACCGCTGTTCCCAGCGACTTCTGTTTTTGTTACACACATAAAGGGTCAGTGTGCAGGCGAGAGAGAGAGAATCAGTGCGAGTGAGTGTCAATGTCTGTATCTTTCCTGTTACTGTCGCAGCCTGTCAGCGCCCAAGGCATTGGGTACAGTGTGTATGTCCCTGACCGACAGCTCCTGCAAACCCGCAGTACCTTTCCTCAACACTTTGTTCTCAGTGGCTTCAAAAGGATCCAGACTTCTCCAGGGATCCAGCACTTCCTGAGCAAAGACATCCGACCATGAGCTCAAAATAGTGATCCAGCACAGCGCCCATTCCTCCCCCCACACCCACCACTCCCCTCCCCACCACACACACACCCACCTCTCCCCACCACACACACACACCCACCCACCCCTCGCCACCACACACCTACCCCTCCTCACCACCACACACACACCCACCCCACACATACCCACCCCTCCCCACCACACACACCCTTCCCCACCCACCCAAGCAACCCCTCCCCACCACACAAACACCCCTCCCCACCCACCCCCACACACACCCACCCCTCCCCACCCCCTCCGCCACACATACATACACACCCACCAAACACAATCACACCCATTCCACACATATCACCCCCCACCCTCTGACACCCCCCCTCCACTCATGCACCCTGATCTCTGACCTGCTGTTACCTTTTCCTGTCTGAGGCCGGATCCTGGTGCCGTCTCTCGCAGAGTATACCCACGTTGCTCGCTCTGGGCAGCCTGTAGGTACACACCTCACTGTACACAACATCGCCTGGCTCCGCCACTGTCTCATTCTGAAGGCTGCTGAAACCCTCATACAAGCCCTCGAGGCTCGACTATACAAACTCCCTGCTTGTCGGCCTCCCCAACTCCTCCGTCCACAGACTACAGATCATCCAGAACTCTGTAGCCCGTGTCCTATCCCGCACTAGGCTCCGTGACCTCATCATCCCCATCCTCGCCCGACTCCACTGTCTCCCCATCACACAGAGGAAACAGTTCAAGATCCTGGTCTTCACCTTCAAAGCCCTCCATGGTCATGCTCCCCCCCTCCATCTCTGACCCCCTAACCCCCTACCACCCTCGCTCCCTCCACTCAGCGGTCTCCAGCCTGCTTCACGTCCCCCACCACCCTCACCCTACTATTGGCGGGCGGGCCTTCTGCTACTCTGCCCCCACTATCTGGAACTCCATCCCGCAGTCCCTCTGCCTCGCCCTCCTCTCAGTCCCTCCCCCCCACCCTCCTCTTCGACCATGCTTTAGATCTCCCTGCTTGATCCCCTGTCCTCCACCCTCCCCAAATGTAATTTTGTTGTTGTATACATCTCACTGTACATATCTCAAACTCACACTGTAAACACGTCACTGTACACACGTCACTGAGCTTACACTGTGAGTGTGTGTCAGTGTCACTGAGACCCAGTGTCACACACTGGGTCTCAGTCAGTTTGAGCGTGTATGTCACACACACACACACACACACACACTCAGCACTAAGGGACTGTGGCAATGTGACATACACAGAGGACTGTAGCAGTGACACACACACACACACAGAGGACTGTAGCAGTCACACACACACAGAGGACTGTAGCAGTCACACACACACACACACATACAGAGGACTGTAGCAGTGTGTGACAGATGCCCAGGGACCACATATGCTCACATTACCTTGTGAGACATGACCCTCTCTGGAGACTGCTCCGCCTCCTCTCCCTCAGCCAGTGGCAGGAACCCAGCCCCTCCCTCAGGACCTGGAGACACAAATGCTGGTGAGTGCGGCCGAGCCACAGACCCCCACATCCCAGCACCTCCACAGCACCGCCACCCACCCCCAGCAACTGTCATCCCATCACTCTCTCCCTGGACTCCCACCATCTCCTTACCTCCTGCATTCCCATTGCCCCCTCCCCCCACACTTCAGGTACCCACTGCGCTCAGAATCCTGGTGCCATCACCCTCCCTCATGCCCTGCCTTGCCCAGCACCACCGTCCATCTGGATCTCGAGATACAGGTACTTACTGCCTTGGTTGGACAGGTCGAGCGGTGGGATGGCCACCTCGCAGCCTCTGGTCTCCATATGTACCTCCTGAGGATAGTCTCCCTGTACTGCACACAGAGGGACACTGGTGAGGATGGGGTTACAGTAGAGAACTCCAGTGGGGGAGCGAGCACCAGGCCAGACTCGATGGGGAGAGAGAGCAGGGAATGGGGTTAGAGTAGAGAGCTCCAGTGGGGGAGCGAGCCCCAGCACAGACACGATGGGGAGAGAGAGCAGGGAATGGGGTTAGAGTGGAGAGCTCCAGTGAGGGAGCGAACCCCAGCACAGACACGATGGGGAGAGAGAGAGCAGGGAATGGGGTAAGAATAGAGAGCTCCAGTGGGGGAGTGAGCCCCAGCACATACATGTTCTAAGGCCCACACCCCAGGAATTGAGGCCAGTTAACCCCTGGGGCACACAGTGTCAGGTCCCACACTGAGAACAGACACTCACCGGCTGTGGCAAGGTGCGTGTTCTCTAACGCTCTGCTGTGTAGATAGGACATTGGGGAAAGGCCAGTCAGCTCCAGTAGGAAAGCTCCTGTAGTGTGTGGTGTGCACGTGTTCATCCTGAAATCCTTCCTGCTGGCGAGCACCTCACCTCGATGGCTATAGAAATATACACAGCTCTTACACTCCAGCCCCCACCCTGCATGCAGTCCCCTGCCCCCCTGCAGCCCCGCACGCAGCCCCTGTGTGGTGCAGCTGCTGTGATCACAGACCTGAGCAGTGGATTGTTCTTCTTCTCCACATCGTTCGGGGGAACCAGGGCCATTGGTGTCAGAGGAATAACATTAACCATCTGTCGGGGAAACACGGCTGTGAGCAGCTCAGAGCAGACCTGAGAGGGATGAGAGGACACGGAGCCATGCGGGGGGTGGGGGACACACTCTCCTTCTCAGCCCAGGCTCAGGGCTGGGATTAAAGTGGAGGCGACTTACATTGGGAGTGTGATCAGTCCTCAGGTCAATGGTGTTCCTTGTTGGGAGCTGAATGTCGTCCAGAGACAAGAACTGCAACACAAAGAGGAATGTGGCAGCGAGGTTAGACCAGTGTGAGCAGTGTGTGAGTGTTTCACAAGGTGTGAGCAGTTCCAGTGTGAGCATTTCACAGTGTGAGCAGTACCCAGAGCAGTGGGACATCACAGTAAACACCAATACCACACAGCACTACCCAGTAGAGCAAAGCTACAGCTCTGTCAGTCTAGCTCATGTGACCTGACATTCCATCTAATCTCAATCTATGAGGCCATTTTGTCTTATAAACTGGTAACATTTAATTTATAAAATCTTATTTTTGCCCACAAAATATGCAGGCAACTCACTTTATACCCTGTGAAACTCTTTGGGATGTTTTGAAGACACGTGCTATATCAAATGCAAGGATTATTATTATTATTACTACTAAAAAATTGTGAAAAATTCTTAAAATTCTGTTTCCATGTTCGAAAAACAGTTTGTAAAGTCAGAGTTACCAAACTTGCATTAACTGAAAATCCGGGATGAAATGTGACGAGATGGAAGCCTGGACTGGGAGCTGGTTAGCAAAGGTCTGATGGGATCCCTCACAGCAGAAACTGTCCCACGAACATCCCCACTTATCCTCTTCTTTTTTGTCGTCCTTGTCTTGCCTCCCCCTCTCAACTTGTCCTTAAAAGCCTCTCCCTCCCAACATGCCCCAGTTCTGACGAAGTGTTGTGGACCCAAAACGTTGATTCACTTTCCTTTCTCCACAGATGCTGCCTGACCTGCTGAGTTTCCCCAACTGGCTCTGTTTTTGTTTCAGATTTCCAGCATCTGCAGAATTTTGTGTTTTGCCCACTTACCCCTCCCTCTCTATTGGCATCGGCTACTGACACGTCGGTGTCCAGACCTTCGGCTCCGATGGACGCCGGCTGCTGGCGGCGCCTGAGAAACACAACCAAAGGATTGTCAGTGCCTTGGGACGTCCACCCGACGTGAAAAGCACTGTACAAATGTAGTTTTGGTGTTGTTGTAACAGCAGCTCCTCGTGTAGAAAACTCAAAACAGTGAACCCAAACCCTCCCCCCTCCCACAACCTGCCCACAACTCACACACTCATACCCTCCCCCCTCCCACAACCACTCCCACACACCCTCACTGCCTCCCACACCCTCTCCCAACCACTCACACACACCCTCCACCCACCACACACACACACCCTAACCCCCTCCCACAACCTCCCCACCACTCACACTCATAACCTCCCCCCTCCCACAAGCACTCACACACACCCTCCCTACCTCCCACACCCCCTCCTCCCCTCCCACAACCTCCCCCCTACAACATAAAACACAGGACTCCTCGGGTAGAACGCTCACTGCATCAAAATCTCTCCAAACACTTCACAGTGAATTGCTGTCAAGTTAGTGACTAAACCTGTAGGTAAATGTGACAGTTGATTTACACAGCAGTGTCCCACACACAACCATTTAGCGATTAACCAATTTACCCGAACAGGCAAACGGTACCTCATAACAACGCACCTGAAGGACTACAACAACTCTAATTATATAGTGCCCTCCACGCAGGGTTGCATCTCAGAGTGACTACACCTCCAACAGTGCAGTTCTCACCAGTACTGCATTGAAATGGCAGCCTGGACCGTGAGCTCAAAGTCTTGACATAGGCCTTGAACTCACAACCTACCCGCTACCCCGGGAGAAGCATGCAATATAAATACAAGTTGTTGTTGCTACCAGCTGAGCCAAGCTGACTACAGGTCTAAAGGACAGAGATAATAATACAGAGACAATGAGGACAAGAACTATCAAACAGACAAGACCATGGGACGACAATGTTGTCTTGTATCCTATTCCCTTTTCAGAGTTCATACTGAATATCACAGCGTGGACTGGTTCCACAGTAGATTATCATAATAATAAACTAGGATTATGATCATCTGATAGTTCCCATCAAACCAACAACAACACCCCCGTTACTATTGTGTGTTTGAGCTCAGCCACAGGCTGGAGGAACATGTGAGCAAAATGGTTCTTTACTTCTTATTGGAGATGAAATCCAGCGCCTGATACACCAGCGAATACAGGTACTCCACCTGTGAAGAGAAAAAAAGACCTCACAATCTCATGGGTACTATAGCGCTCCAGGACGCTACCCCGCGTGAAGGGCGCTATATAAATGTAAGTTGTTGTTGCTACAAACACACTGAGCAACAGTATCTAACACACACAGGCACACACTTTGAATATCAGTAACCCACACACCTTCTTACTGTAGATACAGGCCGATCCCTGAATCAGCAATGCAGCTTCTGCAAAGTTCATCGTTGTTTTACCATCATCAAAAGAAATGCAAATCTGATCCAACTGCAAAACACAGATTGTAACACAATCAGTAACCTCTCTCCATCAAACGCCCCCCCCCCCAACCCACACACACCTTCCTTCGCCCCCCCCCACACACCCTCCTTCGCCCCCCCCACACACCCTCCTTCGCCACCCCCCACACACACTCTCCTTCGCCACCCCCCCCCCACACCCTTCTTCGCCCCCCCCACACACACCCTCCTTCGCCCCCCCACATACACACCCTCCTTCGCCCCCCCCTACACACACACCCTCCTTTGCCCCCCAACCCCCCAACACACACACACTCCCCCTCCTCCTTCACCCCCCCCACACACACCCACTCCCTCCTCCCCCGCACGCACCCCCTCCACCACCATCCCCTCCTTCCCCCCCCATACACACCTCACCCCCACCAAGACAGAAGCCTGCTGTTTATGTAAGAGAGGAACTCTCACAACAAGAACTTGCTTTTATGTAGCGCCTTCATGTAGGAAAAAGGAGAGCTGTGATGAGAGGCTGGGGGGGACTGGGTTATGCAGCTTGGAGCAGGTGAGGTTATTGTTTGATTTGATTGAGATGTGTAAAACAATGAGAGGAATTGACAGGTTAATTGACAATTAATTCACTTACAGTAAAATCCTATGAAGGGCTTTGAGACACAACCTTACATGAAACGCACTACATAAATGCAAGTTGTTGTTATTGTGATAAGTCGTATATAAAGTGCAAAAATTATTGTTAACTTCAGACAACACTTCACACAGTAACTTCTCAAAAGTCAAGTCTGAAATTACTTAGAGCTTCACCTCTTCCAGATACTCCCCCAACTGAGCTGCCACATCGATCTCCCAGTTCTTGGTCAGCTCTCGGATTGGTTGCAGAAGGTGTGTGAATCGGGACTCAATGTCCTCCATCTTGCACTCAGATTCTGGAAAGAGAAGCAGTTCCTGGAGTCGACTTACTGTGGATTTACATAGCAGTGCAGGACCATTATTGTACAGTACTAATATACACACACACTTGCGCTTAGCTAGCCATTTTAGAAGACAGCACTATTTACCTGTTACTCTCTCTCTCTCCTGTGTGGACACTGTGTATATTAGTGTATAATTACCTGTTACTCTCTCTCTCCTGTGTGGACACTGTATATATTAGTGGATATTTACCTGTTACTCTCCCTCTCTCCTGTGTGGACACTGTATATTAGTGCATATTTAATAATAATAATCCTTGCATTTGATATAGCGCTTTTCACGTCGGGAGGACGTCCCAAAGCGCTTCACAGAACACACTGTAGAGTGAATTGACTGTATATTTGTGGGCGAACGCGGCAGCCAATTGCGCACAGCAATGTCCCACAAACAGTCGTAGATAGAAAATGACCAATTTATTATTGTTTTTGGTTTTGGAGGGATTATTATTAGGCTCTGTGTGGAGTAAGGAAACTTGCCCAAGGTTTCGCCCTCTGCCTGGAATTGAACTCAGGTCTCTCGCTTGCAAAGTGAGTGCTCTAACCACTGAGCTACAGGACTCCACGATATTTACCTGTTACTCTCTCTCTCTCTCCTGTGTGGACACTGTGTATATTAGTGTATATATTTACCTGTTACTCTCTCTCTCTCCTGTGTGGACACTGTGTATATTAGTGTATAATTACCTGTTACTCTCTCTCTCCTGTGTGGACACTGTATATATTAGTGGATATTTACCTGTTACTCTCTCTCTCTCCTGTGTGGACACTGTGTATATTAGTGTATATATTTACCTGTTACTCTCTCTCTCTCCTGTGTGGACACTGTGTATATTAGTGTATATATTTACCTGTTACTCTCTGTCTCCGGTATTGACAGTTTGTAGATGTTACACTGTTGTCGCCGCCGCCATTTTATGTTTCCCGCGCACTGTTGGCCCTCACTGCGCACGCGCGGCACTCTCCAGCTTTGGCGCCAGAGCGGCTCCGGGTCACGTGCCGCGCGGTCTGGTTTGTGGCGTCTGAGGGTTCAGAGACCTGTCCCCCCCCCGCGGGAGTGGTACAGTCCTACTGCGGGCGGGGGGGGCCGGCGGCACATTCCATTACTGGGGCCCGGGGGGGGGGAGTTTATATAATAGAGCACAGCACCGTTGCGGTAGTTTGTTGTGCGCTGTTGTTGTTGTTGTTGTTGTTGGGGCTGTGGCCGCTGTTGATGCTCAGTCGGTCACTGCTGTAAACTCAGAGCTCACAGTGCTCCCGCGCGGGGCGGGCGGGGCGGGGCGGGGGCGCATGCGCAGAACCAGAATCCAGCGCGAGCCATGGAGTCACTGAGGAACTGCTGGTTATTGGGCCTCAGCCTCACCTTCCTCACAGCCTTCAGCTCTCTGTACCTCCAGCTGCCAGGTACCCCCCCCCTCCCCCCACTCCCTCCACTCACACCCCCCCCCCCCACTCACCCCCCCTCACACTCCCCTCACACTCCCCCCCCTCACACTCCCCTCACACTCCCCCCTCACACTCCCCTCCCCTCACACTCCCCTCCCCTCACACTCCCCTCACACCCCCCCCTCACGCTCCCCACCCCCGCCTCCCCCCCACCCCCTCATACTCTCCTCACAATCCCCTCACTCCCCCCTCACTCTCCCCGCGCTCACTCTCCCCGCGCTCACACTCCCCGCGATCACACTCCCCGCGATCACACTCCCCGCGATCACACTCCTCACACTCACCACGCTCACACTCACTCCCCGCGCTCACACTCACTCATTCACTGTACTCCCCACGCTCACACTCACTGTGCTCACACTCACTCACTCCCCACGCCTCACTCACTGTGTACTCACTCACACACACAGAGCCTAATAATAATCCTCCAAAATAAAACAGTAATAAATTGGTCATTTTCAATCCACGACTGTTTGTGGGACATTGCTGTGCGCAATTGGCTGCCGCGTTCGCCCACAAATATACAGTCAGTTCACTTACAGTGTGGTCTGTGAAGCGCTTTGGGACGTCCTCCTGACGTGAAAAGCGCTATATCAAATGCAAGGATTATTATTAGTGCCTTGGGACGTCCTCCTGACGTGAAAGGCGCTATACAAATGTAATGTTGTTGTGTACACACACACTCACTGTACTCAATCACTGTGTACTCACTTATTGTGTACTCACTAACAAACACCCACTGTACTTACTCACTATGTACTCACTCACTGTACTTACTGTACTTACACACGGTGTACTCGCACCCACTGTGCTCATTCACAGACTCACTTTAGTCACTGTGTACTCACATACCCCGTGTACTCACTCACATTCACTCCCCTTGTGTACACACACACTCCCGTGTATGTACACACAAGACCGTGAAAGGGGTTAAAAGTGAGGATGAGGAACTTGAACTGGATCCTGTGAGATCTGGGGAGACCAGTGCAGTAGAGAGCACGACCTACAGGGTGGTGGGGAGGAGGAGAATTGGGAAGCTCAGTGAGCAGAATTGGCATAGTCTTGCCTGAACGTGATGAGTTTCGGCAGCCTGAGAAGAGAGGTGGTGTGATCTTTGCTCTGCACTAACACTGTGTACTTCCCAGGCCTGTACGGGAAGGATGGGATCCTGCCAGCCCGCCGGATGCTGCATTTCTCCGCCAAGCCCCTCCTGGAGCAGCTGAAAGATGCTCCGACATTGCTGTGGCTCTGCCCTCACCTTGGGCTGGACACTGAGCAGGGCATGGAACTCATCTGTCTGCTGGGCTCAGCACTGTCCTTTGCTGCTCTGCTCATAAAGCAACTGAGGGACAGTATCATTTTTTTCTGCCTCTGGTTTCTGTATCTCTCTCTGCACCAGGTATATGTGCAGATAAGTACTGTATGTGTGTAGAGTATCATGCACATACACATTTGTGCTCAAGCGTGTGTATATATACATGTATATTGGACTTAGACTTTGTGAACTTCAGGTGTTGGGTATATCATAAATAGCTGATGAGGAAACTTGGGAGGCTTGGGGTGGCAGCTGCTGGGCTGCATTCACAAACACACATTCAAATATCCAGGGCTTGGAATGCACTCTGGTTGGTTTGCAAGCCACAGGTCCCTAAGCCATGGGTCTCGCCAACCTGTGCGTAAAACCCGTAGAGTGTCGGGAAGCAGGGTGCGTCCCTCCAGGGTGAAAGAGTGCTTTCCAATCCAGACACAAGAAATTGCCGTGCCGAGGTGACGTGCTTATGTGGAATTCTGTCTGGTTTGGATCCACTGAAACATAGTCATGACACATTTCCACATGTCAGAGACCCGGCAGACCAAAACAAAATGTGTGTGAATGTGTGTCCACATATACATGATTGTGCAGGTGTGTGCGTATGTGTATATGTACAGTTATCACAGTTTACATTGATAACCCAAGTGAAGGACCCAGATTACAGCATAGCACAGAACCAGAGCTGGAAAGCGGTCAGAGAAACCATGATAAATCAGGAAGTAGCTGTAAGCAAGGCCTCAGCTAGGGATTACAACCTTGAGTAGTGTTAGGGGTACAGTTCAGTGAGTCAGGAGGAATGAATAGGAGAAAGGGAAGATGGAGGGAGGGAGAAACGGAAAAGTGAGTAAGGGAGGGAGGAGTCCTGCAGAAGGTCAGAGGGAGGGAAGTGTGAGGGAAGATGGAGTTCCAATCTCAACATCCTGGGAAAGAGTGATTTAGATTAGCCAGTGAGTGTGGACATCATCACAATGAGGATACAGGGAGGGGCAGGAATCAGAGTGTGTACAGGGAAAGCGTTCAGAGAAAGGTTTAGAATGGAACGGCTGGCAGTGCAGTGTGTAAGTCGGTCACAGACAGGGAACGGGCTTGGCAGAGAGAGCTGAATCATGTATTTCTATCTTTCAGGTTGGTCAAGTCTTCCTGTTCTTCCAGTGGTGAGTGATCTCTTCATGTTGGGCAAGGAATGGTTGGGAGATCCTTTTACACCAACAATACCTTACATATATGTAGTGGCCTAACACAGGAAAGGATCTCAGATCGCTGCACCATGGTGGGATAGGACACTTTGTGGAGTCCTGTAGTCTATTGATTAGAGCACTTGCCTCACAAGTGAGAGGACCTGGGTTCGATTCCCGGGCAGGACGAAACATAAGGCATTTCCCGCAATTCAATGCAGCCGGTAAATGCGGGAGTAATGGAGGAAAAGGGAGCAGGGTTATGAGTTAACAGATGATCTGTTTATAAAATAGTGCAAAGAAATCTAAGTGGCTTTTATAGGAAACTGAATGGACTCAGATGCACGCACAACTTGGACGATTATACGATTTATAAAGATAAGACTTATGCAAGTTTTATTGTACACTTTATTTTATACTATGCAAGGATTATACAGTACTTGCTGTGGTTAGTGCTCACTGTTCTGTGTGTGTATCTGTACAGGGACAGTTTGCTGCTGGAGGTGGGCTTCCTCGCAGTGCTAGTGGCTCCTCTCCATCTCCGCAAATGGCGTTCTGCAGCTCACAGACACCACGACAGGGTCACCTTCTGGCTCGTCCGGTGGCTCTTTTTCCGGTTGATGTTTGCGTCTGGCGTGGTCAAGCTGACCAGTCGCTGTCCAACCTGGTGGGGACTGACCGGTGAGGAAGAACTCTCCACGGTGTCAAGAGTATATGTGTGTGTGTACATGTGTGTGTGCATGTGGGTGCTGATCTGTGTGTCTCTCTCTCTGTCTCTAAATGTCTCTGTCTCTTTCGCACGTCTCTCACTCTCTGTCTGGCTGTCAGTACAGTACAGCGTGTCTGGCTGACAGTACAATGTGTCTGGCTGTCAGGACAATATAGCGTGTCTGGCTGACAGTACAATGTGTCTGGCTGTCAGGACGGTACAGTGTGTCTGGCTGTCAGTACAGTGTGTCTGGCTGTCAGGACGGTACAGTGTGTCTGGCTGTCAGTACAGCGCATCTGGCTGTCAGGACGGTACAGTGTGTCTGGCTGTCAGGACGGTACAGTGTGTCTGGCTGTCAGGACTGTACAGTGTGTCTGGCTGTCAGGACGGTACAGTGTGTCTGGCTGTCAGGACTGTACAGTGTGTCTGGCTGTCAGGACGGTACAGTGTGTCTGGCTGTCAGGACGGTACAGTGTGTCTGGCTGTCAGGACGGTACAGTGTGTCTGGCTGTCAGGACGGTACAGTGTGTCTTGCTGTCAGTACAGTGGTATGTTTGTACATCCCCACCCCTCTCCTTAAATCCCAGCTCCACCTCCTTGCCCCGCTACTCGCCGACATCATTAACCTCTCCCTGTTATCTGGCACTGTTCCTTCCCCCCTCAAAACAGCCACTGTCACCCCCACCTTGAAGAAACCTTCCCTCGACCCATCACAGCTATTCAACTACCGGCCCATCTCAAATCTCCCCTTCCTATCCAAGGTCCTTGAAAAAGCCGTTGCCTCCCAGCTTCGCTCTTTCCTCTCCACTCACTCCCTCCATGAGCCCCTCCAATCAGGTTTCCGGAATATCGCTAGATTACGGCACTACCTCACCCCTCACGCTGCTGAAACCCTGGTTCACGCCTTTGTCACCTCAAGGCTGGACTATGGGAACTCTCTCCTCGCCGGCCTTCCGGCACCTCCCCCACAAGCTGCAGGTCATTCAGAACTCTGCAGCTCGTGTACTGTCCCGCACCAGCTCGGACCACATCACTCCCACCCTCGCTCGCCTCCACTGGCCCCCCATCCCCCAGAGGATTGATTTCAGATCCTCATCCTCACCTACAAGGCCATTCACGGCCTCGCTCCCTCCTACCTCTCCAACCTTCTATCCCCCTACCTACCTGCCGTACCCTCCGTTCCTCTGGCTCCGGTCTGCTCCACGTCCCCGCCCAACCGCCCTACTATCGGTGGTCGGGCCTTCAGCCTCTCAGCCCCGAGGCTCTGGAACTCCATCCCCCGGTGCCTTGGCCGCTTCTTCCCTTTCCTCCTTCAAGGCCGGTCTCAAAACCTTTCTCTTTGACCGTGCCTTCAGCTCCCCTCTCGACTCTCTTCCTCCTCCTCGCTCCCTCCCTTCCCTCCCCACACCCTGACCATTTCCCCCTCCTCTCTCCCTCCCTTCCCTCCCCTCACCCTGACCATTTCCCCCTGCTCGGGTCATGACCCAACTGTGCAGCGCCTTGGGACGTCCTCCTGACGTGAAAGGCGCTCTATAAATGGAATCTTGTTGTTGTTGTTGTTGTTTCCATGCTGCCCACAGCACGGAAACTGCTCTGGTCAAGGTCACAAACGACATCCTGACCATGTGTGACCAGGGCTCCCTCTGCCTCCTCGTTCTCCTTGACCTCTCCGCCGCCTTTGATACTGTGGACCACTCAATCCTCCTCCACCGCCTCTCCTCCCATCTCAACCTCCAAAGTTCTGTCCGTGACTGGTTCAGGTCCTACCTTTCACACCGCCTCTACTTTGTCGTGGCAAACAGTTAACCCCCAGCCCCTGCACCGTCTTGTGCGGTGTTCCTCAGGGTTTCTGTCCTCGGTCCCCTCCTATTCACCCTCTACATGCTCCCCCTTGGTGACATCATCCGCAGACATGGGATAAATTTCCACATGTATGCGGATGACACCCAACTTTACCTCTCTATCTCCACCCTGAACTCCAGGACTACTGGCGTCCTGACCGACTGCCTGTCCGGCATCAAGTCCTGGACGAGGGCCAACTTTCTCCAACTCAATGTCAGCAAGACCAAGGCCCTCCTGATTGGCTTGCGCCAGCGCCTCCGCACCTCAGGCGCTGACAGCATCAGCCTCCACTGCTGCACACTCCACCTCACTAAGCCAGTCAGGACCCTGGGTGTCTTGTTTGACCCCGAACTATCCTTTCTCCCCCACATCCGCACCATTACCGGCACTGCCTAGCACCACCTCCGCAACATTGCCAGACTCTGCCGCTGCCTCACCCCTCTGGCTGCCGAAACCCTTACCCACGCATTCGTCACATCGATTCCGGGAACTCCCTCCATATCGGCCTTCCGAACTCTTCCCTTCACAAGCTGCAGATCATCCAAAACTCTGCAGCTCGTGTACTCTCACGCACCAGGCTCCGTGACCCCATCACTCCCACCCTCGCCCGACTCCACTTGCTCCCCATTCCCCAGAGGAACGAGTTCAAGATCCTCGTCCTCACTTTCAAGGCCATGGCCTTGCCCCTTCCTACCTCTCTGACCTGCTGACTCCCTGCCAACCTGCCCACTCCCTCCATTCAGGCTCCGGCTGCTCCATGTCTCCCGCCCAACCCGCCCTACCATCGGTGGCCGGGCTTTCAGCCTCTCTGCCCCCACACTCTGGAACTCCATCTCACGGTCCCTTGGCCTCGCTTCCTCCCTCGCCTCCTTCAAGGCTGGTCTCAAGATCCTTCTCTTCGACCGTGCCTTTGGTCTCCCTCCCACCTCTCTGCCTTCCCTCACCCCTACCCCACCCCTCCTCCATGCTCAGGCTCCGACAGCTGACCGATCAGCGCTTTGGGATGTCCTCCCGACGTGAAAGGCGCTCTATAAATGTCATTTTGTTGTTGTTATTTGGCTGTCAGTACAGCGTGTCTGACTGTCAGCACAGTTCAATATATCTGGCTGTCAGGACATTACAGTGTGTCTGGCTGTCAGGACATTACAGTGTGTCTGGCTGTCAGTAAAGTGACTGTACTGTGTCTCTGTGCAGCTCTGACCTATCACTACGAGTCGCAGTGTATCCCGACGCCGGGGGCCTGGTTTGCTCACCAGCTGCCGGTCTGGCTGCACAAGCTGAGTGTGGTTATCGTCTACACCATTGAGATTGCCGTCCCTTTGCTCTTCTTCTCTCCAACCCGTCGTCTAAGGATCTTCTCCTTCTACATTCAGGTCAGTCAGTCAGAGTCACACTGCAGGGAGAGAGAGAGAGGGAGAGGGTGAGAGCCAGGCTCTCGGGATAGGGAACAGCTGTTCTGGGCCGTGCTCCGGGAAGTGGGAGAATCTCAGGTCAAGTTCCCAGGTTTGGAGACAGATCCAGGAGATGTCTCAGTTACAGTAAACAGTAAAGACTCAGGAGTGGCTGTGTGGGGTTAACTTGGGGTCAGGGAGTCAGGGAAGGGCTGGTCTGCGATAGTGATGGAGTGAGTGCAGGTCATGCTCAGTGAAGCTCAGATTGCGTCTCACTCGACTTGCATCACACACTCACTGACCTCCCGTCTCCAGGCCCTGCTCCAGATCCTCATCATAGTGACTGGGAACTACAACTTCTTCAATCTGCTGAGCATCGTGCTGAGTTTCTCACTGCTCGACCAGGAGCACATCGACTTCTGGCTCCGGAGCAGTAAGAAGAGGCGCTCCAGGTGTGAGTAACAAAGAGGGTGTGGCTGGGGCGGAGGGTATGGCTGTGAGTGGAGGGAGGGGGCTGTGAGTAGAGGGGGTGGGCTGAAGGGGAGGGGGTACTGGAGGGGGGCTGGGGAAGGGGGGGGCTGGCGGGGAGGGGAGATGTGTGTGAGTGGGAAAGAGATGTGAGGAGGGAGGGGAATATATGTGTAGGCTTGTATCCTGGCTGGGAGTGATGTGATGATGGTACAGAATATGTATTCACAGCCAGGGCTGACACACTACAAGCCTGGGTAGTCACACTGCTGGAGCTCTCTGTGTACACAACACTGCTTCTCGGCACCATCCACTACTTCGGGCTGAAGGTGAATTGGGAAAGCCAGACCATCGAGTCCTCCACAGGTACACAACACCCAATGTATACAACACTCAGTGACACCCAGCGCCCCCGACACCCAGGGACATTCAGTGTACACAACACTCAGTGTCTCTTAGCAATTGGCCGTGCGTGTGTGTCAGTAACTCCCCCAGTTACTCTCTCTGTTTTCACAACCATTTAAATGGCCTCTCTCTTCGATTGGGCTTTCTGTTATGTCTCTCCTAAAGCCTCGACCTTGTCTGTGTCCTGTCCTGCTCAGGGATCTGCTCGGTCTCTGTGAGGCTGATATTATCCTAATGAAAGGCACAATATCAGCTTGGTGTTGACATTTGATGTGCCTTTAGCAGTAATTGTGTTAGCCTGGCTCAATTGGTAGCACTCGTGCCTCAGAACACAAGGTTGAAAGCCCCACATGGGGACACTTGAGTGCAGTGCTGAGGGTGTGCTGCTTTGTCAGAGGTGCCGTCCTCCAGATGAGACACTAAACTGAGGCCCTGTCTGCCTGTTTAGGTGGATGTTAAAGCTGCCATACCACTATTTGAAAAGTGAAGGGAATTTCTCTCTATCTCCCAGTATCCTGGCCAACAATCTCTCAGATAAAATCACTCATTCACTTCATGGCTATTTGTGGGCTATTGGCTGCTGTGTTTGCCCATAAAATACACAGTCACTACACTTTGCAGTAAATCCTGTGAAGCGCTTTGAGACATTTCCCGGAGTGACAGATGCAGTATCAAATGCAAGATGTATTTCTAATTGCCACTGTGCCTAAGCAGGTGATAATGTATTTAATTTAGTGATAGAATATTTTGAATATTCTTTCACTCTGCTGTGATCTCTGCCTGTCACTGTATGCACACCTCTCTCTGTGTCTCTTCCTCTGCTATACACTCTCTCTGCGTGTCTCTCTATAGTTATGTCTCTCTGGTTGTCTCTATAATTGTGCCTCTGTCTGTGTGTGTCTTAATCGTGTCTCTATCTGTCTCTCTATAATTTTATGTCTTTCTATCTGTTTTTCCAATCACAGCCTTCACATACCACGAGTTCCTTCATTGGCTGAAACTGGTGATCGTTCCCACCATCTGGCTCGGGGTCCTGTCCTTGACCTGGGAGATTGTGGCAGCCATGCTGAGGTGAGCCGGGCTGTCTGTACCAGGCTCACCTGTGTGTGAGTGTGGCCCATGTTTATGCTGGGAGTGTGGTGCAGTGTGTGTGTGGGGAGAGGGTGTGTGTGTGTGGCCCGTGAGTATGCCAGCCATGTGGTGTGTGCTGGGAGTGTGATGTAATGTGTGGGAGAGGGTGCGGTGTGTATGAGTGGTGTCAGTGCCAGCAGTAACTATGCTGTTCCTCTCTAGTGTGCTGTGTGTGCCGGGGGGGGGAAGTGGAGTGTGGAGCAGTAACTGTTCTGTGCTGTCTCTCCAGTGCGATGTGTGTGTATGTGCTTGTGTTCGTGTCTATGTGTGTGTTTGTGTGTGTGTGTGTGTGTGTGAGTGCCAGCAGTAACTGTGCTGTCTCTCTGGTGCACTGTGTATGTGTGTGTGTATGTTTATGTGTGTGTGTGTGCTTGTCAGTGCCAGAAGTAACAGTGCTGTCCCTCTCGTGTGGTGTGTGAGTGCCAGCAGTAACTGCTGTCCCTCTCTAGTGCGCTATGTGTGTGTATGTGAGTGGTGTCTGTGTGTGTGAGTGCCAGCAGTAACTGTGCTGTGCTGTCTCTCTAGTGCTCTGTGTGTGCGAGGATTCTTCCCCAAGCTCTGGGCCACATTACAATGCACCATATTTGCTGCTGTTGCTGCCTCAATGTTTGCTGTTAGCCTGGTGAGTGCTCTCACCCTACCTCCAAACCCATCTCCCACCCCCTCCCTCCCAGCCCCGCCTCCAAACCATCTCCCAGCCCCGCCTCCTAGCCCTGCCTACCCTTCCAGCCCCTCCCTCCAGATCGCGCCTCGCCTCCAGCCTCTCCACTCTCTTATCAGCATGTCTGTGCCCTGCACTCTGTTTGCTAAGCTCTGTATGTAAGTCAATCCTGTACACAGTCTGTGTCCCTGCCCCCACACTGTGTGTCCCGACTCCTATTCTGTCCCGACCCCCACACACTGTGTCCCCGCCCCCACACTGTCCCTGTGCCCACATTGTGTGTGTCCCCACCCCCATACTATCCTCACCCCCACCCTGTGCGTGTCCCTGCCCCCGCCCTGTGCGTGCCCCCGCCCTGTGCGTGCCCCCGCCCCGCCCGTGCCCCCGTCCCCCGTCCCGCCCGTGCCCCCGCCCTGTGCGTGCCCCCGCCTGCATAAGCCCCCTGAGTTGTCACTTCCTTGTGGTGTTGGCTGATGAGCCTAGGTTGCTCTGTTGTCTGACCGTGTTGATCGCCTCTCTCCCAGGTGCCGTACACATTCATCGAATACGAAGCTAACAGTAACTTGTGGCCCCAAGTGCAGTGGCTGCACCGGGCTGTGGATCGCTACCAGCTGGTCAGCTCCTATGGGCTGTTCCGGAGGATGACTGGGGTTGGAGGCCGGCCCGAGGTGGTACTTGAAGGCAGTTATGATCGGCAGATATGGATGGTGAGGCTGTGGGGGCCGGGAGGCTGAGCTTGTGGTCCCAGACCTAACCCGCGGGGTTGTCAGGCTGGGAGTTGGGGGGCAGCAGTCTCAGGTGGTACTGTGTGTCATGGTGTGTTGGTGGGGGTGGGAGGTGCAGTGTCTCTCTGTCTCTTAGTCAGACTGACGTGATTGTGTTTACAGGAGATCGAGTTCATGTACAAACCGGGGAACATTAGTGAGGCTCCAGCCCTGGTCGCCCCACATCAGCCCCGGCTCGACTGGCAGTTGTGGTTTGCTGCTCTGGCTCCTCACACTCACAGCCCCTGGTTCATCAGCTTCATACAGCGCCTACTGGAGGGCAGCAAGGATGGTGAGTGACCCTGACACTGGGCTGGCTGGAGGGTTGGGGGGAGGGAGTGGTTGGAGGGTAAGGGGTTGGCGATGGTTTTGTGAGATTGATCAGGAGATGGTGTGTGTTGGAGGAGGGGGTGAGCTGGCGTGTGTTGGGGGAGAGGGTGAGCTGGTGTGTGTTGGGGGTGGGGGTGAGCTGGTGTGTGTTGGGGGTGAGCTGATGTGTGTTGGGGGTGAGCTGGTGTGTGTTGGGGGTGAGCTGGTGTGTGTTGGGGGTGAGCTGGTGTGTGTTGGGGGTGAGCTGGTGTGTGTTGGGGGTGAGCTGGTGTGTGTTGGGGGTGAGCTGGTATGTGTTGGGGGTGGGGGTGAGCTGGTGTATGTCGGGATGGTCAGCGGCTGGGAGATGGATGGCCCGATGCTCTTGTTTCTGTCCCTATACCTGGTATATCCTTGAAAGAGTTGTTGCTTCCCAGCTTCATTCCTTCCTCTCCCGCCACTCCCTTCTCAAACCCCTCCAATCGGGTTTCCGTGCCACCCACAGCACAGAAACAGCCCTGGTCAAAGTGACACATGTGGAGTCCTGTAGCTCAGTGGTTAGAGCACTCGCTTTGCAAGTGAGAGACCTGAGTTCAATTCCAGGCAGAGGGCGAAACCTCGGGCAAGTTTCCTTACTCCACACAGAGCCTAATAATAATCCTCCAAAACCAAAAACAATAATAAATTGGTCATTTTCAATCTACGACTGTTTGTGGGACATCGCTGTGCGCAATTGGCTGCCGCGTTCGCCCACAAATATACAGTCAATTCACTTTACAGTGTGTTCTGTGAAGCGCTTTGGGACGTCCTCCTGACGTGAAAAGCGCTATATCAAATGCAAGGATTATTATTACTATTATTATAAATGACATTCTGTCCAGGGTTCCCTCTGCCTCCTTGCCCTCCTTGACCTCTCTGCTGCTTTCGACACCGTCGACCACTCTATTCTCCACCGCCTCTCCTCTCACCTCAACCTTCAAGGTTCTGTCCTTGAATGGTTCAGATCTTACCTCTCACACCGGCTCCACTTTGTCTCCACAAATAGCTTCTCCTCTAGCTCCCCACTGCATTGTGTGGCGTTCTTCAGGGCTCTGTCCTCGGTGCCCTCCTCTTCAACCTCTACATGCTCCCTCTTGGCTACATCATCCACAGACATGGGGTCAACTTCCACATGTATGCAGAAGACACCTAACTGTACCTCTCTGCCTCCACCCTTGACTCCAGGACCCACTGTTGTCCTGACAGAATGTCTGTTGGACATCAAGTCCTGGATGAGGGCAAACTTTCTACAGTTGAACATCACCAAGACCGATGCTCTCCTGATTGACTCCCGTCAGCGCCTCCTCACCTCAGGCCCTGACAGCATCACCATCCATGGGTGCACGCTCCATCTTACTAAGCCTGGGCATCTTGTTCGACCCTTAACTGTCCTTTCTCCCCCACATCCAGGCCATGACCCGCTCTGCCTTCCCCCACATCCCCAAATTACCCTACTCCAACACTGCCTCACCGCTCAGGCCACGGAAACCCTCATACATGCTTTCATCATAACCAGGCTCGACTATGCTAACTCCCTGCTCGTCGGCCTTCCCAACTCTTCCCTCCACAGGCTGCAGATCATCCAGAACTCTACAGCTCGTGTCCTCTCCCGCACCAGGCTCCGTGACCCTATCTCCTCCACCCTCACCCGGCTCCACTGGCTCCCCATCACACAGAGGATAGAATTCAAAATCCTCATCCTCACTTTCAAGGCCTTCCATGCCTTTGCCCCCTCCTACATCTGCGACCTACTATCCCTTATCAACCTGTCCACACCCTCCACTAAGTAGGCTCTGGACTGCTCCATGTCCCCCCCACAGGCCCGCCCCACCATCGGCGGTCGAGCCTTCAACCTCTCTGCCCCAACTCTCTGGAACTCCATCCACATTCCCTTCGCCTCGCTCCCTCCCTTGCCTCCTTCAAGGCACGACTCAAGACCCTCTTTTTTGACTGTGCCTTCGGTTACCCTCTCTGCCCTCCACCCTCCCTGATCCCAACACCCCTCCCCCCGTTTCAGGTCCTAATCCCTGACTATTCAGCGCCATGTGATGTCCTCCCAGCATGAAAGGCGCTTTACAAATGTAATTTTCTATTGTATTGTATATCTGTTTTCAGTGACACGTCTGGTGCAAGTGGATGAGACCAGATATCCCTTTAGTGAGCGACCACCCACCTACCTCCGGGCCCAGCTCTATCGTTACTCATACACTGTGGCCTCCGCGGGCAGGTCAGTGACCCAGGGCAACAGAGGTGGAGTATGTGTGGGGGGAGGGGGAGGAGTGTGGGGGACAGTTGGGGGAGTGTGGGGAGGGAGTGGGAGACAGTGAGTGAGGGGAGAGTTACGGGTGGGGGAGGGGGAGAATGTGGGCTGAGGAGGAACAGTGAGTGTGGGGAGTGTGGGGTAGGGGGAGAGTGTGGGACAGTGGGAGAGTGTGTGGGAGAGTGAAGGGGAGAGTGGGATGGGGGAGGGGGATAACAACAACAACTTGGATTTATATAGCGCTCTCCACGCCGGATGATGTCTCAGAGCACTTCACAGTAATGGATCCCAGGGGGAGGGGTGGGAGGTGCGGTCGAAAAGAAAGGTCTTCACGAGAGATCTGACAATGGAAAGGGAGGGGGCGAGGCGAAGGGAGTGAGGAAGGGAGTTCCAGAGCCTTGGGGCATAGTGTCTGAAGGTACAGCTGCCGAGGATGGAGCAGAGGACTCGGGGAACAAGGCGGAGGCCAGACCCGGAGGAACGAAGGCAACGGGCACTGTTTTGAGGAGAGAGGAGGTCAGAGAGGTCGGGGGGTGCAGAGGAGTGGTGGGATTTGAAGTCAAGGGTGAGGATCTTGAAGTCAATCCTCTCTGGGTCAGGCAGCCAGTGCAATCTGGCCAGGACTGGGGTGATCGGGGAGCGGAGTTTGGTGCGGGTGAGAATGCGGGCAGCAGAGTTTTCAATGATCTGGATTTTGTGGATGGTAGTGGAGGGGAGGTCGGCGAGGGTGGCATTAGAATAGTCCAGCCGAGAGGTGACGAAGGCATGGACCAGGGTTTTAGCGACTTTCGGAGAAAGATATTGGCGGAGACGGGCGATGCGTTGGAGGTGGAAGAAAGCGGTGCTGGTGAGGGACCGGATGTGTGTGAGGAAGGATAATTAGGGGTCGAACCTGACGCCTAGGTTGCGTACGGGTTCGTAGAGTTTTAGGGGGAGGTCGGGTGGGTGAAGGAGGTGAGAACCGTGAGGTTTAATACTAATAATAATAATAATAATAATAATAATCCTTGCATTTGATATAGCGCTTTTCACGTCGGGAGGACGTCCCAAAGCGCTTCACAGAACACACTGTAAAGTGAAATGACTGTATATTTGTGGGCGAACGCGGCAGTCAATTGCGCACAGCAATGTCCCACAAACAGTCGTAGATTTGTGAACCAGGCGAGTGCGGTCCCGCTGAGGTGGATGACGGAGGAAAGGCAGTGGAGGAGGATGGCGTGATCGACTGTGCCGAACGCTGCGGAGAGCTCCAGGAGGACAAGGAGGCAGAGGGAGCCCTGGTCACAGATAGAGAGGATGTCGTTTGTGACTTTCACAAGCGCAGTCTCTGTACTGTGGGCAGAAACTGGACTGGAGGGGTTCAAAGAGGGAGTGAGAGGAGAGATGTACACAAAGTTGATTGGCAACAATGCGTTCTAGGACTTTTGTGAGGAAGGGCAAGATGGGGAGAGTGTGTGGGGGTGGGGGAGCGATTGGGAGACAGTGGGGGGGGGAGATGGGGAGACAGTGTGAGGGGGAGATGGGGAGACTGGGTGGGGGGGAGATGGGGAGACTGGGTGGGGGGGAGATGGGGAGACTGGGTGGGGGGGGAGTATGAGGCAGGGGGAGAGTGTGGGTCAGGGGGAGAGTGGGGGGAGAGTGTGGGGGAGGGGGACAGTGAGTTAGGTGAGAGTGTGGTGGGGGGGTAACACTGCAATAATGCAGCTGCAGACCATTTGGGCTGATGGCCTGTCAGTCACTGTATAATCCTATATGATCCTTGGTGACCGAGGACCTATGTTACAGGTCGCTGCCGCGGGATTGGTGGACAAGGCAGCGTGTGGCTGAGTTCTTCCCCACCGTCTCCTTGGGAGACCCCACCCTCGAGTCACTGCTCCTCGAGCATGGCTTCAAGGTAGATCCTCACTGTAAAACTCCCTCTACACTGTGCGTCCACACTCCCAGGTCAGGGTTAGAGACACAGTAAAGCTCCCTCTACACTGTGCGTCCACACTCCCAGGTCAGGTTAGAGACATAGTAAAGCTCCCTCTATACTGCACCCACCCTCCCAGGTCAGGGTTAGTGTAAAATTGGGTTCAAGCGTTTGTCAGAAACCACACCAAGGATTTTATTAAAACGTTTTATTAGCAATTATAAAACCACACAAGCATAAGCATCACATTACACTCGACGTATTATCATTACTCGTTGCGCTTAAATGAGCACTATCTCGACAAGATACACTCAATACAAAAATTCTAAACATATATAAAAAACATTATATGATATATGAAATGTACCTAAATAATCTCTAACTGTTTTGTATGTATATTGGGTGCGTGTTTTGGTAAGTAGGAGAGATAATAATAATCTACCAAGCAGGCAAGAAATCACGACAAGGTTCTAAAACTGGCACAAAAGTTAAACACTGTCTCTTGTCTGCTGCTGGCTGTAAATGTCTCTTGGTGGTCCACTCCGGCAAGGGCTGAACTTGTCCTCTTTCCCTCAAAGGTACTCTTCTCCATAGAGGTTTGTCCCCTTCCTCTCCTCAGAGGCTCGAATAATCTTAAGTTTGGGCTACCGTTTTTTTATACCCTTTTTCGCCAGCTATCTGTATTCTCTCTCCTTCTCATTACTCTTTCTCCAGTTGTCAGTTCTAAGACCCCACTCTTTTGCCCCAGCATCCTTTTCCTCAGTTTTAATTGCTAATTTTGAATACCTGGCCACACAGTTGGCCTCCCATCCATTCTCCTGGTCCAATTATCCCAGGTTCCTATCTCTCCTCCCCTTAGGTCACATGCCTTTGTAAGCGCAGATGGTCTACCATCCATCCTCACGATCCAGCTATCCTCATCTTCCCTGGCCTCGGGTCGCATTCCGGTGTACTTCTGCCTAGCTCGGTGTCTCTTTATTAGGACTGTGTGTGTGCCACATGGCAGTTTTTATTTCTTAAATTCATTCTACTTAATTCATGTCTTCACTACATGTTCAGTACTAATGATTATTATACTACAATCCTAATTTATTTACATTAGAGACACAGTAAAGCTCCCTCTACACTGTGTGTCCACCATCCCAGTCAGCGACAGGTTAGAGATAGAGTGAAGCTCTAGCTTGCGGACAGTGCTCAGTGTCCACTCTTCTCAATGTTGTGTTTCTCCCTCAGGACAAACCATCTCCGAGGCGGGTGTCGGAGTCTTTGTTGCCGTCCCTCCTGCGGCTGGTGCGGGAGCAGACGCAGCTGTTCACGGGCCCAGGGCTGATCGGCTCTTTGGTCTGCACGGCGCTGCTGATCTCTCTGGCTAGAGCGCTGATGAGCCGGAGGCCGGTTGGCAAAGTGTACAGAGCGGCCAACAACAGCCAGAACGGACAGGGCAAGAGGAAGTAGCTGTGCTGTTGCTGGCGGCGGACACAGACTGCCACACGCGTTTTCTACTGATTTATATTTTTCTACTGTCGTGCTCCCCCACCCTTGGCTCTCTCTCGCCTCCCTCTCCCCCACCCTCGGCTCTCTCTCCCTCTCCCCCACCCTCGGCTCTCTCTCCCTCTCCCCCACCCTCGGCTCTCTCTCCCTCTCCCCCACCCTCGGCTCCCTCTCCCCCACCCTCGGCTCCCTCTCCCCCACCCTCGGCTCCCTCTCCCCCACCCTCGGCTCCTCTCCCCACCCTCGGCTCCCTCTCCCCCACCCTGGCTCCCTCTCCCCCACCCTCGGCTCCCTCTCCCCCACCCTCGGCTCCCTCTCCCCCACCCTCGGCTCCCTCTCCCCCACCCTCGGCTCCCTCTCCCCCACCCTTGGCTCCCTCTCCCCCACCCTCGGCTCTCTCTCACCTCTCTCTCCCACCCTCAGCTCTCACTCTCTCTCCCACCATCGGCTCGTTCTCCAGTGGTAGAGAATTGGGTACCAGAGGAAACCCAACCCTGGATGCCCACCTCATAGTTACTGAGCCATCCGACCACCCTGCGTATCAATACCATCATACACTGGCTCCCCTACTGACTTCCCTCCCACATTCTCTTCCCCCCCCTCCCCACACACACACACAACACTGCTGGGTTATGGGTCTGGTCCACAGGGTAGGGTGTGGAGGTTCTGCTGGAAGTGGAAGTCGGTGTCACTGGGTCACACTAGGTACCTGGAAATGGAGCAGGGGGTGTGTGTGAGTGCAGGGTGTGGGTGGGTGTGAGCAGGATGTGGGTGGGTGTGAGCAGGGTGTGGGTGGGTGTGAGCAGGGTGTGGGTTTGAGGGAATATTACATACTGATGATGCCGTTACTGCAGGATAATAAAAGATTTGTGTCTGAACCTAGTCTGGATATTTGAAATGGAGGGCGGGGGGGCAGGATGTAAACTAGTGGAGTAGGGGTTGCGATCTTGTTTCTCCCACAAAACACACAGTTACTACACTTTACAGTACATTCTGTGAAGCACTTTGAGACATCTTGCAGTCGCGATAAGGCTCTATATCAAATGCAAGGATTATTATTGTTGTTTCTAGCGTCGCCCCCGCGGTGATCGGCCCAGAGTCAGACTAATGTTTGGACATAAATGTAATTCTGCATTTTAGGTTTTCTTCAGCTCCACACTCATCTCTGACAATGGTTGCATCAGCTCAGTTGGCCAAAAGCACAGTTGGAGAGAGAGAGAGAAAGTTTGTTAAGGCAGGAGAGGAGCCAGGTGAAAGGATTTCTGGAGAGTGGCTGAGAGCATGGGAGTTGTGCCTGGAAAGCTGAGCTGCTGATGGTGACACGGATGAGGCAGAGCTGCACGAGTGTACGGTAAGAGCAGCAGATAGTGAAGACGGAGAAGGTGCCAGAGGTAGGGAGGGCAAAACCAAGACGTTTGTGTGTGTGTGTGTGTGTGTGACAAGCTGGGGTAGTAGACATTTCATGCCACTTCCTATGATGCTAACAGGAAACTTGCAGGGAGTCCGCTGGTACCTACACCATCACCTAGTGAAGCTCAGACCTACACTATGACTTGTCAGATAGGAACTATCCTCTTTGGGGAGGGGGGGAAGTGAGGTTTCCTTGGATCCTTGCTCACTCTAGGGTGATGTACTTGACAATATAATGTCGGAATCAAGTCAGCCCTCTGTGGCGCTCTTTATAGTCTGGTTCTCAAACTCCAAGGCACTGCCGATGACAGACCAGCCTGGCTCATCAACAGGACTTGGGAGTCCCACTCAGTTCCCTAAAGGGTTGGGTGGGCCTCACTCAACAAGCAGCAGGAAAGCTTGCCAGATGGTGCTCTGAATGGCAAGCTATGCGGCTTTAGCTGGTTAGACTCCAGCACTTACTCCAATTTACCCCTTCATTCCTGTCAACCTGCGTCTAATACTGTTTGGAATTAGGTAAGCAGGTTGTGTTCCTCCAGGTAGAGAGTGGGGATTCCATTGCAGACAGGGACAATTCCAATGGTTAACATGGCTCACATATGTGGAGCTGTGCCTGGTTTAGATGCTCTGAAGTACAGTGATGGGTTTGGTGTAAACCAGAAACAGCCCATGAAGTGATATGAAGGTCAGTGTAGTCAGTGCCCTGGATCCCACCAGTCACTGCCCACACCCCAGGTCAGAGGGCACACTGCCAGGCCGGTGTGTCAGTGTGGAGTTCAGTGGGGATGGGGGTGAGATGTTTCAGAGCAGGATGAAAGCATTTTAGTCAAGAACTGGATGTGGTTTTGAGGCCGAGTTAATTGTAACAGTGTTTTATGAAACAGGAAATCATGTCAGCTTTGAGATGCAGGCTTCTGGTGTTTTGCAGATCATTTGCTGCTGTTGCTGATCTTTTTACCAGTGCCTGGATATTGTAGATCCCTTCATCCGTATTGAGTACAGTAGATTAGTTACCAGTGTTGGGGTACTGTATGATTACCCACATTCCCATGCATTGGGTGCTCTCCTAGTGTTGAGTGCTGGGGGTCACTTTGCCAGATCACCAGCACTGGATTCTGCGATCACCAGCGTAACTTTCCTGGACAGTACTTGTCAATCAACGACTGGTAATATGGCTGCAGCTGCTTGATGTCGGGCAGTTTCTGGTACTTGGTGTACAAGTCAAACTTACTGTGGAGGAGAGGAGACACTCATGTTCCAATCTTTGTGCTGGTAAATGTACTGGAATGTCTACTTGGTTAATCAGGGTTCCTTCCTCTCTGTGCTGAGCCTTTGAGCCATTGTATCACATGAATATTTATTTATCACAGTCTGGTTTGACCCTCATCTATACTTTCTATCGCACATTCACGCCATGACCTGCTCTGCCTTCCTCCACCTTTGCAACATTGCCCGGCTTTGCCACTGTTTCACTCTGAAACCCTCATATACACTTTCATTACATCGAGGCTCGACTATACAAACCCCTGCTTGTCGGCCTTCCCAACTCCTCCCTCCATAGGCTGCAGATCATCCTGAACTCTGCAGCCCGTGTCCTCTCTCGCACCAGGCTCCGTGACCCTATCAATCCCATCCTCGCCCGACTCTACTGGCTTCCCATCACACAGAGGATACAGTTTAAGATCCTGGTCCTCACCTTCAAGGCCCTCCATGGTTTTGCTCCCCCCGACCTCTGCGACCTCCTAACCCCTTACCATCCTGCTCACTCCCTCCGCTCAGCGGGCTCTGGCCTGCTTCAGGTCCCCCACCTCGCCTGCCACATCATTGGTGGGTGGGCCTTCTGCCACTGCCCCAACTTTCTGGAACTCCATCCCACAGTCCCTCTGCCTCGCCCCCTCCCTTGCCTCCTTCAAGACCCATCTCAAGACCCTGCTTTCAATCACACTGCTTCCACTCCCTGCCCTCCACCCTCCCCAATCCCGACCCCCAGCTCGGGTGTGAAACACTGATTGTCCAGCGCCTTGGGACGTCCTCCCGATGTGAAAGGCGCTATACAAATGTAATTTTGTTGATGATGTTGTATACTGACACCTACACACCTGATCTAATCCCTCGCATATCCCAAGCTGGTTGCATGCATAGAATTAAATAGCCCAACAAGTCTGTGCCTTTCTTTATAATCCTCACCCCCTCTCCTTATCGTCTCCCTTATCCCTCTCCTGTAACCATCTCCTATAGCCCTCTCCTAGCCCCCTCTCCTGACCCTCTCTCCTATACTCCTCTACCCTTCTATTCCCTTCTCCCTCATCCAGATTTGAAAATTTTTGCTTCCACCATGGCGTCCTGCAGTGAGTGCCACCTCTACATGAAGAAGTTCCTCTTAAACTCCCTGTTAGATCTGCTACTGGTTTGTATCTCAAATCCTCTCATTTTGGACTTCCCAACAAATAGAAATAATTATCTAAACAGCCACCTTATTTAATCCATGTCTGTCAGGTCCCTGCTCAACTGTCTTCTCAGAGAAATGTGGAACACTACAGAATCTTTGTCACTTTTTGTCATTGCAGCTGTGCACAGGACTCACTTGAATTCTTTAACCCACTCCAGCATGCGCAGGTCCTTACTGTTGCAGAGATGCATGTAGTCCCCGCTGGTGTGCCAGGGGTAGAAAGAGTGGAAGCGAATCATGTACAGCCCCTGCACAGAAACAACAGCTACTTGTAGGATTAGAGATAGCTCTTGCATGTAGAAGCCAAAGAGAAAAACATTTGAGAAATCAAGTCTAGAAGTGACAAAGCATGAATGTGTGATTGTCTCGTACCTTACTTCCCTGTGTGCTCTCTCCCGTCAGCAAACTGTGCTGCTGCACACTCCTAATCCCCACCATAAGCGGGCCTTCAGCTACTCGCTCCCTAACCCCTGGTACTCTTCTTCCCTAGCCCCTCACTCCCGCCATTTCAATCCTCTTATAACTTCTTAGCTCTGTGATGCGTCTATGATCATCTCCCCATTACCCGAACCCATCGTTATGAAGCATCCAACACATTATCCTAAGTGAAGGGTGCTGTATAACACTATATCAACACAAGTTCTTGAATGACAGTCCCAGCAGTGGAGGGGCAATGAACACAAAGGCGGACAATATTTTGGAGGAGGAGAAGGGTTTTGATGAAAGTTAGGATAATAGTTGCACGTTTTCTGTTATGGAGGAGATTTCTCCATATCTCTTGTTCACTTTCCACCATTCAAGGCAGCTGGTTAGTGCAGAGTAATGGAGGTTAGGGAGCATGGAGTGCGGTGTAATGGAGAGTGTGGAGTAATGGCGGGTATAGAGTACAGAGTAATAGAGGGTATAGTGTGCAGAGTAATGGACGGCAGGAAGTGTGGAGTAATGGGGAGCAGGGAGTGGTGGTGTTAGAATTTAGGAGATGATAAATACAACTATTGCAAAGCAATATAAGTGGTTTGATAGGAAACTGAATGGGACTCGGATGGATGTTCGACTTGTAATGATAAGACTTGTGAGAGTTTTACTGTGTAACAATGGTCATTTTGATCAGTTACATTTGTAAATCATAGAATCATGTTTCGGCACAGAAGGAGGCCATTCGGCCCATCGAGTCTGTGCGGCTCTTTGACAGAGCAATTGACTTTTATTAACCCCACTCACCAGCTTTCTCCCTATAACCCTGCAAACGTCTTCTCCAGATACCTATTCAGTTCTCTCTTAAAAGTTGTTATCGAATCGGACTTCACTGCCCTTTCAGGCAGATCATTCCAAATTCTAACAACTCGCTGAGTGAAAAAATTTCTTCTAACCTCACCTCTGTTTTTTTTGGTGGATATCTTAAGACTGTGACCACGAGTCACAGACACACTGACCAGCGGAAACAGCTTTTCCCTATCTCGCCTGTCAAAACCTTTCATGATCTTGAAGACCTCTATCAGGTCCCCGCGTAACCTTCTCTGCTCTAATGGGAAAAGTCCTAACTTTTCCAGCCTGTCCTCATAGCTAAGCTTCCCCATTCCTGGTATCATTCTCTTGAATCTCCTCTGCACCCTTTCCAGTGCCTTAGTGTCCTTCCTGAGGTAATGTGCCCAGAACTGGACACAGTACTCCAGCTGAGGCCTAACCAGTGTTTTGTACAGATTAAGCATAACCCCTACTCTTATACTCTATGCCCCTACTAATAAAGCTCAGTACACCAAATGCCCTTTTTACTGCCTTATCTACCTGCTCTGCCACCTTCAATGAATCACTTACTTGAACGCCCAGATCTCTCTGTACGGTCACCCCCATTAAGATTGAGCTACCAAGTCTATATTGCCTCCTATCATTTTTCCTACCTAAGTGTATCACCTCACACATATCTACATTGAAATCCATCTGCCACATGTCAGCCCATTCCACCATTCTGTGTATGTTTGCCTGCAGTCCGTCACAATCTTCTTCACTATTTCCTACCCGACCTAACTTGGTATCATCTGCAACTTGGAAATAGTGCTCCTTATGCCCAAGTCCAGATCATTAACATATGTTAGAAAGAGCAGTGGTCCCAATACCGATCCCTGGGGGACACCGCTGCACACCTCCTTCCATTGCGAGAAACACCCATTAACCACCACCCTCTGCATTCTGTCACTCAGTCAGTTCCTAATCCAAACGGCTACTGTCCCCTTAATACCGTGGGCCTCTAATTTTTGGATTAATCTCTTATGCGGTACTGTGTCTAAAGCCTTTTTGAAATCCATGTAAATAACATCCACCGCATTTCCCTCATCAACCCTCGCAGTCACCCCTTCAAAAAATTCTTAGATTTGTTAGGCAAGATTTGCCTTTAACAAATCTATGTTGGCTCTCTCTAAATACCTCGTGTTGCTCTAAGTAGAGATTTATTTTGTCCCGGATTATGGTCTCCAGTAGTTTTCGTATTACCGAGGTTAGGCTGACTGGCCTGTAATTTCCGGGTTTGTCTTTCTGCCCCTTTTTGTAGAGGGGGTAACATTAGCCACTCTCCAGTCTCTTGGCACCACTCCATATTTCAATGACGATTGAAATATAATGGCCAAAGCCTCCGCTATTTGAACCCGTGTCTCCCACAGCAACCTTGGGTGAAACCCATCTGGTCCTGGTGATTTATCAATTTTGAGCCCAGTCAATCTTTTCAGAACTTCCTATTCCGTCTATAGTAATCTGATCTATGTCCTCTACTCTCTCATCTAATACTGTGGCATTTGAGGCGTCCGTTTCCATTGTGAAGACAGATGCAAAGTACTCGTTTAGTACATCAGCCATCCCTCTGCCTCCACAACAAGATTGCCGTCATTGCCTTTGATTGGCCCCACCCTACCTTTAACTAACCTTTTTTCCTTTATGTGCTTATAAAATATTTTAGGATTCCCCTTTATGTTACCCGCTAACCTCTTCTCATGTCTGTCTTATCGCTCTTTTAAGATCACTCCTGCATTCACTATAATGCGCTTTGCTATCCTCAGTGTCTTGCATCCGCCAATTGTCATACGCCATCTTCTTCTTTTTCATCCTAGACAGAATATCCCTGGTCATCCAAGCAGGCTTGGTTCTCGCACATTTCCCTTTTGTGTGAATATATGCCTTTGAGACATTTACTATTTACTCCAGCGCCTTGGGACGTCCTCCCGACGTGAAAGGCGCTCAATAAATGGAATCTTGTTGTTGTATTACAAGAAAAAGGTGCTGAATAAGTGCAAGTTGTTATCCTATCTGACCTACCTGATGAATACAATTCTTCACCTGTACAATGTCTCTTAAGAGGTGGCATAAGGCAATAGTGACCAGCCATGCAGACGGGAAGAGACACACAGTGATTGATCGCATTGAGTTACGTAGGAATGGCACCAAGAATGAGAAACATGATTACACATTACCTCTTCTGGAATTTTGCACTTGTTGACTCTGAGAACGTTGTACATGTATTCTGCAGGGAGAGGCACAAACACACAGCTCACTGGCTTTCAGATCAGGTCACCAAATCAGCAAAGTATTTAATAGCTTAATGGTTGCCCGCAAACACTGAAGGGATGAGTCTTTCTTGAGAGCCTGGAAAGCTATCTAACTAAATAATCATGGCAGGTGACATCGTGCTCTTAATCTTGGAAAGTGGGCATGTGATGCCAAGTGTAGTGACTATTTTTGTAGGCAAACAATTTATCAAATTCCAGCTTGACTAATTTAATAGAGTTTGTTCAGGAAATAACAGAGTAAAGAGAAGGCTGTGGATAATACTAATCCTTGCATCCGTGGAGTCCTGTAGCTCAGTGGTTAGAGCACTCGCTTTGCAAGCGAGAGACCTGAGTTCAATTCCAGGCAGAGGGCGAAACCTTGGGCAAGTTTCCTTACTCCACACACCTAATAATAATCCCTCCAAAACAATAATAAATTGGTCATTTTCAATCTACGACTGTTTGTGGGACATTGCTGTGCGCAATTGGCTGCCGCGTTCGCCCACAAATATACAGTCAATTCACTTTACAGTATATTCTGTGAAGCGCTTTGAGACGTCGAGAAGATGTGAAAAGCGCTAAATCAAATGTAAGGATTATTATTATTATTATCCTTTCACATTGGGAGGACTTCTCAAAGCATTCCACAAGCTACAAGGAAATGTTAAGTGACTGCATTTTGTAGGCAGTATGGCGTACTGTATTTATATAAATAATAATCCTTGCATTTGATATAGCACCTCTTCATTGTCTTCGAGACATCTCAAAGCCTTTCACAGGATACACTGTAAAGTGAATTGACTATGTATTTTGTGGGTGAAACACAGCAGCCAATTGCGCACAGAGATGTCCCACAAACAGTCGTGGATTGAGTGACCACATTTTTCTTTTTTGGGAGGGTCAGAGGCCCCCAAAAAGCGATCTGCCAATCGACTAACAACTGGGTTCGTACTTACTGCTGGGTAAACAGAGGCGCGTGGAGTAAAGAAACTTGTCCAACATTTCGCCCTGCCGGGAATCAAACCTTGGGTGCAGGTGATGGGTGTAGGCGATGGGCACCGTTGTTGGTGATAGTGGGAATGTAACAGCCTTGGGAGGAAGCTGAGTGAAGGGCAAGAAGCAGAGAGGAGGGAAATGGATGTTTCTCAGACAGGAGAGATGTAAACAGTGACAGCCTCAGTGATAGGCAGCACCACTGTTTTCCTCCTTTTATATTAATGATTTGCTACATTTCTAATATTACTACAACAATAAATTGTATTTATATAGGGCCTTTCACGTCAGGAAGACGGCCCAAGGTGCTGGGCAGTTGAGGGTTTTGTAGCTGAGTTGGGGTTTGGAATCACTTTTAAGAGAGAATTAGATAAGTATCTGAACAGAGAGTTTGCTTAGAGAGCCCACACAGCACCTTGCTATCAATATCTATAAAGATGGAAAAGCTAGTTTTACACTGTAAGGTTCCACACAGCTATGAGGTGAATGGGTAATTTATCTGGAGGGTAGCTGGGCAGACATTATCTGCCACATGTACACTATAAAGATATGTCAGAATTGTGTACCCGCCTTTACATTCACGCAGGGCAGCTCTTACCATCGTGTCCCCAGGACATCAGCACTTTGTCCAGGCCACAGTTTGGCTCATAAATTCCACACAGCGAACTGCAGTAACAGCAATAACAGGAGGGAAGTCAGTGTAGCCAGGACAACCCAAACACTAACAGGCGACACAGCACCCAAATAATAATCAGCCTGGCATTTGATGCAGTGCTTTCTATCTCTGGAGGATGTCCCAGCGCTTCACAGGATGTACTGTTTATTTTGCAGGTGAGCTGAGCAACTGTTTGGGCACAGCAGTGTCCCACACACAGCTGTGAAATCAATGACCAATTTTATTTGGGGGATTATTGGCCAGGACACCGTGCTACACGGTGGCAACAGCAGATTGGTGTATCTTAGCACACCACTGAGCTCACAAAGATAAAACTCTGCTTCCTTCTCACTGGCAGAGTCTCATAAGGGAGGCTCTCTTACTTGTAACGTGGGTCCTTCTGGTCTGGATTTTCAGTAAACGTGGAGTCTCTGTAGACGATAGAATTCTGAAAACGACATCCGACTGGATACGAATCTCCCACCACAGACCACTGGGAAACGCAGTGATTATAGGATTAGCATCTCACGTCAATGATAATCATAGAGAATCCTTTTCCTGAGGGACAGTCTGACCAGCCCATACACCTGCTGAGGGACAGTCTGACCAGCCCACACATTGCCTGAGGAAGGGGATAGAGCTGGGGTTGGTCCAGGTGGAGTCGGATTATAATGGTACTAACTTTGCCTGTACATATCTTGATCGGGAGCTGAGTGGCAGGTGATTGAAGATGGTTCCTCTGCTCCTGGTGTCACAAATGCAGTCCAACAGGACAGCACACCCCACTTACCGCGCTCTATAGGGAAAATGCAGGGAAGTGGCATTGAGGTCCAGATCAGCCATGATCTAATAAAATGCTGGAATAGGTTCTGGGGGCTGAATGGCCTTCTCAATTACTTATGAATCACTGGCCTGGCTTTGGTTCTCAATAAAGATTCTCAGGTTTCATTGGAAGTCATGTTCTCTGCAATTTCTTAAAAGGAAATCAGTTTCCAAATTAAGGCTGGATTTAAGAATTTTACATTTACAAACTAAACGGGCTGAAATTGGTCAGAATGTATTTTAGTCAGCTGGGTGTCTGACACATGGGGAAACCATCAAGGTGCTTAACAATCTCAAATCATACTGAAAGTTCCACATATGTATGTCACCTACATATAGAGATGTCCCTGTGTCTGTAACGGAATGTGCCCTATCTCCCTGGAGGGAGACATCCTGATTACCTAATTCCAGAGTTACAGTTGACAAGAGCTAAGGCTTGGGGACTCCAGATTGCGGTGGAGTAACTGCTGGAATCTAACCAGCTAAAACCACATAGCTTGCCATGGAGAGCACTGTCTGGCCAAGCTTTCCTGCTGCTTGTCCACCTGGGATCACCCTACCCCATTAGGGCTTTAGCTGCAGGGTTAACAGTGGGAAGAATCACTGCTCCAGTGGGAATTCTAGGGATGTTGCTCATGTCAGTGGATTATTTAATGATCCGAAGAAATACATTGATAATCAGGTTGCTTAAGACTTCAGTTCTCAAGCCAATCACAGTACAGCTCCTTTTGTGTTTGTACTAGCATTGTGTGATCCTCTCTGAATGTGGCCCCACTCCAACCAGTACAAAGGGGGATTGTGGTTACAGAACACCATCCTTACTTGCGGCTCACCCCACAGTGCAAGTATTTTTCCTGCGTCATGTATCAGGCCTACGAGGTGCAGCCAATCTGAAATACACAAAAACATACAGTCAGTGAAGCAGCTGGATGGAGTAATCTACTAAAATCCAGGTGTGATACAATGGCCTACATCCAGCTAGGATTGGCTAGACAGTGAGATAGAGCCATGCCCTACACCCAGCTAGGATTGGATGGACAGTGCAATGGTCTATTCCTGATACTGGATATGTTTTTAACAAGTGGGAAGCTTGCTAGACAATGCTCTCAATGTATATTCTTAATGTTGCTCACCTTTATCTGGATGGTCCTTCCTGATCTCCTCTGCTGTTTGATAGGCGTGGAAGGAGTTTGGGACATCAACATCTGGGTCGGACTCATCTACCAAGTCATCAAGGGCACAAAGGGCTTCCATCAGAGTCATCTCCTTGTGATTGCATGAGGCCCACTGGATGTGCTGGGAAACAGAAACCTTGTTCTGATTTGATATTAAACCAAGGTCCTGTTCAGGTGAGACGATTGGGAAAAATCCTCCAAGTTAATTAGTTCACGTCATGATTTTTCTGGGGACTTTGTTGTGTGCAAAATGGCTGCCATATTTACTTAAAAACACAGTGATTGCACGTGATAGCAATACAAATACAATTTCTTCAACTACTAAAGCCACCATAATCCAGGCTCTGATAACATAGATGTATATCAGCCTGGACTCACTTACTAGCTCTCGTGTCTCAGAGTCCGAGGTTTGTGGATTCAAGCCCCACTTCTGGACTTTGAAGAACCGTGGGTTGTCCTCCTGACATGAAAGCCGCTATATAAATGTAATTTGTTGTTGTTTGAAGGCTGACACACCAGTCCAGTGCTGGTGGATGAGGAAGAGACCTTAAACCAAGGTCCCGTTTGCGGCTGCAATTTCGGGAACACCATTAACATACCGCTAGGTCCTGTGTCCAGTTAAGGTGGATGTTAAAGATCCTATGGCACGAAAAGAGAAGGGAGTTTCTCTCAGTTTACAATTCCCTAGATAAAATTGATCATTCAGTTCATGCCTGTTAGCTGAGTGCAAATTACCTGTGTGTTTGCCTACAATTATACACCCACTCCTGTTACCTCATCTCTGCCCCGCTCATTGCTAGCAGCTTCATAACATAACATGTAGAAGCAGGAGTAGGCCATTCGGCCCTTCGAGCCTGCCCTGCCATTCAATCATGGCTGATCTTCTAATCTAACTCCAGCTAATAACCTAACCCTGCCTTATCCCCATTTCCCTTAATCCCTTTTGCAATCAGAAATATATCTATCTCGCCTTCCTAATTGCTGCTGCACCTGCAGACTAACTTTCTGTGATTGGTGTACAAGGACACCCAAGTCCCTCTGGACGCTAACACATTCCAATCTCTCCCCTTCTAAAAAATAACCCACTCTACTGTTTTTGCTCCGGTGGATGACTTTGCACTTCCCTACATTATACTTCATCTGCCACCTACCTTCCCAATCACCTAACCTATCTATGTCTCACTGCATTTTTTTAATGTCATCCTCTGTGTTGACCCTTCCTCCTAGTTTTGTGTCATCCGCGAATTTAGATATATTAACTTTGATGTCCTCATCTAGATCGTTGATGTAGATGGTAAATAGCTGAGGCCCAAGGACTGATCCTTGTGGCACTCCACTAGTCACATCCCGCCAATCTGAAAAGGACCCGTTTATCCCCACTCTTTGTTTCCTACCGTTAACCATTCCCCAATCCACGTTAATATGTTCCCCCCAATTCCATGAGCCCTTATCTTTTGGACTAACCTTTTATGCGGCACCTTATCGAATGCCTTCTGGAAGTCCAAATAGACCACATCCACTGATTCACCCTTATCTAGTTTACTGGAAATATCCTCAAAAAACTCTGAGATTTGTCAAACATGACTTCCCTTTTGTAAAGCCATGTTGACTTGGCCTAATTATATTGTGCCCTAAATACCGCACTACCACATCCTTAATCAATGTTCTAATTTTTTTCCTATCACTGATGTGAGACTAACTGCCTATAGTTCCCCATCTTTTCCTTTCCACCCTTTTTAAATAGTGGCGTGACATTTGCGATCTTCCAATCCATGGGGACTGTTCCAGAATCCAAGGAATTTTGGAAGATCAGACACAAGGCCACCACTATCTCATAAGCTCCTCTTTTAAAACCCTGGGATGCAAGCCATCCGGACCAGGGATTTGTCAGTTTTTAGTGCTAACAGTTTCCCAGCACCAATTCTCTACTAATGAGAATTTCCCTAAGATGCACCCTGTCCTTATCCCGTTGGTGCATCTCTGTTGTTGGCAGACTTGTGTCTTCCAGGGTGAAGATAGATGTAAAGTACCCATTTAGGCACTCTGCCATGTCCTTATCCCCCATTACAACTTCTCCCATCTCTGACTGTAGTGGACCTACATTTACCCTCACAGCCTATTCCTCTTAATATATCTGTAAAAATTTTTACAATCAAACTTAATGTTCCTAGCGAGCTTACCCTCATACTCCTTTTTCTCGCTCTTAATGAGTTTTTTAGTTTTATTTTGCTGGTTTCTAAAACTCCCAATCTTCAGATTTGCTGCTTTTCTTAGCAGTTTTATAAGCCTTTTCTTTTAATTTGATGCTTTCCCTAACTGCTCTAGTTAGCCACGGATGAATTGCTTTCCCTGTGGTACTCTTATTCCGCAAGGGAATATGCGACCACTGAGAATTTTGCACTACATCCTTAAATATTTGCCACTGTTGGTCTACAATTTTACCTCTTAATCTTATTCTCCAGTCTATTTTACCTAAATCTTTCCTCATACCTACAAAATTAGCCCTACTTAAATTCAGAATACTTGCCTCGGATTTAACTGTATCCCTCTCTAACATAATGCAGAATTTGATCATATTGTGATCACTCTGCCCAAGAGGATTCTTAATACCTACACTGCCGACTCGCCCTGGTCGCCACAAAACAAGGTCTAGGATGACCTGTCCCCCAGTTGGTTCCTCGGCATGCTGCTCTAGAGAGTTATCTCTCATACACTCAATGAACTCTTCTGACCTACTTTTGCCGATTTGGTTTTCCCAATCTATGTGGAGATTGAAATCACCCACTATTATCCTTTACCTTTCCTACACACTCCACTGATTTCTTGATTGATACCTTATGCTATATTGTGATCGCTGTTTGGGGGTCTATAAACCACTCCCATTAATATTTTCTGCCCTTTATTATTTTTTATTTCCACCCATATTATCTCGACCTCCTGGTCATCGGATTTCAGATCCTTCCTCTCCACTGCTTTTATTTCATCCCTAATTAACAGGGCTCCCCGCCCCCCACGCCCCCTCACCTCGTTTCCCACAGTGCCTATCTTTCCTGTAAACTGAGAACCCTGGAATATTTAACTCCCACCCTAGATCTCCTTGTAACCACGTTTCAGTGATGGCCACTCGATCGTACCCATATGTGTGTATCTGTGCTTTTAGTTCATCAGTTTTATTCTGAATGCTTCGTGCATTCAGATATAACATGTTTAATTTCCTACCATTTCCTCTTCTCTCTGATTCCTTATCTACTTTGCCAAAGCTCCTTACCCCTCGTTAACATATTCCTATTATCTGGCATGCTATTCTGCACTGTCATCTTTACTTTTTCTCGTGCTAACTTATGGTTTCTCTTACCTATATATTCCCCCCCCTTTACTAGTTTAAATTCCTATTTATTTCCCTGTTAATTTGTTTTGCTAGGATATTTGTCCCAGCATGATTTAATACTCGTGCCAATGGCCCATAAAAAGAAACCACTGATTTCCGCACCACTCTTTTAGCCATGTCCTTAATTTGTCTGTTCCTGTACCAATTGTCGTAAGGTACAGGCAGTAGTCCCGATATCACCACCTTCGATGTTCTCGACTTCAATTTGGACCCCAGCTCTTCGAATTCCCTTCTCAAGTCATCTTGGCTTTTTTTCTTTTTATTATAGTCAAGAGTCCAGCCTGCTCCCCCCCCCCGCCCAGCCTGCTCCCCACCACCCCGCCCAGCCTGCTCCCCACCCCCCCGCCCAGCCTGCTCCCCCACCCCCCCCGCCCCCCCCCGCCCAGCCTGCTCCCCACCCCCGCCCAGCCTGCTCCCCGCCCAGCCTGCTCCCCAGTCCCCCGCCCAGCCTGCTCCCGACTAGATCAACTGGTAGGAGCTTACCTTGTCCTTCACAAAGCGGACTGTTTGGTAGGTGTGCATCAGGCAGTAGGTTTGGTGAATCCGATTGCTCCAGCGGCCACTCTGAGATAGAACAAAAACAAGGCTTTAGATTTTTCTCCTCATTGTGTCCTGATTCGTTTGGTTTATATTCACTCAAACCAAATTCCTAGAACCTCCAGGGCATTCATTCCAATCTAGTGTCTTCCTGTGTTTAAATTCCATGGGAGCCTTCCCAATCCCTACCCTGGCCTCCGCATCCCCCTCCTCCTAATCAGCCTGGCTCAAATGGTCGTGCACTCGCTTCTGAGTTAGAAGGTTGTGGGTTCAAACCTCTTGTTTGTTCAGATGGATATTAATGTCCCATGGCACTGAAGGATGATGCCTCCAAGCCCCACCCAATAAGGAGGATCAACCAAAATAGTGAGTTCACAGTCCCCACGTGAGGGGATTATTTTAAGAGAAAGGCGATGTGTGTAAATGCTTCAAACCTGGGGGGAGATTGTATCTTAGTATCTTACCTGATAATTTCTGTAATCAGCTGGCCCCAGAATTCCACTGTCTTCAGCCATGTCAATATAGCACAGGCGGGAAGTGTGTTGCTGTTCACAGTCATTAAATAGAGGGGAGAAATTTAATATCATCATCAAAATAAACAAAGAGAGAATGTTCAGATAGAATAGTTATTAGAACAAATGTCTCACAAGGTCACTGGTTGAACACAGGACACACACACACATTACAGTGTGAACACGGCACATGCACATTACAGTGTGAACACAGGACACACACACATTATAGTGTGAACACAGGACACACATTACAGTGCGAACACAAGACACACACATTACAGTGCGAACACAAGATACACACAGGGACCAGCAGCAATACAGCAATAACCTGTTCTGCCACTCTGTCCCCACCCTCTGGAACTCCATCCCACAGTCCCTCCACCTTGCCCCCTCCTTCAAGACCCGTCTCAAGACCCTCCTCTTCAACACAAGACACACATACGCATTACAGTGTGAACACAGAACACAAACACACACATTACAGTGTGAACACAGGACACAAACATACACATTACAGTGAACACAGGACACAAACACACATTAGTGTGAACACAAGACACACACAAACACATTACAGTGCGAACACAAGACACACACATTACAGTGCAAACACAAGACACACACAAGGACCAGCAGCAATACAGCAATAACCTGTTCTGCCACTCTGTCCCCACACTCTGGAACTCCATCCCACAGTCCCTCCACCTTGCCCCCTCCTTCAAGACCCGTCTCAAGACCCTCCTCTTCAACACAAGACACACATACGCATTACAGTGTGAACACAGAACACAAACACACACATTACAGTGTGAACACAGGACACAAACATACACATTACAGTGTGAACACAGGACACACACATTTACAGTGCGAACACAGGACACACACAGGGACCAGCAGCAATACTAACCAATGTGCAATGGGTGCTGATCGCTCAGTGGCTGAGGGTAAACTCTGTGTTTAAAGGCTGAGTGAGGGGTGGGGTCCAGGGTTGGTGAACCTTCAGGGTCTTGTCAACAATGCGACCTTTTTGTCTTCATTAGTTTATTAACTGTTACTCGTTCAGAGAGAGGTTTATCATTGAGCCAGATTACAATTCACTTTCACCTCCTGCCTCTGAAGTTCTACATAGTTTGAGACTTGCTGACCATTCTCTACATTCTCCTACAATTAGGAAATGAGTTTCCTGCAGCTCTTGAACAGGATGCAAATTAATACTCAGTTAACATTTTTCCACAATTCTTCGCGATTTTACCTATTAAAATAAAAGGGTCTGATGAGTTGATATAAGATGGAATTTTAGACGGCTTGTTTCTGAACAACAAGTCCACAGTCACCACATCCCACATCATTGCCATTGTCCAAGGGCAGTCTGTAGAACCGTAGAGCCACTTGACCTATTGTGTCTGTGCCATTCCTTCAAGAGCAATCGTTTCAGTCTCACTTCCCTGCTCTTTCTCCCCTCAGCCCACTTGAGCTGACTCTGTTTGAGGTCTCTGTCTAGTTCCCGCTTGAAGCCAATGTGGATTTTGCCTCGACCACCACTCCCAGCAGCACATTCCATATCCTAACCTCTCTGTGTGTCAGAACATTCACCTAACCTCTCTGTTTGCTCATTTACTATCTTAAATTGATGCCCTCTTGTTACTGACTCACTAACCGGTGGAAATAATGTCTATTGACTATCAAAAGTCTCATCAATTTAAAGCCCTCGATCAGGTCGCCATGCTTGGTTCCAACGAAAAAGCCCCAGTTCCTCGCGTCTCCAAAGTCCCTGCTTGTTGGCCTCCCCAACTCCTCCCTCCACAGGCTGCAGATTATCCAGAACTCTGCAGCCTGTGACCTCTCCTGCGACAGGCTCTCTGACCCTTTCAGCCCCATCTTCGCCCAACTTCACTGGCTTCCCATCACACAGAGGACTTAGTTCAAGATCCTGGTCCTCACCTTCAAAGCATGCCATGGTCTTGCTCCCCCCGACCTCTGCCACCTCCTAACGCCCTTCCATCCTGCTCGCTCCCTCCACTCAGCATCATGTCCAACAACTTGCTCGCCCCACTGTTGCTGGGTGGAGCTTCTGCCACTCTGCCCCCACCCTCTGGAACTCCATCCCACAATAAGTGGACTGCGTCCACTTCCCCTGTAACTGCGTCCACTTCCCCTGTAACTGCGTCCACTTCCCCTGTAACTGTGTCTATTTGGACCTACAATTATACCTTATCGTGTTGTCAAACCGAATCAAATCATTTCCCAGAACATACTGTAAAGTGGAATAACTTTGTAATTTTACAGATGAACAAGCAGACAATTTGTACACAGTGATGTTCCAGGAACGCAGTCAGAATTAGTGTGAAGGGAAAAGCGGTCAGGCTGCTTGTTGGGGGTGTAACCCGGGCTCTCCTCGGGCCTGAACTGGCTCCAAGGTGAAATGCTTGGCCACGGTGTTTTGGAATCTAGTTCCAAGTGTGTCAGACACCTGACTGACACAACGATATCCATTTATGTAGTGTCCTTCACGTAGGCAAGAGTCTTGGAGCACTTAAACCCCATATCAATGGTCATGAAATAATCCAAAAGGACTCACATAATCCAGGAACGCACTTCACAGTAACTTGCTGAGTGTCGTACAAGTCAACAATTAAGGCATGTTTCAGAGGTGGGAAAGCTACAGGCGTTTAAAATAATCTTTGTGGTTAGGAGAGTAGGAACAGGAGGAGCCATTCAGCTCATCCAGCCTGCTCCACCAGTTATGATGATCTCGGAAATCTATTAATACCATTTCTCCATGGCGTTTCTTTCCCTTAATGAACATTAATAATAATCCTAACTTTCGGATAGCTCCCTTCACACCGGGAGGACGTCTGAAAGCGCTTCAAAGGATTCACTGTAAAGTATAGTGACAGTGTGTTTTTATGGGGATAGCCCTATTAATCTTTTCCAGTCGATTCTGCCTCTACGGTCTCCTAGTGTTCTGTATTCTCACCGCCCTCTATTGTGAAGAAATATTTCCTGATCTCATTTCTAATCACCCTGGTTCTAGGTTTAAGAGAACAAGAGCCATCGGTGCCTCAGGTGAACATGTGATTGAGCAGGAGACATTCAACTGAAGAAAGTTGATTCTCATTCAGGACTTGATGTGTGACAGGCAAACCGTCAGAGCAGCAGTGATCCTGGAGTTGAGGATGAAGGCAGAGAGATAGAGTTGAGTGTAATCCGCATATAAGTAGAAGTTAACTCCATGTCTGCGGAGGTGGTGGGGTGGGAGGGGTCACTGAGCGGGAGCATATAGATAGTGAAGAGGGGAGGACCGAGGATAGAGGTCTGAGGAACACTATAAGTAGCTGTAAGAATCTATAGACCTATCTCTTCAACAACAGTTTCAGATTCCCCTCCCTACCCCACTCCAAGCCTGGGCTCGCACTCCATCTCTCTATACAACAATAATAATAATCCTTGCATTTGATACGGCGCATTATCACTTTTCAAGACGTCTAAAACGCTTCACAGGATACAATGTAAAGTGAAGTGATTGTATATAAATGTAACATGGTGTCTGCTAGTGAGCGCTTGTGAGCTCTGATGACTGATGCAAGGTCAAGTTCAGTCACCAGGTAGGTCTAAGTGCAAAAACAAACACAAAAGCTGAATATTACACAAATTTCTGACTTATTAACTGATTAGAAGCATCAACTTGTCCTAACCTGACCTGAGCTTGTCCTATCATCTGTGACCTGGACTCGGAAGAGGCACATTCCCTCTCTCAGCAGTTAACTTTATACTGACCTTTCTCCTTAATAACAAGAAAAACGTAGAATCAACAACAATCCTGAACAACACACAAGAGACAATGAACTCCAGTCAGCTCTCTACAGTTAAACTTTCTACCTTCTGCCCTCCCAAGTCGTGCCAACAAACCAGACTTGCTGATCTGTCATCAACAGTGCCCTGGAATCCTGCCAAGACTACCACGAGGGGGTTCACTTGATTCTAACATTTAGCCCCTTCAGCCCAGGTATCAGCCTAGTGATAGTTACTGGACATCCTGCCCGGCTGACATTGGGAGCCCCAAACTGACCCAATATTCCAAATAACGTGAGCAGCTGTGTCTAACCAGAGAAACACCTCCTTCCTTTATATTCCAGTAATAAACACCAGCATCAAATGTGCCTCAGTGACTGATTTCTGATTTTAATCTCTGAGCTTGAGCCCCAGATCTCTGCTCGTCTCCCCCTCACAGGGTTTCCATTGCCACCTCACACTCTCTGCTCCTCACACACTCCTCTCACAGTGACAGAGCCAAGGACAGTGATCCGTGACAGGGACAGTAATGGGGCAATGCCCAGGGCAGTGACTGGGTTAATAACAATCTTTGCAATTAACTCTGTGCCAATAACACAGCATTAACCTTGTGTGTGAGAGTTTATACAATTTATATTTACATATCACTGGTGATCTCGAGAGGAAGTCTTTCAAAGTGCTTCACACAGATCAGGGGAGGAGAGAGTGACAGTATGGCTGAGGGCACGGCCTGTACACGTGGCAGATCCAGTGTGAAGCAAAGAGACTGAGCGCAAGGGTCATTGATCCTCAGCGTCGCTCCCTCCACCTCGGCCTCTCTCCTCAGCCTCTCCCCTCGGCTCACTGAGACCCTCGTTCACACCTTCACCAAGTCCAGGCTTCACTGCACCAATGACCTGCCCGCCCTCCACACCCCAGTTGTGTGCAATTGGCTGCTGCATTTCGCTCACAAATGATATAGTCAGTACTTTAAATGCTGTGAAGCGCTTTGAGATGTTTCGAAGAAGTGATAAGGTGCTATATCAAATGCAAGGATAATTGTTGTTATAATTGTTGTTTGATATAGCGCCTTATCACATCAAAATGCTTCACAGAATGTACTGTAAAGTGCAGTGACTATGAAAAGCTATTTATAGTTACAGATAATAATAGTTTCTGTATTTATAATAATAATCCTTGCAGTTGATATAGCAATTTTCACGACTTTGAGACGTCTCAAAGCGCTTCACAGAATATACTGTAAAGTGAATTGACTGTATTATGTGGGCCAAACGCAGCAGCCAATTGCGCACAGCAGCGTCCCACAAACAGATGTGGATTGAGGGACCAAATTATTGTTTTTTTTTGAGGGATTATTATTCTGGAAAAGTGATCCGCCAAACGACTAATAATCGGGTTCACTCTGCTGCTAAACAGAGGTGTGTGGAGTAAGGAAACTTACCCAGCGTTTCGCCCTGCCTGGGAATCAAACCTGGGTCCTCTCACTTACGAGGCGGGGGCTCTAACCACTGAGCTGCAGGACTCCACAAGGTTATTATAGGTTATTTATTATGTATTTCCTAGTTAATAATATGTAAATATATATATAATTTGTGATATATAGACTGCATGTGTAGCCTGTTACAATGAGTGGTGGTGAAATCCCATATGTGTATGTAATATATATATTATATAAATGTGTGAATATGTATTCTATAATAAAACAAAGTCTGTGTGTGTTTTAGGCCAAGATCTCAATATTCGATCGATGTAACGACATGATTTATACCTCATCGGTATTGTCCCGGGATCTTCTGCCGTTGATGAAGCTATATGTGGAGTCCTGTAGCTCAGTGGTTAGAGCACTCGCTTTGCAAGTGAGAGACCTGAGTTCAATTCCAGGCAGAGGGTGAAACCTTGGGCAAGTTTCCTTACTCCACACAGAGCCTAATAATAATCCCTCCAAAACAAAACAATAATAAATTGGTCATTTTCAATCTACAACTGTTTGTGGGACATTGCTGTGCGCAATTGGCTGCCGCGTTCGCCCACAAATATACAGTCAATTCACTTTACAGTCTGTTCTATGAAGCGCTTTGGGACGTCCTCCCGACGTGAAAAGCGCTGTATCAAATGCAAGGATTATTATATTTAAAAAATGCTTCAATTAAGCCCCAAAATGAGGTAAACATAGTCTCTGCAATACAATAGCGACATGAAATCACAGCCCCTTTCAGAGAGATTCATCCTGGGACAACAAGACAATACAGACCAATGGAAAGGGATCAGGAGGGAGAAAAGCAGCGAGGAGGAAGGAAGGGGGCCGGGCTGAGGGAGGGAGAGAGGGGGCCGGGCTGAGGAGGGAGGGGGCCGGGCTGAGGGAGGGAGGGAGGGGGCCGGGCTGAGGGAGGGAGGGAGGGGGCCGGGCTGAGGGAGGGAGAGAGGGGGCCGGGCTGAGGGAGGGAGGAGGGGCCGGGCTGAGGGAGGGAGGGGCCGGGCTGAGGGAGGGGAGGGGCCGGGCTGAGGGAGGGAGGGGGCCGGGCTGAGGGAGGGAGGGGGCCGGGCTGAGGGAGGGAGGGGCCGGGCTGAGGGAGGGAGGGGCCGGGCTGAGGGAGGGAGGGCCGGGCTGAGGGAGGGAGGGGCGGGCTGAGGGAGGCAGGGAGGGGCTGAGGGTGAGAGGGAGGGGCTGAGGGAGGCAGGGAGGGGCTGAGGGAGGGAGGGTGGGCTGAGGGAGGGCGGGGCTGAGGGAGGGAGGGCGGGCTGAGGGAGGGAGGGCGGGCTGAGGGGGGGAGGGCGGGCTGAGGGAGGGAGGGCGGGGCTGAGGGAGGGCGGGGCTGAGGGAGGGAGGGCGGGGCTGAGGGAGGGAGGAGGGCGGGGCTGAGGGAGGGAGGGGCGGGGCTGAGGGAGGGCGGGGCTGAGGGGGGGCTGAGGGCGGGCTGAGGGAGGGAGGGGGGGGCTGAGGGAGGGAGGGCGGGGCTGAGGGAGGGAGGGCTGGGCTGAGGGAGGGAGGGCGGGGCTGAGGGGGGGCTGAGGGAGGGAGGGCGGGGCTGAGGGAGGGAGGGCGGGGGAGGGGGGGCTGAGGAGGGAGGGCGGGGCTGAGGGAGGGAGGGCGGGGCTGAGAGGGGGGCGGGGCTGAGGGCGGGGCTGAGGGAGGGAGGGCGGGGCTGAGGGAGGGAGGGCGGGGCTGAGGGCGGGGCTGAGGGAGGGAGGGCGGGGCTGAGGGCGGGGCCGGGGTCACACACACTGCCCAAGAAAGGGACCAACCAACAGGAGTCTGTGTGTCTGTCTGTCAGTCAGGGCCGGTTGCTAAGGGCCGGTTGCTAAGTGCTGGTTGCTAGGGCGTGCGGCCTATTATGGGCTGGGTGTTTGGCGCAGGCGCATTGCCGCACGATGGCGGCGGGTCGGTGGCGGCCGCGTCCTTGAGCATCAGCGGCGGCGGCGATGGCTCGGCTCGCGGACTACTTCCTGGTTGTGGGCTACGACCATGAGAAGCGCGGTGAGTGAGGGGGGGACCCGCCCGGGGGCCCGGGGCCCGGGGCTCCGGCCCCGCTCAGCACCTCAGCCCCAGGCTCTGAGGCCTGCACTCCAGAGGGCGGCGCCCGCCGCACTGACAGCGCCGACTGACAGCCCGGAGCGGCTGGTGAGGCCCTCCCGCCCCGGGGGCCACGGGGGGGGAGACGTGTTCCCGGGACTGGACCCCGTTCACCCGCTTAAGAGTCTCCAAACCAAACTGAGATCTCCGTGTACCTACACATGGAAATCCCACAGGGAGAGTGTTGGGATGGAATGCGCTCTCTCTCTCTCTCTCTCTGTCCCTGGAGAGAGACTTCCTGTTTACCTAATTCCGGAGAGTATGAGGCGCAGGTTGGCGAGAGCCAAGGCTGGAGGGGGGGCCCAGGGTGTGTGTTGGGGTAACTGCTGGAGTCTAAGCAGCTAAACCCACACAGGTTGGCCATCGATATCACTGTCTGGCAGCTTTCCCACCGCTTGTCCAGCTGGGACCACCCTCCCCGTCAGGGCTTTGGCTGTGGGGTTACCAGGAGCTGAGGGGGAGGGGGATTCCCGGCCCCCAGTGACTGGTCGGCCCTTCCAGGTCCTGCTGATGAGCCGGGCCGGGCTGTGCTGCCATCAGCAGTGAGTGGCCGGGACACTGCAGAGAGAATCAGAGAGAGGGAATCAGAGTGGGCTGGAGAGAGAGAGAGAGAGAGGGACTGCAAAGTACCGATGAAGGTGAATGATTGTAGATTTTGGAGAGGGAGAAGGGAACAAAACTATATGGTGACTTGCACGTCAAGAGGATATCTCAGTGTGCTTCACAGAGCAACTGGGAGCCTGAGCTGAACGTGTGGGGAGCTGAGGGTGAGTGTGATGGGAAAGGAGAAGAAGGTGGAGAGGTACAACAGCCTGGGAGGAAGCTGCTGAGAAGCACTTTGAGTAAATTCCTCCAGACAATATTTACCCTTCAAGCTTCAGTTCCCTGCTCTGAGGGAGGGGAAGGAAATGGGGGGTGTCCGAGCTGGTCTGCACTGTGGTGGTACAGCCTAGAGAGAGGATGCTTTGCGAGCTGTGTGATGACAGCTCATGGTTTCAGACTGTCCACTGGCTTCAGTGAGGAATGAGTGTACAATTTCAGTGTTTGTGGTCTCTTTCTGGAGGAAGATTGTCTACTTCCCTATCTATAACCTTGGTAAATTGTGGCTTTAGCGGGGAAGAGACAAGTGTGTAACGTGAAAAAGGGTTTGCATTCTTCACCACACATGAGTCAGCAAACGTGTAATGTAAGAGTGTTTGTACCAGGCAGCAAGTGTGTGTAATGTGAGTGTTTACACGAGACAGCAAGTGTGTGTAATGTGAAGAAGTTACATATGGCGTGTGCACGTGAACATGCTGAGAGAGTTGTCTCTTTAATTCCGCAATCCTGCCTGTTACCCTACCCCCATGTTTTTATATTTTTCTTTTTCAAAGATTTCTCTAATTCCCTTTTAATAACTGTTAAGGATACAGTTTTAATCAACTGTTCCATGACCTAATATCCCTCTGTTTGGGTGTAAATTCTTCTTCTAACCTCTCTCTTTGTGATTTGCTGATGATCTGATACTGATGCCCTCTATATCCCGGGCCACTAGTGGGGAGAGTTTCACCAGTTAAACCCCTTGCTGATGTGAGCATGGTGATGATTCTCCTCATGACTTGCCCTGTGCTGACATTCTTTCCACCTGCAACCGTTCTCTCTGTCTCCTCGTCTTTCTCGACCTCTCGGCCGCTCTCGATACCATTGGCCACTCTATTCTTCTCCTCCACTTCTCCTCTCACCTCCATCTCAATGGTTCTGTTGTTGCCTGGTTCCAATCCTACCTTTCCCATCGGCTTCTCCGCTAGCCCCCGCAGTGTCAAGTGTGGTATCCCTCAGGGCTCTGTCCTCAGTCCCCTCTTCAAGCTATACATTCTCCCGCTCGGCAATGTCATCCTCAGGCACTGGGTCAATTCCAGCATGTGTGCAGATGACTCCCAACTCTTATCTCACCAACTCCACCCTCATCCCCAGGACCATTGATATCCCAGCAAATTGTCTGTCTGACATCAAGTCCTGGATGAGAGCCAACTTCCTCCAGCTCAATATTGGCGAGACCGAGGCCTTTCTGCTTGACTCCCGGCAGAGTCTCCTCACCTCAGCCACTGACACTATCACCATTCAAGTTTACTCTCTTCACCTCACCGAGCCAATCTGAAACCTTTTTGACCCTCAGCTATCCTTCAAACTCCACATTCCGCCTTTCCTCAAACTCCGCAACATTGCCAGCCTCTGCCACTGCCTCTCACTGCAGGCCGCCGAAAGCCTGATCCACGCTTTCATTACATCCCGGCTTGACTACGTCAACTGCCTGCTCACTGGATTTTCCAACTCTTCCCCCCACAGGCTGCAGATTATTCAGAACTCTGCAGCTTGAATCCTCTCCCACACCAGGCTCTGGGAACCTATCAACCACGTTCTTGCCTGGCTTCACGGGATCCCCATCCCTCAGAGAATCCAGGACAAAACCTTCGTACTTTACCTTCAAGTCCCTCCATGGTCTTGCTCCCCCCCCCCACCCTCTCCGACCTCATATCAGCCTGTCAGCTCTCCACTCGGTGGACACCAGCAGCTTCAGGTCCCCCACACTTCCCACCCCATCATTTGTGATTGGACATTTAGCATCTCTGCTCCCACACTCTGGAACTCTATCCTGCAATCCCTCGGCCTCACCCTCTCTTTTGCCTCCTTCAAGTCCGTCTGAAGACTTTTCTCTTCAATCGTGCCTTTGGCCATCCTCCCACCTCCCCATCCCTCTTGCACTTCTGACCTCAACTCCCATGTCGGGTCCAAAAACCCTGATTGTCCAGCGTCCTGGGATGTCTTTCCGACGTGAAGGGCGCTGTACAAGTGTAATTTGTTGTTGTTGTGCTAGTGACTCAGCTGCAGTTTGTCTTGATTTTATTTAGTCCTTTTTTCTTGAATCAGTCAAGAACTGGGTCTGCTGTAAGAATAGCTGTTTCACCTTCAGGCCCTGAGCTAAACTGTGGGCAGGGCAACAACAACAACTTGCACTTATATAGCGCCTCCATGCAGGGCAGTGTCTCGTAGCGCTTAAGCTGAAGGCGAAACGGCTATTCTTAGAACAGAGCCAGTTCTTCATTGATTCAAGAAAAAGGACTAAACACGTCACCTCACCCCAACATGCAAACAGCCTGGTACCCAACCACCCGGCCAGTCTGTCAATTAATCAGAAGACAAACTGCGGCTGAGTCACTAGCACAACAACAACAACAACAAAGGGCAGAGGGAAACACTAACACAACTGCTGATCCCCAAACCCCTCCCTGACCCAATCAGCCCCATACTGTGCCCAGCCCTGCCAGTGAACAGTAATTCGCACAGATCGTGTGGTAGTATCTGCCTATAATACTCACAATGAGGATTTCTGGAATTGGCTGCTGTGTTTCACCCATAAAAAAATGCAGTCAATTCACTTTACAGTATATTCTGTGAAGCGCTTTGAGATGTCTCGAAGACGTGATGAGGCGCTGTATCAAATACAAGGATTATTATTATTGAAACATGGAATGTTTAGTGTAAGTGGACGATGGTTGAGGCTGAGACCAGAACAACATTTAACAGGGAATTGGATAAATATTTTGATAGGAAGAATATAAATGGATGCAGGGAATGGGGTTAGAGTAGAGAGCTCCAGTGGGGGAGAGAGCCCCAACACAGACACCATGGGGAGAGAGAGAGAGAGAGAGCAGGGAATGGGGTTAGAGTCGCTTTTTTTGATCAGTCAGATTTCTGACACCTGCAGAAACCCATCAACGTGCTTAAGAGTATCCAAACCATACTAACCATCCTAAGTATACATGGCAATCCAATGGTATTCAAATGGAATATGCACCCACTCCCTGGAGGGACTAATTTTGCGTGTGTGTGTGTGCCCTGACTGTGTGTGTGCCCTTCCTGCCTGAGTGCACGTGTGTGCCTGCCTGTGTGTGTGTGCGCGCACCCTGCCTGTGTGTGTGTGTGCGCGCACCCTGCCTGTGTGTGTGCGCGCACCCTGCCTGTGTGTGCGTGAGTGTGCACGCCCTGCCTGTGTGTGTTTGTGTGTGTGCGCACCCTGCCTGTGTGTGTGTGTGCGCGCACCCTGCCTGTGTGTGTGTGTGCGCGCACCCTGCCTGTGTGTGTGCGCGCACCCTGCCTGTGTGTGCGTGAGTGTGCACGCCCTGCCTGTGTGTGTTTGTGTGTGCGCGCGCCTTGCCTGTGTGTGTCTGTGTGCCCTGCCTGTGCGCGTGTGCGTTTGTATATACCTTGGCTGTGTGTGTGTGTGTGTCCTATCCATGTGTTTCAGAGGCCTGGGCTGAACTTGAATGTAAATTCCTGAGGTGAAAAGACAGCTGTTTATTTCCTCACCAGATCTGATCCTGTTCTTAAATGAGGGAATGTAATTAAAACTTGTCAAAAGTCCGTTGTTCAATGCCAGCCTGTGGGGAATGTGAGGTGGGTGCGTTTCCCACACAGATGTGCAAACTTTGTGACAGTGTTGTTGGGTGGCCACGTTGTGTTCTGGCTTCACACAGAACCTCTGATGGCGTGGGAGGTGCTTGGTTGCCATTCAGAGCTGTAACAAGTGCTTTTTGCTTGTGTTTTGCTGAGGAATGTCAGTTGTGTGGTTCCCATTCACAGCATCGTCACTGATTTCCAACTTGTTTTACTGAGCAGCGAGGCGACAGGCAGGTACCAGAGGCTGCAGAGAATAGCTGAGAAACAAGACAAGTGTAGAGGAAGTGGTTAGGAGAGGTCGAGCTTGGGGTTTGTAGACGAGATTAGAAGGAGGCGAGGAGTTCCGTTGTCTGCAGGCTCTACCAAACAGTGAGTTAAGAGTACAAGATGGTGTGGAGAATCTGCATCAAGGCTCTGACCAAGTTCTTTTTGCCCCTGCCTCTGAAACCTCTTAGCCTCACTCCCTTTTTCTCTGTCTAATAATAATAATCTTTGCATATGAAATACCACTTTTCATGTCTTCTAGACATCTCAACGCGCTTCACAGAATATAACTAAAGTGAATTGAGTATATTTGTGGGCAAAACGCAGCAATCAATTCCTTTAGTGTATCCCACAAACAGTCGTGGATTCAGTGACCAATTTATTATTGAGCCTGACCGGGCTGTCATCAGCAGTGAGTGGCCTGGAATACTGCGGCCCCTCTTGGCTCAGGAACCGGCACTAGAGACCGTCACAGAGTGGGGGCGCGATTCTGACATTCCATTACCAAAAATGTCATCTTGGAGCCAAGGAGACCCTGAGTACGTCCCACCCCGAAGGAGCATAGTTACTAGTTGGTCGTTTAACATTAACAAGGGCGGGTTTGACCCTCCCTAGGTGGCCGGCAGGTACCAGCACTCCCGATTCTGCCTCCAGGGTGCTCAGCGATAGGTCAGTGTAGGCCGGAGCCCTATCTCCCTGTAGCTGCTGCCCATGTTTGCCACAAGTACGAGAGGTTATAAATACTGTATAAGATAATCAGTCACAGATGTAACATAGATTAGGAGGAACTTCTTCACACAGAGGGTGGTGAGAATGTGGAACTTACTGCGGGAAGCTGTGGTTGAAGGAAAAAAACAATGTATTTAAGAGAAAACTTGATGCAGATATGAGGGAGAAGGGAATAGAGAGATATAGGGGAGCGGATAGGAGTTGTGCAGTATAAACACTGGCATGAACTAGTTAAGCCGAATGGTATGTTTCTGTGCCACTCTATGTGGCTAAACAAGGGCTACAGCACTGAGGCACCAACAGCGACAGGACATTGGTTTATCCACTTATCCCAGCCACAGCCCCAGCTACACGGTGACCAGAGGCCTCCCATTTCCCTCTCACTAACCACAGCTGTGTGTGGGGCGAGCAGCCAGCTATTCAGTATAATGATTTTGCTCTTGTGGAGGGAAGGACCAACCAGTACTACCAACTTGAGCCAGGCTCAGTGCTAGGCTAGGTGCGGCTGCATTGCATGATTGCGGGAACTGAGCTCAGGAACAGGAGTCTTTGAGGCATCCTCCCAATGTGAATTGTATGAGCTGACCCAGCCCGGATTGATAGAAAGCCACCTGCTGAGCTCATACAGTCAGTCTCTGTGTCCACACACACTGGGGCAGTCTGGGAGTCACACACAAACTGAGACAGTTTGCGTGTTACACACTCTCACACACACACTGGGGTAGTTTGGGTGTCTCATACCCACTGGGGCAGTCTGGGTGTCGTGTGTGGATGCACTCACATTCGCAAAACACGTGCGCACACACAAAACACGTGCGCACACACAAAACACGTGCGCACACACAAAACACGTGCGCACACACAAAACACGTGCGCACACACATACACACAAAACACATGCGCACACACAACACGCACACAAAACACGCACACACACTCCGCTCCTGTCACTGTTCCTACACTAATTCTAAACCAGACCTTTTCTGTCACACAGGGAGTGGTGAGTGTCAGGGACGTATCATCCAGCGGTTCCCAGAGAAAGAGTGGGAGGACAGCCCATTCCCCCAGGGCATTGAACTGGTCAGTAACCTCCACCTGTGTGTTTGTGATAGGCAGCTCTATCTCCCCATTCCTACCTCACTGTCTAATAGCAAGTCCTGCACAAACTTTAACTGACAACAAATCTGAAGCCGTCTGTTTCTCGTCTTCACTTTGCTTCTGGCTCTGACTCCAGTAACCTCCCTACCTGATGAGCAGCTAAAGCAACAGCCTCTCATGTCAGCTCTGCTTCAAACTCTTATTAACTTTGTCTTGTTCCAATACTCTTAACACCACTCCCTCACCACCGCCGAGACTCCACCCTCCCCGACCCTGACCCTCAGCTCGGGTCTGAAACACCAGTTGTCCAGCGCCTTGGGACGTCCACTCGCCGTGAAAGGCGCTTTACAATGTAATTTTGTTGTTGTTGTTGAGTCTCGATTGTCAATGCTCAATGTGTCTTCTCTTTCCCCAGTTCTGCCAGCCCAGTGGGTGGCAGCTCTTTGCTGAGAAGAAATCACCAATGTTCTTTGTAGCCGTTCTGACTGACATCAACTCCGAGCGTCATTACTGTGCCTGCTTCACCTTCTGGGAAGCAGTGGACAGCTCACAGGTAACCATAGCATTGTGTGAAATGTGATCTGAGTGTGACTATGAATGAGTGTGATGGCATGTCACTGAGTGTGAGTGTCACTATGAGTTAGCGTTACCGCATGTTACTGTGATTGACTGGCAGTGTGACTGTGAGTGAGTATATGTGTGCCTCGCTGTGCTTGTACTGTTTGCATCACTCATAATCATCAGTTAGAGAATGGAGGTGAGTGCCATGTGACAGGCTGGGGTCAGTGACGTGACAGGCTGGGGTCAGTGACGTGACAGGCTGGGGTCAACAATAACAACTTGCACTTGTATAGCGCCCTCCATGCAAGGTTGTGTCTCAGCGCTTAACAGTGGCAGAGCCTGACTGCGAGCCAGGGGAGGGGGAGGTGACCGCAAGTACGGTCGAAGAGGAAGGTTTGCAGGCAGGACTTGAAAGAGCGGTCAGTGACTCGTAACACTAATCTCTCGGTCTGTATCCCAGAGGAACCATGTGAGTGATGCTGGTGATGGTGAGGGCTCGGGCGTGGCACAGACGGTGCCAGTGTTTGCTCCGCGGAGCCTGGTGATTGTTTCACGGCTGGACCACACAGAGGTGTTCAGGGTAAGAGTTGAAGAAAGACCAATGTGGCCCCATCTCCCGATTCATCCGTCCTGTTTAACCACAGAATTTTATACACTCAACACAGCCCAGTGGTGTCTGTGCAGAGAGTGTAACCAGCCGGGGACCCGGTGTAAGTCCCCACAGTGTTGCTGGTGCCCCCGCTCGCTGCCTGATATTGCCGTATATCTTGATATTGTTATTATCTCTAGAACTGTCTGGGGCTGTTCTACACGATCCACGTGGATGGCCTGAATGTTGCCCTGGAAACGGTGGTTGGGAACCTGCTGACGAGCTTCATACCTATCACAGGGGGGTCACAGGTCAGTATGTGCTTCCTGTCTCTCTCTCCCCCCCACAGCACCGCCTGTCTCGTTCCCCCCCCCCATCCCACAGAAGGAGTTGGGCTGTTTAAGGAGACACACACTTGGGAAGAAAGGGATCTTAAGGAAAATGTGGAAAAGGCACGGAAATGGGATAAGGCAATAATAATTTAATAATAACTAATGTTGCTTATTGTTAATTTTATTCATAGTGATCTAATTATATTATCTGTGGTGATTTTGGCCTGGAGCTCAGTGCCTGTGTTGCTGTGTTTGTCATTGTTTCACTGCTTTAATCCTGTCCATCCATGGCCTCGCCCCCTCCTACCTCTCTGACCTGCTGACTCCCTACCAACCTGCCCACTCCTTTCGTTCATCAGGCTCCGGCTGCTCCATGTCTCCCGCCATGTCTTCAGCCTCTCTGCGCCCACACTCTGGAACTCCATCCCACAGTCCCTTTGCCTCGCTTCCTCCCTTGCCTCCTTCAAGGCTGGTCTCAAGACCCTCCTCTTCGACCGTGCCTGTGGTCGTCCTCCCATCTATCTGCCTTCCCTCACCCCTACCCCACCCCTCCCCCATGCTCAGGTCCTGACCCCTGATGTCCAGCGCCTTGGGATGTCCACCCGATGTGAAAGGTGCTCTATAAATGTAATTTTGTTGTTGTTGTTCAGTGTCACTGCCACCTGGAGGCTCGTCACCGCTGGAGGTGGTTGAGTTGTGTTGTTCTCGTGCTGTTTGTCCATTGGTGCCATGGCTGTACTGACCTGTGCTTCCTCCCTGTCTCTAACCTCACTGTCTGCTGCCTCTTGCTAACCTAGACGGATGAGGAGAAAGAGGAAGGAGTGGTATGATTTTACTCTATTGTCCTTCACTTGGAGCTTGGTTTCTTGGCCAGTGCGTGATTGTGTCCTAGGAACACCCACAGACCTTCACACACAGGAGCCCACACGCTGTCCAGGGATGTTACAATAGGGGAGCAGCCGGAGGTGTAGTTTGTGTTTTTTAAATGGTTGTGGAAAAATGGTGGGAAACTGGATTAACAACATCAATTTACATGTACACGGCGCCTTTCACATTGCCAGGACGTCCCAAGGCGCTGGCCAGCCAAGAATGTTCACCCAAGCTGGGGGTTGGGATCGGGAGGGATGGGGGGTTAGGGGTAGGAGGGTTGAAGGCGCAATTGAAGAGGAGGGTCTTAAGACGTGCCTTGGAGGAGGCAAGGGAGTGGGCGAGGCAAAGGGACTGTGGGATGGAGTTCCAAAGGGTGAGGGCTTGATGGTGAGCGGGAGTGTGAGTGTGCTGCTCTGTGTGATTGCTGCACCATTACTCTGTGCAGTTGTGGGCTGTGATGGCAGATCTGGTCTCTCCTGTCACACCACACTGAGGGCTTGTGATTGACATCTCTCTACACTGACAGAGGACGGTCTCACTGGGAGCAGGCGATCGGCAGGTTGTACAGACGCCCATCAACGATGCCCTGCCCGTCAGTGGCTGCAGTGTCGCACTGCTCTTCAAACAGCTGGGTACGAACTTACACACTCGTGTAGCACCTCACACTTGCCACCTGGAGGCACACTAGTGTAGTACCTCACACTTGCCACCTGGAGGCACACTAGTGTAGTACCTCACACTTGCCACCTGGAGGCACACTAGTGTAGCACCTCACACTTGCACACTCGTGTAGCACCTCACACTTGCCACTAGAGGCACACTAGTGTAGCACCTCACACTTGCACACTTGTGTAGCACCTCATACTTGCCACCTAGGCACACTCGTGTAGCACCTCACACTTGCACACTCGTGTAGCACCTCACACTTGCCACCTAGAGGTACACTAGTGTAGCATCTCACACTTGCACACTCGTGTAGCACCTCACACTTGCCACCTAGAGGCACACTTGTGTAGCACCTCACACTTGCACACTCGTGTAGCACCTCACACTTGCCACCTAGAGGCACACTTGTGTAGCACCTCACACTTGCCACCTAGAGGCACACTCGTGTAGCACCTCACACTTGCACACTCGTGTAGCACCTCACACTTGCCACCTAGAGGCACACTAGTGTAGCACCTCACACGTGCACACTTGTGTAGCACCTCACACTTGCCACCTAGAGGTACACTAGTGTAGCATCTCACACTTGCACACTCGTGTAGCACCTCACACTTGCCACCTAGAGGCACACTTGTGTAGCACCTCACACTTGCACACTCGTGTAGCACCTCACACTTGCCACCTAGAGGCACACTTGTGTAGCACCTCACACTTGCCAACTAGAGGCACACTAGTGTAGTACCTCACACTTGCACACTCGTGTAGCACCTCACACTTGCCACCTAGAGGCACACTAGTGTAGCACGTCACACTTGCCACCTAGAGGCACACTAGTGTGGCACCTCACACTTGCCACCTGGAGGCACACTAGTGTAGTACCTCACACTTGCACACTTGTATAGCACCTCACACTTGCCACCTGGAGGCACACTAGTGTAGTACCTCACACTTGTGCAGTGTGTGCAGTGTGTGAGGGGTGTGCAGTGTTTGTCAGTGTACAGTGTGGGTGTGTGTGGGGTGTACAGTGTGTGGGGTGTACGGTGTGTGGGTGTACGGTGTGTGGGTGTACGGTGTGTGTCGGTGTACAGTGTGGGTGTACAGTGTGGGGTATACAGTGTGGGGTGTACAGTGTGTGGGTGTACAGTGTGGGTGGTGTCCGCACACTCAGTGCTGAACCATATGTAACCACAGTTATGGGGCCTTGTCTATGGCCTGTGACCCGGCAGGAGGAGTGAGGGAGAGCCTCTAACCACCTCCCTCTCCTTTCGCAGGGATTAACAACGTGTTGGATTTGTTCTGTGCTGCCCTGACTGAGCATAAAATCCTCCTGCTGTCGGCCAGTTACCAGCGGCTGACTGACGCTTGCCGGGCATTACTTGCACTGATGTTCCCACTCAGATACAGGTAATCACCAGATACACACACGTGCACACACACAGGTAATCACCAGATACACACACGCACACACAGGTAATCACCAGATGCACACACACAGGTAATCACCAGATACACACACACACAGGTAATCACCAGATACACACACACACAGGTAATCACCAGATACACACACACACACAGGTAATCACCAGATACACACACACACAGGTAATCACCAGATACACACACACACAGGTAATCACCAGATACACACACACACAGGTAATCACCAGATACACACACACACAGGTAATCACCAGATACACACACACACAGGTAATCACCAGATAATAATAATAATAATAATAATCCTTGCATTTGATATAGCGCTTTTCACGTCGGGAGGACGTCCCAAAGCGCTTCACAGAGTACACTGTAAAGTGAATTGACTGTATATTTGTGGGCAAACGCGGCAGCCAATTGCGCACAGCAATGTCCCACAAACAGTCGTAGATTGAAAATGACCAATTTATTATTGTTTTTGGTTTTGGAGGGATTATTATTAGGCTCTGTGTGGAGTAAGGAAACTTGCCCAAGGTTTCGCCCTCTGCCTGGAATTGAACTCAGGTCTCTCACTTGCAAAGCGAGTGCTCTAACCACTGAGCCACAGGACTCCAAAGATACACACACACACAGGTAATCACCAGATACACACACACACGAATACACACACACACAGGTAAATCACCAGATACGCAGGCTAAGGGGCCGAGCGACGACCGGATAATGTGCTGAACTTTTCTGTGACAGACTGGTTGCTGATGTGTTGAGTTTTTCCACAGCTTCACGTACATCCCGATTCTCCCGGCACAGCTGCTGGAGGTGCTCTGCACTCCCACCCCCTTCATCATCGGCGTTCACTCCGGCTCCCGGCCAGAGATGCAGGACCTGGTGAGTGAGTGCGTTGTTACAAACAGAGTCAGTGCAGTCATGGGAATGTGTCAAACCTCTCCTGTCACACCGACTCCTCTCCCACCCCTCATCACCCTGCCCTCCTGTCACACACACACACACTCACCCCGTCACACACACACACACCCCGTCACACACGCGCGTGCCCTCGGCCCCGCCGCGCACACACACATCCCGTTGTCGCCTGCGCCCCACCTCGTCACCCGCATCGTTGTGCTACTCTCACTGTTGGCTCTCTCCCTTCTACAGTTAGATGTGATTGTAGCGGATCTGGATGGAGGAACCATCACAATTCCAGAGTGTGTCCAGATCTCAGAGCTTCCACAACCTCTTCTCCAGCAGACACAGAACTCACTGTCCATGGTATGTTCCACCTCACTGTGGGGGTTGAGGTTGGGTGTGCATGGCCCTGGAGGCTAGGGTGGGAGGGATGATAGATTAGGTTGGATGGAGTGATTAGGGATTCGTTGGAGGTTGTAATGAGGGTTGGGGGCTGGGGTGGGATTGGGTTGGGGGCTCAGGTGGGGCTTGGTGTGGTGTTACGCTTGAGGTGGTCGTGTTGGGATTGGGGGAGGCTTTGGTTGGGGTTTGGGCTGGGAGTGGGTTGGGTTGGGGTGGGAGGTACAGGAACTATAACTGATTCTGATTTGTTCTTCTTGATGGCAGGTAATGGACCCTGAATTAGAATTTGCTGATTTTGCTTTCTCCCCGGCCTCCCTGTCCGTTTCCTCAATGAAATTCCAGGTGACGTTGCATAATCACTGTATAGTCACTGTATAGTTGTGTGTGGAGGTGGGGAGCAGGTGTGTGATACTGTATAATCGGGGGGGGGGGGGGCGAGCGTGGGAGAGTGGGGGAGAGCGGATGGTGGTGGGAGGAGACTGAAATGGAGATTCTGAAAGTTTCTCTGTTGTTGATTGGAGGGGATGGTATCAGTGTGTGAGCTGAGGGGTTTGGGCTTCTCTTGCCTTGATTGTGTTAGATGCTGATTGAGATGCTTGTTAGGATAGAATCAGGTCTCTGTGGGAGTCTCAATAGTCCGGTTGTTCTGTCTGTTCATTTACAGGACAAGGAGATACGGGCTGTGTTCCTGCGCTTGTTTGCACATCTGTTTCAAGGCTACCGTTGGTGTCTTCACATGGTCCGAATCCACCCAGAGCCAGTGATTCACTTCCACAAGGTATTAGTTTTCTCATCACCATGTTTAAAGCCTCCAAACTAGACTAAAATGTACTCTATATCGTTATCAGCTCCACATGGAAATGTCTTCTTGTCTAGAATGGAGTGAGCACTCTCTCTCTCATTCTCTGCCACCCCACCCCGAGGCTCTGCTTACCTAATTCTGAAGAGTGTTAGGCACTAAAGCCACTTAGATTGCCATTGAGAGCGCTGTCTGGTAAGCTTTCTCGCTGCTTGTTCAACTAGGACCACCCTCCCCATTAGGGCTTTGGCTGCAGGGTTAACAGGTGAATTGGAAGAACCCCTACTTGATTGTCCCTCCACATCCTGCCAAGAAGCGCTCTGGGACATTCTCAACCCAACCAATCTGACCACTTCCTTTGCTCAGTGAGCACTGGCCTGATTCATGCCCTCCCCCCCCCCCCCCCACAAAACCATACCCGCCCCACATACTCCCCACAAGAGCGGAATCCTATTTTAAAGAAAACAACTGCTTTGGTTAATGGAATGTTTAAATAGTGCTGATTTTCTAGTATTTTAGGATGTCAGTGTGGCTCAGTCGGAATTGCTCCTCCCTCACTTATGGGTTAGAAGGTTGTAAGCTCAAAGCCCAATATTGGATTTATAGTCTAGACTGACAGTCCAGTGAAATGTCTAGTGAGTGCTGAATTATCAGAGGTCTGTCCATCAAATTTTGGGATAGAGAAAAGATCTCTTTTTTGTGCCTATTTTAGAATTCCTTAGAATATTTGTGGAGTTCTGCAGCTCAGTGGTTAGAACAATTGCCTCTCAGGCGAGAGACCGGGGTTCGATTCCCGGCAGGGTGAAACCTTGGGCAAATTTCCTTACTCCACACACCTAATAATAATCCCTCAAGAAAAAAAAATTGGTCACTTCAATCCATGACTGTTTGTGGGACGCTACTGTGCGCAATTGGCTGCCGTGTTTCGCCCACAAATGTACAGTCAATTCACTTTACAGTGTGTTCTGTGAAGCGCTTCGGGACGTCCTCCCGACGTGAAAAGCGCTATATCAAATGCAAGGATTATTATTATTATTAAACCACGAGCCTCCAACATGTCTGATCCACATTAAACACCAAATTCAGAGCCACTGACCTCAGTGAGGATCGCTGTGAGGTTGTGGCCCCACTAGGGTCAGGCATCTCTGCACAGTTACATACTGACATCCCTGACATCGAGAGAATCTTGGCCTCCAGCCTGAGAGGGGAGGGGAAAGCCACCAGTGTGTAACCTTCTGTCGATTATTGCACAAGTGTTTCACACCTTATTTCAGTTCTTGCAGCCAGGAAAGGTGCAGGAGTGATTTACCCCTGTCTGTGGGACACTGCTGTGTGCAATCCACTGCCACGTTTTGCCTACAAAATAGTCACTACATTTTACAGTATATTCTGTGAAACGCTTTGAGACGTCTCGAAGATGTGATAAGGCGCTATATCAAATGCAAGGATTATTATTATTATTCATTCATTTTTACAGGCAGCCTTTTTGGAACAAAGGGGGTCGTTAGACAATGAGTTTCTGACTCGAGTTCTGGAAGGAATGGCCTTTGCCGGCTTCATCTCGGAGAGAGGATCTCCCTACCGACCCACCGACCTGTTCGATGAGGTATTGGGTGTGTGATAGAGTCACTGTGCCTGTAGCTAGTCTGGGGTGTGTGAGAGATACAGTCAGTGTGACTGTAGCTGGTCTGGGGTGTATGATACAGTCAGTGTGACTGGTTGCTCTGGTTACAGTTGGTCGCAAATGAAATTGAAAGGATCAGGTCGGAGGATGGAAATGCTCAGAAAATGCAGAAACATGTGAAGGAATTATCAGAACATCTTCACCGCAATGTAAGTGTCTGCGGCTCTGGCTCTGACTCTGAGCTTTACTGACAGTGTGTGGGGCTCCAGCTCTGGGCTTTATTGACTACACTTCAGCTTATATCCTGTAAAGCGCTTTGACATGAAAAGCACTGTAACACATGTAAGATTATTATTATCTGGCTGGGGTGGGGAGGGGAAGGAAGTTGGGTCTTCTCTGGCCTCAACTGGCTCTAAGGAATGTCAGAATCAAGCCCCCCCCTCTTTCTGACGGTCTCTAGTTTGGTTCCTGAGCCAGGAGGGGCCGCAGTATCCCAGGCCACTCACTGCTGATGACAGCACAGCCCGGCCTGGCTCATCAACAGGACCTGGAAAGGCCGACCAGTCACTGGGGGCAGGGAATCCTCCCCCTCAGCTCCTGTTAATCCTGCAGCTAAAGCCTTAATGGAGAGGGTGGTCCTAGCTGGACAAGCAGCGGGAAAGCTTGGCCAGACAGCGATATCAATGGCCAAGCTACGTGTGGGTTTAGCTGGTTAGACTCCAGCAGTTACCCCAACACGCACTCTGGGCGCCCCCTCCAGCCTTGGCTCTCGCCAACCTGCGCCTCATACTCTCCGGAATTAGGTAAACAGGATGTCACCCTCCAGGGAGAGAGTGCACATTACAATCCACACATGGGGAGATTTACATGTGTAGCTGCTCTACAGGTGTTGGACGCTTAGTCTGGTTTGGAGACTGGGTGATGTGTTTAGCATGTGACAGACCCACCCCCCCCGTCTGACAAAACGCGCAACCTCCTAACCCTGAGGCCAAAGCATGACTGACGCATAAGCTGAACTGTTATTGGGCGCAAGCGCTTTGAGATGTCTAGAAGACGTGAAAAGCGCTATATCAAATGCAAGGATTATTTTTGTTATATTATAAATCGCTCGTCTCTGGATGGTCTTTGGTCTGAGTGATGGGAGACCATGACTGGCTGTGATCTGACGGCCAGTGACAGGGAGGCGTGAAGCCGAGATGCTCAGACCCCCTCCCTCTTTCTTGTAGGAGAACCCTTACCCCGTGGTGGCCATGCACAAGGTGCAGCGACCAACTGAGGGCTCTCATCTGCGAGCCCAGGGCAGGAGCTTTCCTCACCTGGACGAGGGCACTGTGCAGTGGATCATCGACCAGGCCTCAGCTAAACTCAAAAGCCAGGCCCCCGCAGTCCGTGTGGAGGTGAATTCCCCGGTGCTGGCCGGACCCGCAAATGGTGGGTTTCCAGGAATGATACGCTCTGTACTGTCTCCGTGTTTATTGTTTCTTGGTGGGGGTGGGGAGTGAGGTTGGGTGTTGGGGGGTGGTGTTGGGGGGTGGGGGGGGGTTTGGGAGTGGTGTTGGGGTTGGGTGTTGGGGATGGTGTTGGGGGGTGGGGGTGGGGGTGGGGTTGGGAATGGTTTTGGGGTGGGGGTGGTGCTTGTGTACTGTAGTCATGTGTACCTTTGTGCTGTTTAGCTGCTGTGACAGACAGGAACAGCCACGTTCTGTCCAACTGTGCTCGGAGGTTAGAGGTCGTCAAGAACTGCATCGCCTACATATTCGACAACAAGGTGTTAGAGGCCAAGAAGGTGACAGAGACACACACAGCCCGTACACACACACACATGCAGGCCTTACATACACATGTAGGCCTTACCCGCGCGTAGGATGGTGTGACGGTGTGTATGTGCAATGTGATTTGTTTCTTACTGCCTCTCGGTCTCACAGTTGCTGCCAGCGACGTTGAGAGCCTTAAAGGGTCGTGGAGCCCGAATGTGCCTAACACACGAGCTGAATCTCCACGTGCAGCAGAACAGAGCTGTGCTCGAACACCAGCAGTTTGACTATGTCGTGCGGATGATGAACTGCACTTTACAGGTGATCATACAATCCAATCCAAAATTGCTACAGGTACTCACACAGAGAGAGTTACTACAGTAATACAGGTATTCACACAGAGTTACTACAGTAATACAGGTACTCACACAGAGAGAGTTACTACAGTAACACAGGTACTCACACAGAGAGAGTTACTACAGTAATACAGGTAATAATAATAATCCTTGCATTTGATATAGCGCTTTTCACGTCGGGAGGACATCCCAAAGGGCTTCACAGAACACACTGTAAAGTGAACTGACTGTATATTTGTGGGCAAACGCGGCAGCCAATTGCGCACAGCAGTGTCCCACAAACAGTCGTAGATTGAAAATGACCAATTTATTATTGTTTTGGGTTTTGGAGGCATTATTTTGGAGGTACTCACACAGAGAGAGTTACTACGGTAATACAGGTACTCACACACCGAGAGGGAGTTACTACGGTAATACAGGTACTCATACACAGTTACTACAGTAATACAGGTACTCACACACGCAGGCCTTGTGGGATGGAGTTCCAGAGGGTGGGGGCCGAGTGGCAGAAGGCCCACCCGCCGATAGTGGGGCGAGCAAGGCGGGGGAAGTGAAGCAGGCCGGAGCCCGCTGAGCGGAGGGAGCGAACAGGATGGTAGGGGGTTAGGAGGTCGGAGACGTTGGGGGGAGCAAGACCATGGAGAGCTTTGAAGGTGAGGACCAGGATCTTGAACTGTATCCTCTGTGTGATGGGAAGCCAGTGAAGTCGGGCGAGGATGGGGGTGATAGGGTCGCAGAGCCTGGTGCGGGAGAGGACACGGGCTGCAGAGTTCTGGATGATCTGCAGCCTGTGGAGGGAGGAGTTGGGGGCCGACAAGCAGGGAGTTTGCATAGTCAAGCCTCGATGTAATGAAAGTGTGTATGAGGGTCTCGGTGATACATGTACTCGCACTGTGGAAGCACCTTACGTAGTGTTACTACAGTTATACTGCACGGAAACAGGCCATTCCACCCAACTGATCCACGGCAACATTTGTTCTCCACGCCGTACACTCCATCTCTTCTCATGTGTGCACCAAGGTTTCTCCTTTAAATACATTGATGTGTTTTGCTTCTACCACAGCTCCCAGCAGTGAGTTCCACACTCTCTTCGTCCTGTGTTCCTGTTAGATCTGTTGCTGACCAGCTTATATTTATACCCTCTCGTTTGTGGACTCACTAATCAGTGGGAACCTCAATATCTGATCAATATCCACCTTCTCAAATTATTTCAGATTGTTAAATACAAAGTTAATGATTGCTTTATTCTCACAATTAACTTCCTTCCCTTTCCCTTGATCTAGCCAGTACTTTACATTTATAAATGTAGCCTCAGCACACACACACTGCAACTCCGAAACACACACACGCACACTGCACCCCCAACACACACTGCACCCCCAACACACACTGCACCCCCAACACACACTGCACCCCCAACACACACTGCACCCCCAGCACACACTGCACCCCCAGCACACACTGCACCCCCAACACACACTGCACCCCCAACACACACTGCACCCCCAACACACACTGCACCCCCAGCACACACTGCACCCCCAGCACACACTGCACCCCCAGCACACTGCACCCCCCGCACACACTGCACCCCCACACACACTGCACCCCCAACACACACTGCACCCCCAACACACACTGCACCCCCAACACACACGGCACCCCCAACACACACGGCACCCCCAGCACACACACACGCTGCACCCCCAATACATACACACATACTACACTCCCAACACATACACTGCACCTCAGTGCGCACATGCACGCTACACTCCAGCACACACACACACTGCATCCCCAGACTGCCTTGTACAGAGTGCCTGAAGTGTCTTGTGTTGGCTGTTACAGGACTGCACGCCACTGGATGAACATGTGATAGCTGCTGCAATGCTTCCACTGGTCACCGCTTTCTGCAGAGTGAGTCCTGCTCGCCTGAATTCACAGTTTATTGATGTTGAGTTTGTTATCAATGGAACCTCCACTCAGTCCATCAGCCTTTACCAGGTTATGCACTAGTTACAGTAGCCTTTACCAGGCAATGCACCTTATGCCTCTGTGAGTTGAAGATCCACGTCAGGACTAGGAGCCCTTAGTCTAATCTGCTGCTCCACTGCAGTATTGAGGGAGCACTGTATTGGAGATGTCAGCCTTGGGATAAGATGTCAAACCAATGTGCTCACACTGTATACAGTAGTGACTGATACTGTGCCAGTGCTCACACTACATACAGTAGTGACTGGGACACTGTGCCTTATGATGCTGTAACTGGTGTCAGTGCTGTGTATTGTGTTACAGAAGCTGGGCTCAGGCATTACACAGTTTGCATACAGCTGTGTGCAGGAACACCTGATCTGGACTAACCTGCAGTTCTGGGAGGACATGTTTTACAGTGACGTCCAGAACCACATCCGCGCTCTGTACCTGGAGATCAGCGACACAGCTCCACCTGACACGGTGAGAGTATGTCACAATTACACCATTATGGTAAACGTGGTTGGTATCTGGGCTCCAAGACCCTATTACTCTCGTCATCCTCACGGTTCCCTTCCCCCAGACTATAGAGTTCAACATCCTCGGCCTCATCCTAGTGGGCTCTGGGGGGGGGGAGTTGGTGAGGACTCTGGGGGGGTGGGGACTGTGTGGGGCTGGAATCTCTGGGTGTAGTGGCAGCTCTGGGTGGGTGACAGCTTTGGGGTTGGGGGAGAGCTCGGGGGGGGTCTGTGTCTGTCCGCACTAAAGGGAAGTGCTGATGTTTTGAAGGAGATGTCAGCGCTGGAGGTGGCAGCTCAGCAGCTGAGACTGTGGCCGACACTGAGCCGGGAGAAGCAGCAAGAGTTTATACAGAAAGAGGAGAGCACGGTGTTCAGCCAGGCCATTCATTATGGCAACCGTCTCAGCTACTTGCTCCTCCCCCTGGACACAAGCCGGAACCGTCTGCTCCGCACCTCGGGCATCGCAGACGTGGAGAGCGTCAGCAACAGTTTTGTCACTAATAGGTACTGAGCTCGTCCTGCTCCTGATCCCATTCCCTGCTCCTGATCCCATTCCCTGCTCCTGATCCCATTCCCTGCTCCTGATCCCATTCCCTGCTCCTGACCCTGGGAATCAGTTCCCAGCCACACACTGACTCTCTCTGTGCCGAACTCACCTGCCGGCCCACCCGCCCTTCCCTCCCTCCCTCTGTTACTGATCTGCTGTCTCTGTGTCTCTCACTCTGTTACTCATCCTCTGTCTTTCTGCCCCCCACCCCCCCCCCACCTCTCTCTCCCCCTCTCTCTCTGTTACAGAGATGTGTGTATGTGGGAGGGAAGCCTGTGTGACTATCTGATCACCTCTGTGTTACAGTATTGCAGGTAGTGTAGCAGAGAGCTATGACACGGAGAGCGGCTTTGAGGATGCTGAAAGCTCGGATGTAGCAAATTCCGTTGTGCGATTCATCAACAGGTTTGTGGATAAGGTCTGCACAGAGAGCGGAGTCACTAACGATCACCTCAAGTCCCTGCACTCTATGATCCCAGGTATATGCGTGTGTGTGCCCGTGTGTGTGTGCACTGCTTTGTTTCCTATTCCAAGTATGTATACACGTGTGTGTATGTGCTATCTGTGTATCTGACTGTCTCTCTCACACTGTATACATGAATCTGTCTCTCTCTCACACAGACATTGTTCAGATGCACATTGAGACGCTGGATGCAGTCCAGCGTGAGAGCAAGAGACTCCCAGCCATACAGAAGGTATTCACAGTAACCGAGGCTCGAATCTAACTCTTCCAATTTCCAGCACAATTGGAAATAGTTATAGAATAATAGTAATATAGAATAACAATTATAACATAACATGTAGGAGCAGGAGTAGGCCATTCGGCCGTTCGAGCCTGCCCCACCATTCAATCATGGCTGATCTTCTAATCTAACTCCAGCTAATAACCTAACCCTGCCTTATCCCCATATCCTTAATCGCTTTTGCAATAAGAAATCTATCTCAGTCTTGAATATGTTCTATTTAAATATAAATTATAAAAACTTTCTGTCTGTTCCCATCTGGTGGTGACGCGGGAAAGGTTCTTGTCTGTGACTCCAGTCAGTGGCCTCAAGGGCAGTCAGTGTCAGAGCTGTCGGTGTGGGGGCTGTCGGTGTGGGGGCAGTCGGTGTGGGGGCTCTCGGTGTGGGGGCTGCTCATTCTAACGGCTGTATCTCCTGCTTTCATCTACCTCCAGCCCAAACTGCTGAGGCCAAGCCTGCTGCTGGGGGAGGAGCTGGTGATGGAGGGGCTGAGGGTGATCCTCATACCTGACGGCCGAGAGGAGGCATCTGGGGGGGCCTTGGGAGGTCCCCCCATTCTCCCTGCTGAAGGGGCCGTCTTCCTCACAACCTATCGAATCATCTTCAAAGGCGTGCCCATCGAAACACTAGGTATGGGGAGCCAGGACTGGGGGTGGGGCTGGGGGTGGGGGGAGGGGCTGGTGGAGGGGTGTGGGAGTGTGGAGGGGTTGGGGGAGGGAGGGGGTGCGGCGAATGGATAAAGTGACTGGTGGGGTGGGAATTGGACAAAGTGTCATGTAGCTCAGTGGTTAGACACTCGACTCACAAACGAGAGGACCTGGATTCGATTACCGGGCAGGGCGAAACCTTGGGCAAGTTTCCTTACTCCACACACCTGTTTACCAGCAGTAAGTAGAAACCCGATTGTTGGTCGATTTGTGGATCGCTTCTGGGGGTAATAATCCCTTCAAAAATAATAATAATTTGGTCATTCAATCCAAGACTGTTTGTGTGACACCGCTGTGCGCAATTGGCTGCCACAAAATAGACAGTCAATTCACTTGATAGTATATTCTGTAAAGAGCTTTGTGATGTCTCGATGACATGATTAGGCGCTATAACAAATGCCAGGATTATTATATAATAATTGAGATTGATCTCTTGTACAGCTGGAGAGCAGACTGTGATTCGCTCGTTCCCCATCGCTTCTCTCACCAAAGAGAAGAAAGTGACGATGCATTCGCAGGCAGAGCAGTATCTCCAGGATGGCTTCCAGCTTCGCTCCTGTACCTTCCAGGTTTGCCTACACCCTGCCCCTCCATCTGCCCCTTCCCTCTGCCCCCTCCGCTTCCTTCTGCCCCTTTCACTGACCCTGCCCCATGCCCCTCCCTCTGCCCCACCCTCAGCCCCTGCCCCTCCCCCTGCCGCTCCAACTGCCTCCCCCCTTCCCCTCCGCCTCCCTCTATCGCTCCCCCGCTCCTCCCTCTGGCCCGCCCCTATCCCGCCCTCTGTCTCTTGCTCATTCTCTCTCTCTCGCTCACTCTTCCACTATCGCGCTCACTCTCTCTTGCGCTCACTATCTCATCCTCATTCTCGCTCACTCTCTCTCGCTAGCTTGTTCACTCTCTCGCTCACCCTTTCACTATCTCGCTCAATCTCGTTCGTGCTTACTCTCTCGCTCTCTGTGTCACACTCACTCTCTCGCTCACTCGGTCTCTCTCTCTCACTCATTCTCTCACTTTCTCACTCGCTCTTTCTCACTCACTCTCTTTTTCTCTGGCAGCTGATCAAAATTGCCTTTGATGAAGAGGTGGCACCAGATCTGGCAGAAACGTTCCGAAGGCACATTCACAAGCTGCGTTACCCACCACATGTCCACGGTACCTTTGCCTTCACCGTGGGGCAGTCGCCAAAGCAAGTGGTGGAACCCAAACAAAAGGAAAAGAATCCGTCACTAAAGTAAGCACCAAACCAGGCAGATATGGCAACCTGTATCCCACGGTGACTGTCTCTCACGCCGGGATAATGGCTCAAAGTGTTACACACAGCGACTGGAGTCTGAGCTGAGAGAGAGAGTGAAGGGAATGTGTGGACCTGGTGTTCTACAGAATGTAGGACTGTTGTATTCTTTGGTAATATATATTAGAGCAGACATAAACACCAAAGGGTCCTTGTTAGGATAAAGTGACTGATGGACTTTTCCTCTAACTCAAACTACAACTTAAAAGCATCACTTGCCTCTGACTCCAAATACCACACTCATAAAACAACAACACATTTCATGTACACAGCGCCTTTCACGTCAGGAGGACATAACAAGGTGCTGGTGTCAGGAATTTGGACCCAAGCTGGGAGTTGGGATCGGGGGGGTGTGGAGGGGAGGGAGAGTGAGGTTAGGAGGGTGATTGAAGTTGCGGTCAAAGTGGAGGATCTTTAGATGTGCCTTGAAGGAGGCGAGGGAGGGAGCGAGGCGGAGGGACTGTGGGATGGAGTTTCGGAGGGTGGTACAGAAAGGCTGAAGGCCCGACTGCTGACGATGGGATGGGCTGGAAGGGGGATGTGGAAGGCGCGGACAGGTTGATACGGAAAGCCCTAAAGTGTAGGGTGGTCCTCGCTGGACAAGCAATGGGAAAGTTTGCCAGACAGCGCTCTCAATGGCAAGCTGTGTGGTTTTAACTGGTTAGACTTCCGCAGTTACTCCTATTGCACACTCTTGGGTCCCTAAGCCTTAGCCCTTGCCAACCTGCGCCTAATACTTTTCAGAATTAGGTGAGCAGGATGTGTTTCCAGAGATAGTGCGTATTTGTGATATATTCAAGCTGCACATTAAAGTCCCCTGGTTTAATGTAGTATAGCTCATGAAAATAAATGGGACTGTCCTGAGAGGAGAGGTGTTACATGATGTCCAAAGCTGCAGCCGGCTTGGAGAGGAGATGTGTGTGTGTGTGAGAGAGAGAGTATACATACCCTGTGACAAGCCAGCACACCTGACAGACTTCTATGCTGGTGTAGAGTGAAGGTGGATCATTAACTTGTCACAGTGCCAGAATGTCTGGCTTGAGGTTGGAGTGGGACAAGTTGTGTAATTCATTCATCTCCTTTTTATAACTGAATTAAATTTGTGGTTTAACCTGTTCAGAACTCTCTCAAAGAACCTGATGAAGAACGCCAAGAAAACGATGGGCCGTCAACACGTCACCAGGAAGAAATACATCCCCCCGGTCTGGGGCGCCAGCCAGCCTCCCCGAGATCCTGACGATATATCAGGTACAATACCAAGCTGTCCTACACACATACGTGCACCCACAAACACACACATACACACTGGGTCTCACACACACACCGGGACACCCACACGCACAACAGATCTCTCTCAGAAACACAAACACACTGGCTCTCACACACACCAGGTCTCTCTCTCACACACACACCGGGTCACACATACACTGTATCTCACATATACACACCAGGTCTCTCACACACACACTGGTCTCACAAACACAATAGGTCTCTCTCAGGTCTCACACAAACACACACACACTCTCCGGTTCACATGAACACTGGGTCTCACACTCGCACACACACATACACACACTGGGTCACACACCAGGTCTCTTAAACACACACTGGGTCACACACACACACTGGATCTCACACGCACACTTGGTCCCTCACACACACTGGTACACCCCTCACTCCCCCACCCCACACAGGCTCTCACATAAACCCATACACGCAAACACTGGGTCACTCACACACTGGGTCATACACATACACAAACACCAGGTCTCTCACACACCCACCGGGTCTCACACACATAAACTGGGTCTCACACACACACTGGGTCTCTCACAAATACACTGGGTCTTAACATACATCAGTTCTCACATATGCGCACACACATACACATATAAAAATTGGGTCTCTCACACATACACTGGATCTCACGCACACACACACACACACACAAACACTTGCTCACACACACTAGGTCTCACACACATACACTCTGGCTCACACACACACTGACTCATGCACACACACACACACACATTGGGTCTCACACACACATACCCATTGGCTCACACTGGGTCTCTCACATACGCTGTCTTACACACACACACACGCACCCACATTGGCTCTCTCTCACGCACACTGGCTCGCTCTCTCACGCACACACATACACTGGGTCTCACTCACACAATGCGTCTCATGCAAACACACACACTGGCTCTCACGCAGACACTGGATCTCACACACACACACATACACTGGCTCACACACACACTGGTTCTCTCTCTCTCACACACACACACTGGCTCTCACATTCACATACACTGGCTCACACATACTCACACTCACTGGGTCTCTCACGCACTAGGTTTCTTTATTTTCAGATGAGCTGGAGCCCAGTGCTATGACCCTCTCCAGCACCATCCGATCCAGTGAGAAATCCACGATGAACCATGTGGTGGAGAAAGCTTGTTGCCGTGACTACCAGCGGCTTGGTCTGGGCACACTCAGCAGCAGCCTCACCAGGTCCAAGAACGAACCATTCCGAATCACCACTGCCAATCGCATGTACACGGTGTGCAAGAGGTCAGCTCCTCCTGCTTTCACAGCACAGAAATAACCCTGGTCAAAGTGATAAATGACATTCTGTCCATCTGCTACCAGGGCTCCCTCTGCCTCCTTGTCCTCCTTGACCTCTGCTCCTTTTGACACCGTCGACCACTCTATCCTCATCCACCGCCTCTCCTCTCACCTAAACCTTCATGGCGTTGTCCTTGACTGGTTCAGATTGTACCTCTCACACCACTTGCACTTCACCAAACGGTTTCTCCTCCAGCGCTGCACCGTCTCGTGTGGTGTTCCTCAGGGCTCTGTCCTTGGTCCCCTCTTCAATATCTATATTCTCCCTCTTGGTGACAGCACCCGCAGACATGGGGTCAACTTCCACATGACACCCAATTGTACCTCTCTGCCCCCACCCTTGACTCCAGGACCCACAGCTGTCCTGACAGAATGTCTGTCAGACATCAAGGACTGGATGAGAGTAACTTTCTTCAGTTGAACATCAACAAGACCGAGGCTTCTGTTTGGCTCCTGTCAGCGCCTCATCACCTCAGGCTGACAGCTCACTCCCCCTCACTGAGCCAGTCCCGAACCTTGGGGTCTTGTTTGACCCTCAACTATCCTTTCTACCCCAATCTGCGCCATGACCCGCTCTGCCTTCCCCACCTCCGCAACATCGCCCGGCTCCCCCACTGTCTCACTCTGCAGGCCACCGAGACCCTTGTACACGCCTTCATTACATCGACTTGACTATGCAAACTCCCTGCTTTTCGGCCCCCAACTCCTTCCTCCACAGGCTGCAGATCATCCAGAACTCTGCAGCCCGTGTCCTCTCCTGCGCCAGGCTCTGGGACCCTATCAACCCCATCCTCGCTCGACCCCACTGTCTCCCCATCACATAGAGGATACAGGTCAAGATCCTCGTCGTAACCTTCAAAGCCCTCCATGGTCTTGCTCCTTCCGACCTCCTAACCCCCTACCATCCTGTTTGCTCCCTCCGCTCAGCGGGCTCCGGCCTGCTTCACGTCTCCCGCTTTGCTCGCCCCACTATTGGTGGGGGGCCTTCTGCCACTCTGCCCCCACCCTCTGGAACTCCATCCCACAGTCCCTCCACCTCGCCCCCTCCCTTGCCACCTTCAAGACCCATCTCAAGACCCTCCTCTTCGACCGTGTTGTGCGCCTGTGTATGTGTCTATGTATGTGTGTGTGTGTGCCTGTGTATATGTGTGTATGTGCCCGTGTGTGTTTGCGTATATGAGTATGTGCCTTTGTATGTGTGTATGTGTGTGTGCCTGTGTGGGGAGGGTGGGGGGATTGTCAGTTACCGTAGCCAGTGTCGAGTTTTCTCTCTCTCTCTCTCTTGTAGCTACCCTGGGCTCCTGATCATCCCACAGTCTATCCAGGACAGCACTGTTCAGCGCATTGCCCGCTGCTACCGGCAGAATCGCTTCCCTGTTATCTGCTGGAGGAATTCCCGCACAAAAGCCCTGTTACTGCGCTCTGGGGCTCTGCACGGCAAGAGCGTAGTGGCTCTCTTCAAATCCCAGAACTCCCCCGCAGCAGGTACTGGTGTCACAGCGGGTACTGGTGACAGAGCAGGGTTGGGGTTGAGGCTAATGGCTGTTATTCCGAGAGTTTAAATACTAAAGTAAAGGAATGCTGCTTGTATTACACAGACCCCGGGCAGATTGGCCTGTGTCCGGGGCTGCGTGCGAGACTGAGGAGAGGGGCTGAGGGCTGTGTGTGGGGCTTAATCACATACAGGAGGGACAATGCAATGGAAGGGGATGAGAGGGATTAGGAGGGATAATGGTTGGTTTGGGGTATAAACACTGGCACCGAGTGTTAGACCTGAATGTAACTCCATGTAAGTGATTGTTCAGGTGATCAGACATTGCTCTGTTGGTTGTTTGCAGGTGCATCACAGACTGATTCCACCAGTCTGGAGCAAGAGAAGTACCTTCAGGCCATCGTTAACTCCATGCCTCACAGCACGACTGGTCGCAACACACTCAGCGGCTGTGCCTCAGCCTACATGGGTAGCTCAGGTGTGTGTCTCCTCACTCGGTCTAGTCTTTCTCTGTCTCTATCCAGTCCTCACTCTCTTTTTCAACCCTTTAGTTGGAAGCCAAGTTAGAAGCCAGCATTGGGTTCAGTTTATCGTCAGGCTTTAGGAAATTCCCCTGAGCATTTCCTTCTCCAGGTTGAAAATTCCCGCTCCCCAGCTCAGGGCCCTGATCCCAGCCACGCTGCGGTCCTGACACTCACCTCTTCTCTTATGTCTGACAGACTCAGGGGATAAGCATCGGCAGCCGAAGATCGGGCAGCTGATGAAGCAGGTGATGGGGGGGAAGGAAGATTCGTCTCAGACGTTCAGCCGCGGAGGTGAGTCCAGCAGCACAGAACCTGGCAAATCCACACCGTGATTGGTTTCCCTCCAAGTACCGTGAAGCCCCAATAGTCACACTGTTTGGAACTGGCCTCATTGTGGATAGGAAAACAGTGTGTTTATCAGGTCTATGTGTGCATCTCTCTCTCACTCACTGTCTGCCTTTGCTCTGGGACACTACCCCACGTGAAAGGCACTTTATAAAATGCAAATTGTTGTGGTTGTCTTTAATTTGTATTGTCAGCGAGACTCAGCTAGCAACACTCACCTCTGAGAAGTTCCACACCAGGGATTTTGAGCTCACAGTCTCGGCTAACATTCCAATATAATGCTGAGAGAGTGCTGCTTTTTTTGAGGTGCCGTCCTTTAGATAAGACATTAAACTTAAGTTCCTCTCTGTCTATCTGTGTGTGTGTCTCGCTCTGCCTCTCTAACTGTGTGTATGTGTGTGTCTCTGCCTTTCTATCTGTGTGTATGTCTGTCTCTCTGCCTCTCTATTTGTGTATATTTGACTGTCTGTGTGTGTCTCACTCTAGCTCTGTGTCTCTGCTTCTTTATGTATGTTTGTGAGTGTGTGTCTGTCTCTCTGTCTCCCTGTCACAATTTGCTATTGTCTACTTGGGGTAACATTGATACCTGCTCTGAGTAATATTGACAACCTTAAAGAGTGTGACATTAATGTGTATATGCCTCTGTCTCATTCTGTGGGTGTCTCTCTTCCTCTAATGTGTGTGTATTTCTGTTTCGATGGCGCCCTGACGTTGAATGTTTGTGTGTGACTCTGTCCATGTACTTACCTGAATCGGAACTGTCCACTTTGTGCTGTTCGTCTAAAGTTGTGTCTCAGGTCATATGGAAGCCACATGCGCAACTAAACATTGCCACCGATATTCTACTCACAATTTACTTCTCCAGCTGAGTGCTGATGTGGATAATCTACTGTCCTGTTGTTACTGATGGGTTGTGGAGAGGCTGGTGTGATGAGATTTGTCCAGAGTTGGTTGTCTGAAACCATTTGGTTGAGCCACACAGAGCAGTAACAGCTCTATCAGCCCACAGGACAGTGCTGCCTTATGTCTGACTATTTTCTCTGTGGTTTTGGTGTCAGTTCAATACAGAGTGAGTAGGGTCTTGTGCTGTGCACCTTCAGTACTAGGTCAGGGAGTGGCAAATCCAAGGGCCACAGTGAAGGATACAGAGAATCCTCTATGTGGTGTATTTAAACTGCGCTCTGTCTCTCTCGCTAACACCACCATAAATAACCCTGTAGGTAACACTGACACCTGCTGCCTGTCTCCCCGGTGTCCTGGCCAACAATCCCCCACATACAATTAGTCATTCACTGCATGCCTGTTTGTGGGATGATGCTGTGTGCAAACTGGTTGCCATGTTTTCCTACAAATACCATTTTACGTTTGTATTTAATTTACATTTATATAGTGCCTTTCACATTGCGAGGAGACCTCAAAATGCTACGTAAATCCTGGGAAGCGCCTTCAGACATTTTCCCAGAATGAAACGAGCTGTTTCAAATGTAGATTATTATTGTGATGGGCTAACGTGTGTGTGTGGGGGTGGGGGGGGGCATGTGTGTGGTGGGGGGTTGGTGTGTGTGTGTGTGTAGTGGGGGCTGGCATGTGTGTGGCGGTGGGGTCTGGCGTGTGTGCGGGGGTGGGGTCTGGCGTATGTGTGGGGTGGGGGGCTGGGGTGTGTGTTTGTGTGTGTGTGAATATAAAGTGTCAGTATATATTATATGGGATAACACCAGCTCAGTCTCACATGCCAGGACAGAGATGGTGAGGGTGAAGGTGAGTGTTGTTTGGCGTCTGGGGGAATGTGTGACTAACTTGCTGAGGCTAATGCACGGTTTGGTCTACAGGAAAGTGGGGCAGTATCCGGGGCAGTGGGCGGCTCAGCACATACACACTCAATATGGACGTGGGCACCCGTCTGGCGGGAAAGGAGACGTCAGGGGCACAGCCCAACGGATCTCCAGCCGACACCCAGCTGTTCAGGCAGCACAGAGCAGCTCTCTACATCATCGGGGAGAGGGCGCAGCTCAAGGTGAGAGCCCAGCTCACTATATACTATGACACTATAACACACATTTGTGTAAGAAGGAAAGTATCCACAGGCCTGATGGGATAAGATGAAATGAATGTCATGTTGATATTTAATTTGAGCCAATAACAATCCAGTCAACCAGTTCACAATCAAATTTAATGTTGGGAGGAAATATCAGTATCTTTTTATCTCTCTCTCTGTCTGTGTGTATGTGTCTGTCTTTCTCTGTATGTCTCTCTATGTGTGTTTGTGTGTCTCTTTTTCTTTTTCTCCCTCTCTCTGTGTATGTCTCTGTCTTTTCCTCTGTCTGTGTATCTCTCTCTCTCCCTCTTTCTGTGTGTGTCTATCTCTCCCTCTCCTATCTGTGTCTGTGTGTGTGTGTGTGAGTGTGTCTCTCTCTCTCTGTTTGTCTGTGTCTCTCTCTTCCTCTGTCTCTGTGTGTCTCTCTCTCCCTCTGTCTGTGTCTCTCAGTTTCTCACACACAATCTGACATTTGCTCTGTGCAGGGAGTGAAGCAGGATCCACTGCTGCAGTGGGAGTTGGTTCCCATCGAAGTCTTTGATATCCGGCACGTCAAGGCCAGCTTCAAAAAGCTCCTGAAGGCATGTGTGCCGAGTGCCAGCAGCTCTGAGCCCAACCTCTCACACCATCGCTCCCTGGAGGACTCTGAGTGGCTGACACAGGTATTGTGCTGGCTGCTCCAGTCACCCTCTCTGCCCCCTCCTCTCCCTCCCCATGCTCACACACTCTCTGTCTCTCCTCTCACTTCCCTTACTCGCGCTGTCTCCTTATGCTCTCTCTCTTCGTGTTGAAGGTGGCAGAGAGATGGAGAAGGACTAGGGGACAGTCGATGTCCCATATGCTCACTCTCTCTCTCCTGGCAGGTACACAAGTTGCTGCAGGTCTCTGTGCTGGTGGTTGAGCTGCTGGATAATGGTTCCTCGGTGATGATCAGCCTGGAGGATGGATGGGACGTCACTACCCAGGTCAGAGCCAGGCCACCATTACACTTGTAATGTGCTCAGCCTGGTTCAGGGGCTGCAACAACAACAAGTGACATTTGTATAGTGCCTTTCACGTCAGGAGGACGTCCCAAGGCCCTGGACAATGAAGGGTTTGCATCTGAGCCAGGGGTTGGGGTCAGAGGGTTGGAGGGCAAGAGAGTGGGGGTAGGAGGGTGACCAAAGGCACAGGTGAAGAGAAGGGTCTTGAGACGTGCCTTAAAGGAGGCAGGGAGGAAGCAAGGAGGAGGGACTGTGGGATGGAGTTTCAGAGGGTGGGGGCAGAGAGGCTGAAGGCTCTGGAATGTGGAGACTGGTTAGTTTGTGTAGCGCCTTGGGCTGTCCTCATAGAATCATAGAATGTTACGGCACAGAAGGAGGCCATTCGGCCCATCGAGTCTGTGTGGCTCTTTGACAGAGAAACTGACTTTTATTAACCCCACTCACCAGCTTTCTCCCCATAACCCTGCAAACGTCTTCTGTCCAGTTCTCTCTTAAAAGCTGTTATCGAATCGGACTTCACTACCCTTTCGGGCGGATCATTCCAAATTCCAACAACTCGCTGAGTGAAAACATTTCTTCTAACCTCACCTCTGCTTCTTTTGGTGGATATCTTACGACTGTCACCACGAGTCACAGACACACCCACCAGCGGAAACAGCTTTTCCCTATCTCGCCTGTTGAAACCTTTCATGATCTTGAAGACCTCTATCAGGTCCCCGAGTAACCTTCTCTGCTCTAATGGGAAAAGTCCTAACTTTTCCAGCCTGTCCTCATAGCTAAGCTTCCCCATTCCTGGTATCATTCTTGTGAATCTTTATGTACTTTTGAAAGGCGCTACAGTACAGTATATACATACACATTTCTGTTGTATTATTTTGGATTGAGCTTTGCTGGTTAGTTATTGGTTAATTAGCACTAGATTGACAGTGACTGGTTAGTTAGTGTTGGTGTGAGTCACTAACGTGATATTACTTGTTGGCAGGTGGTTTCTCTGGTGCAGTTGCTATCAGACCCGTACTACAGGACTATGGACGGATTTCGGCTGCTGGTGGAGAAGGAATGGATGTCATTTGGACACCGATTTAGCCAGCGAAGTGCCCAGACTGTAAGCAGCCAAAACAGTGGCTTCATCCCCGTCTTCCTGCAATTCCTGGATTGTGTTCACCAGGTGGGTGGAGAGTAACACTGCTCATCCTGTCTCTACTTATTCTACTAACACTAGAGTATTGACTATCCTGTCACTAGTTACTCGTAAGAAATGTTCTGACACACAGAGAGGTTAGGATATGGAATGTGCTGCTGGGAGTGGTGGTCAAGGCAAAATCCACATTGGCTTCAAGAGGGAACTAGAAGAGACCTCAAACAGAGTCAGCTTCAGAGTGTGCAGGAAAGTCGGTCTGAAAGGATTGCTCTTGAGGGAGTGACACAGACACATTGGGCTAAATGGCCTTTGTCTGTGCTGTGGATTTAATATATTGGTTTTCCTGGCTCAAGCTACACTAGATTATTGACTATTCAATAATCAGTCATGCTCTTGCTCAGCGATGTCATCTGCAGATTGGGGTAAACTTCCACATGCACCGCATGTCCCCAACTCTACCTCTCAGCCTCCAGCCATGATTCCAGGACCCCTGATTGGGTGTCAGATACCAGCTGCCAAAGCTAATTTTCTCCATGTCAATGTTGACAAGACAAAGGCTCCACTGCTTGGTTCCCCTCAGGCGATGACAGCACCAATTAATCTATGTGGATACACACTCCACCTCATGGAAACAGTGCAGAACCTCAGTGTATTGTTCAATTCTCAACTGTCCTATAAACCCCACATCTGTGGTCTGACCCATTCAGCTTTCTCTCACCTCTACAACATCAGCAGCCCCCACCACAACCTCTCCCCTCTGGCTGCTGAGACTTGACTGCACCAGCTCTGCTCACCGGACTCCACAACTCTCTCCTCCACAAACTGCAGATTATTCACAGCTGTGCAGTTTGTGTCCTATCCCACACCAGGCTCTGTGACCCTATCACCCCCATCCTCGCCCGACTTCACTGGCTTCTTATGCCGCAGAGAATAGAGTTCAACATCCTCGGCCTCACTTTTATATTCCTTCATGGTCTTGCCCCACCCGACCTCTGTGACCTAAAACTCTACCAACCTGCCTGCTCCTCCACTCAGCAGGCACTGCCCTGCTTCACATCTCACGTTCAGCCTTTCTGCTCCAGAACTCCAATCCGTTCACCTCTCCGCTTTCCTCGCCTCCTTCAAAGTCCATCTCAAGATCTCCCTCTTTGACTGCGCCCCCACTCTTCCCAAATCCCACCCTCCTGAATCCAACCCCCAGCTGTCCAGTCTCTTGTTTTACTAGATTTGTGGCTATTCAATCTCTAGTTACTCAAGATTACCGGCTAATGCCTGGATTATTGACTACCCTCCATAGCCTCTATAATCCAATTGTATCTCGTGCCCTCCAATTCATCAACTCTGACCTGCCCCAACCATCGGTACAGCCTTAGTCACTATGTGCCTCACCCCAACAACCCCACCTCAGCCTCTGCTTTCAAAACACATCTCAATGCATTCCCCTCCCGACCTCTCACTGAATTTGTCATTGATAATCTGGTTTCTAGTTACATCAATTCAGCTGTTAATGCCGGTCACTATTTACATTAGTTTAGATATAGGCCGGTCGCTAGTTACACAACTTTAGTTAATGCCGATCACTAGTTACATTAATTTGGTTAATGCTGGTCACTGTGCTCTAGATCCACCTGCAGTTCCCGATGGAGTTTGAGTTCAGTCAGTATTACCTGCGGTTCCTGGCCTATCACTACGTGTCCAGCCGCTTCCGCACCTTCCTGCTGGACTCGGATTACGAGAGAATTGAACTGGGTGAGAGACGCGCCTGCCTGACCACATACTGCATGTGGGGGCTGTTGGGGCAGTGTGTGGGATGAGAATTGGGGGGGTGAGGGCAGGTGTTGGGGTGAGGGCAGGTGTTGGGGTGAGGGCAGGTGTTGGGGTGAGGGCAGGTGTTGGGATGTCTGGGGAGTTTGTTGCTATATGAAGATTGAGCTCTGGTTTTCTCTTTAGGGCTAATATATGAAACGAAAGGAGATCGAGTGAACAGGTCGCTCTGGGATTATATCGAGAAGCTCAATAAGAAAACACCCATCTTTTTCAATTACCTGTACTCTCCCGAGGACGCTGAGGTGAGGAACACCTCATTATTCAGTGTGGAATGTGCATTGCACTTTCCCACATCACCTTTATATTAGCACACGCACATCTAGACACCCTCATAGCTGCACAACTCAGCACAGAGCATGGCTGAATCTGTGACTCAGAGGTTTGGGCATATAAGACCTTAAAATCAATCCATCGGGAAACCACTGGCGAGGACTTGGATGATGCACATACAGAGTTTGGTGAGGATGTGGGCAGTAGAGTTTAGGGTAATTTGGAGGTTTATGGATGGAGGAGCGAGTCCAGACGGGAGATGACAAAGGCGTGAATAAGTGTTTCAGCAATATTTTGTGAGAGACGTGGCTGGGATGGGCGATGTGGTGGAGATGAAGGAAGACAGTATTGGTCAGAGACTGATTGTGAGGGAGAAGGGAAGATTGAACCAGTCGCCGAGATTACACCCTGGTCAGTGAATGTGGGATAGAGGCCGGGGAGGTCAGGGGTGGAGGGGAGGGTGAGGAGGTCAGAGACAGAGCGGTTGAGGAGGTCAGAGCCAGCGGGGAGGGTAAGGATGTCAGAGGCAGAGCGGTTGAGGAGATCAGGGCCAGGGAGGGGGGAGGGTGAGGAGGTCAGGCCAGAGGGAGAGTAAGGGGAGCCCTGGGAAGGTGGTGGGCAGGGTCTCCTCAGGGCTGAGCAGGCTCCAGCGTGACATGTTTGGCAATGGAATGTCAGAATCGAGCCCCCACTCTGTGCCGGTCTCTGTGCTGTGCTTCCTGAGCCAGGAGGGGGCCGCAGTATCCCAGGCCACTCACTGCTGATGATAGCACAGCCCGGCCTGGCTCATCAGCAGGACCTAGAAGGGGCGACCAGTCACTGGGGGCAGGGAATCCTCTCCCTCAGCTCCGGTTAACCCTGCAGCTAAAGCCCTAATGGGGAAGGTGGTCCTAGCTGGATAGGAGAACTAGATGCCAAGATAGCAAGCTGTGCAGGTTTAGCTGGTTAGACTCCAGCAGTTACTGCAAAGGATACTCTGGGGTCCCTAAGACTTGGTTGTTGCCAACTCACACCAAATAATTACTGGAATTAGGTAAACAGGATGTGTCGCTCTAGGGAAAGAGCGCAGTCCATTGTAGACACGAGGAGGTTTCCACATCCAGGTGGCTCAATCATGTGGAACTCTTCTGGTTTGGATATTCTTAAGAACGAAGGTTGGTTTCCGTGGGTTAGACCAAAATGAAGAGCTTGGGATTGGGGTGGGACACACGGGACCAATAATAATCCGTCTTCGTTACCTCAGGTACTGAGACCCTACAGTAACATCTCCAACCTGAAGCTGTGGGACTATTACACACACGAAACGCTGTCAGAGGGGCCACCGTATGACTGGGAGCTGATTCACGGGCGCAGTGAGCAGGGCATTGACGGGGAGCGAGCAGACAGTGGGGCCTCACACACACAACGCTCCATTGTGTGGCCATGTTACCACAACCAGCACAAGACAGAGCCAGACGCCATCACCAAACTGTTAGAGGTACATTGTGTCTGTGACCCCGCCCTGTGTGTGTCTGTCTGCGTGTGTCTGTCTGTGTGTGTGTGTCACTGTAACCCCACCGCGTGTGTGTGTGTGACTCTGTGTGTGTTTGTCACTGTCACCCCGCCCTGTGTGTCTGTCTGTGTGTGTGTGTCACTGTAACCCCACCGCGTGTGTGTGTGTGTGACTCTGTGTGTGTTTGTCACTGTCACCCCGCCCTGTGTGTCTGTCTGTGTGTGACTGTATGTATGTCACTATGACCCCACCCTGTATGTGTGTGGCTGTGTGTGCGAATGTGTGTGTCACTGTGACCCCATCCTGTGTATGTTTGACTATGTGTGTATCTGTGTGTGTGAAGAGACTGTGTTTGTCTGTGTGTCACTGTGACCCCGCCCTGTGTGTGTGAGACTGTGTGTGTGTGACTTGTCGAGGATGGTGTTGGGAACCGGGGTGAATGTGTGTATCTAACAGGAGCTGCAGGTGCTGGAGACTGAGCTGGGGCAGGTGCCGGAGCGGTGGAAAGAGACGTGGGACAAGATCAAAGCAACACAGCGGCCAGAGAGCAGACCAGAGAGCAGAGTGAGTGTGGGCAGCACAGCCCCAGCCCCCCCCACCATGGCCCCTGCCCCACCCCTCACAGCCCCCATGTGCCCCCCCCACACAGTCCCCCCACACCCCACAGCCTTGTCTCTCTCTCTCTGGTGTAACTCTCTTTCCATTCTCTACAGCACTTGTCTTCAAGTTCTCTGCTTACGTCCACGAACCTGTTTGCGCGGCGATCGCTGGGTGTGTTTCTACATGAGACGGCAGCAGGTTCCAGCCTGAACCTGAGTCTGGACAACGACGGGGTCTCAGTCAGCACCAACACCAGCGGCCCCAGCAGCAGGAAGAGCACGAGCACCTTATATAGCCAATTCCACAGCTCGGAGAGTGAGCACAGGTACCACACTGACAGGCAGGCCAGACTGCCCCCTCCCTCCTCCACCGGGGGCCCCCTCCCTCTCTCCCTCCCCCACCGCCCCCTCCCACCTTCCCTCCTCTACCGGCCCAACTCTACCGGCCCCTCCCTCCCTCCTCCACCGCCCCCTCCCTTGAACCCACAGTTTTCTGGTTCAGAGGCAAGAATGCCGCAACTATGCCGGACACTGTGAAGCACTGACAGATTGAGTTGGTGAGGCCGAAGTGTGTTACCTGCTGGAGATGGTGATGCTACTGTTCTGTTACTGACACGCGTTTGGGTCTACAGGTCCTACGAGGGAACTGTTTACAAGAAAGGAGCATTACTGAAAGCCTGGAAACCTCGTTGGTTTGTCCTGGATAAAACCAAACATCAGGTAAAGCTCTGATCTCAACACAGAGCAGACAAGCTGCAGCTCAGGGCAGGGCTGCACAGAGAGGTTGATGGCAGGATCACACACCAGGGGCTGAGTCGGTAATCGGGGAATGAGATTCAGGAGGATTTTTATTCTCAGTTAGTTGGGCTCGTCAGTGGTAGATGCAGTTCACTTTAAGTAAATGTGAAATAATTAATGTGGGAAAAGGGATAAATCAATGAAATCATTTAGCCAGTGTTTTGTATCAGTGATTCCGGCGTTGGACACTGAGCAGAAATAACTAATTGTGTAGAGGGAGGGGCTGGGTGGAGAGTGAGGGGCTGACAGCCTGTGACTGTGTGTTTTGCAGTTGAGATATTACGACAGTAAGTCGGACACTGAGGTTAAGGGGGTTGTGGACTTGGCTGAGGTGGAGTCGGTGACCTCGGGGTCAGCAGCAACCGGAGCTCCTAAAGGCATGGAGGAGACGGCCTTCTTTGACGTAAGTAGCTTATCAATCACCCGAGGCCTCAACCCTATGGCAAGAACGGTGAGGTTGCGAGGTGTGAGGATGGGAGAGGTGAGGGTGGGAGAGGTGGGGGTGTGGGAGTGAGGGTGGGGGGGGTGAGGGTGTGGGAGTGAGGTTGAGGGTGGAGGGGTGTGGGAGTGAGGTTGTGGGAGGGGTGTGGGAGTGAGGGTGGGAGGGGTGGGTAATAGTGGGTGTTTGTCCTCGTGGCTTGAATCTATAACTGTAACGTCTTTGTTCTGCAGCTGAAGACCACAAAGAGAGTTTACAATTTCTGTGCCCAGGACGGGGCTCGGGGCCAGCGCTGGATCGATGAGATACAGAGCTGCCTGTCAGATGCCTGAGCAGTGCAGATATTGACTGCTCACAGCTCAGTGACAGCCTCACTCGAACACAGACACACTGGACAGTGTGACGAGGCTCGATCCTTACCCACAGACTCGGCTCCTGGTTTACAGGAGACTTTCCATTTCAGGGTAAAGAGCTGCTCAGAGACCATCACTGAGTTACACAGGAATGTCCTGGTCTCCACCAGCCTCCAACCCTCTCACCGAGGACTCCGCCCCTCTCACCGAGGACTCCGCCCCTCACACTGAGGACTCCGCCCCTCTCACCGAGGACTCCGCCCCTCACCAAGAACTCCGCCCCTCTCACTGAGGACTCCGCCCCTCACCAAGAACTCCGCCCCTCTCACTGAGGACTCCTCCCACTCTCAGTATTTAATGTGGAAATATCAAACATGGCACACATGTCCTGGGCCTGATACCATGTGAGCACCGTGTACCCAAACCCTATACACAGCCCCAGGGTACAGTTTATTGCCTGTGTCACATGTTTAGAATATATTGAAAACTTGCGCTGTTTATTTTAATAACAGACAACAAATATTTTTACAAAAATGATAAGCTGTTTGAGAGGCTCTTGTGCTCTCAGAGCAGCGGATGCATTTCTATATAGATCATTGCAGCCAGTGAGAGCAGGAGGGGGTTAAAGGCTGTGAAGGCAGGAGAGGGTTAAAATATTTACTGAGCAGCTTCTGAATCCAGAATTCTCTAAACCACTCGAGTTGTTCACACTGTCAGTCAGTCAGTCAGGCTGTTACACTGTCAGTGGGGGAGGATAATGAGGGATGTATGTTTGTGATTAGTTCTGTATTAACTTATGCAAAGGGAGGGTTTGCCTTGTTTACAAAGCCACGTGATGTGTTCTGTGCAGTCAGAGGTGTCTCCTTTCAGAGCCTGGGACATTCCCCCCCCACCCCCATCCCCTCCCAAACTCGGCACAGGTACCTGCTACAACTTCTGACACTTGTGTAAATATCAGACACCGTTCCTGCACTTTAAACCATTTCCCCAACCCGTGACCCAACTACTGTAACCTCCCTCATCTCTCTTGTAACCTCCTCCTGCCCCACTCCCTCACCCTCAGCCTCGCCCCCTCACCCCCAGCCCTGACCCTCTCACTCATCCCTACCCCTCTTCTCCCCCCCCCCCGTCCCAATTATACACCCCCACTGCCCTCATCCTTCCAGTTTGTGGTTTAGCCCATGTGGTATTTTGCACGTTCAGCTTCCATGTGGCCTCTCGGAGGGACAGGACGCTGAGTAACCATTTGCACTGTTCCCTCCCTTGGACGAGTTCTTTATTTTTAATAATAATTTTAAGGTGAATATTTCCTGTTCAATATAGCTGTCATGCACAGGGTTGCAGCTTAGTTAGCAATAGTTTGGCTTCTTACTCTGGAATTTGTTCTGTATTTTAAGGATGTTGCTTTGTACCCAAGGACTGAGCCCCCCCGCCTCCCCCCGGCCTGTTACAGCTAAAGACTACAATCTTCATCACCGTGCTTAAAGAGTATGCAAACCAGAAGAAGAGTTCAACGTATGAATGCCACCCATGCAAGGAAATCTTCCTGTGTCTGGAATGGAATGGTCACTCTCTCTCCCTGGAAAGACACATCCAGGTTACCTAATTTTGAACAGTATTAGGTGCAGGTTGGTGAGAGCCAAGGCTGGGGGGGGATCCCAGAGTGTGGGTTGGGGTAACTGCTGGTATCTAACCAGCTAAAATCACACATAGTTTGCCATAGAGAGTGCTGTCTGGTCAAGCGTTCCCACTGCTTGTCCAGCTAGGACCACCCTACTAGTTACTAGTTTGGCTGCAGGGTTTATGAGCTGAGCGGGAAGAATCCCTGTCCCCAGGGACTGGTCTACCCTTTCAAGTCCTGCCGATGGGCCAGGCCGGGCGGTGGTGTCAACAACAGTGAGTGCCCTGGAATACTACGGACCCACCTGGCTCAGGAACTGGACTAGATACCATCATAGAGGGTGTTCTTGATTCTGATGTTAAGTTGCCAGGCAAGTCACCTTGTAGGTAGTTCAGCTCCACCCTGTGTATGTAACCCCCCCTCCCTGCCCCCCGGAGGAGTCACCAGTTGGTCACCACCTCAACCCCATTAGCTGTAATCCTCAATTCTTTCTCAGAAAGCAGCAGCAACTCTGAGGTCAGAGGCTGGTCTCTGTGAGACCCAGAAACCCCTTCAGCAGTTGCCAGGAACGGAGGGTCTTGGTTTTCCCCTGGACGTGTGTGGGAGGCACAGGTGAGAGAATTGACTGCACAGACACATTGTGATGGATGGGTATTTCAGCAGTGTTGTAGTCAGGGTTTGCTGTTGCAGCAGAGAACAGTCTGTATATACTTTAATCTGAAAGCTTCATAGATCCAATGTACAGTTCAGATCGTCGCCAATTGTTCTGCATCTGATGTATTTGTGTCTTTCTAGTTCTCTATATTTGAAGAAAACAAATGTCTGTGACCGTGACTGTCAGTGTGTGACTGCTCTCCATAACTTTAGTTCTGCACTGAGGCTGGTGGTCACCACTCAGTGGTGTGCCTCCCTTGTGTGAGCACACGGTATGGGGTGACGGTGAGAGGGTCAGACTGCAGGGGGAGAGGGTCAGGGTTGGTGGGTGAGGGGGTCACGCTGGGTGGGGTGGGGAGGAGGTCAGGCTGGGGGTGAGGGTGTGTGTGAGGATAGGTCAGTGTGTGTGAGGGTGTGCATCTGTGTGTGTGTGTCAGGATGTGTAAGGGGGTGTGTGAGGGTGTGTGTCTTCACTTTGTTTCCACTAACGGCTTTTCCTCCACCCCCCGCACTGTCTCGTGCGGTGTCCCTCAGGGCTCTGTCCTCGGTCCCCTCCTCTTCACCCTCTATATGCTCCCCTTGTGGTGACATCATCCGCAGACATGGGGTTCACTCCCACATGTACGCGGATGACACCCAACTCTATCTTTCCTCCTCTACCCTCAACTCCACGACCCCCGATGTCCTGACAGCTGTCTGTCCGACATCGAGTCCTGGACGAGAGACAACTTTCTTCAGCTCAACGTGTGACAAACTGAGGCCCTCCTGATTGGCTCACGTCAGCGCCTCCGCACCTCAGGCGCTGACAGCATCAGCTCCGCACTCTCCACCTCTCAAAGCCATCAGGAACCTCGGGGTTCTGTCCGACCCTGAGCTGTCCTTTCTCCCTCACATCCGCACCACAACTGGCACCGCCTTCCATCACCTCCGGAACATCGCCAGACTACGGCACTACCTCACCCCTCACGCGGCTGAAACCCTGGTCCACGCCTTTGTCACCTCAAGGCTGGACTATGGGAACTCTCTCCTCGCCGGCCTTCCCGGCCCTCCCTCCACACTGCAGGTCATCCAGAACTCTGCAGCTCGTGTACTGTCCCGCACCAGACACCGCGACCACATCACTCCCACCCTCACCCTCGCCCTCACCCTCGCCCTCGCTCGCCTCCACTGGCTCCCCATCCCCCAGAGGATCGATTTCAAGATCCTCATCCTCACCTACAAGGCCATTCACGGCCTCGCTCCCTCCTACCTCTCTGACCTACTATCCCCCTACCTACCTGCCCGTACCCTCCGTTCCTCCGGCTCCGGTCTGCTCCACACCCCCCGCCCCAACCGCCCTACCATCGGTGGCCTTCAGCCTCTCAGCCCCGAGGCTCTGGAACTCCATCCCCAGTGCCTTCGCCGCTTCCTCCCTTTCCTCCTTCAAGGCCGGTCTCAAGACGTTCCTCTTTGACAGTGCCTTCAGCTCCCCTCTCGACTCTCTACCCCCTCCTCGCTCCCTCCCTTCCGTCCCCTCACACTGACCATTTCCCCCACTGCTCGGGTCCTGACCCAACTGTGCAGCGCCTTGGGACGTCCTCCCGACGTGAAAGGCGCTCTATACATGGAATCTTGTTGTTGTCAGGGGGTGTGTGTCGGGGTGTGTGTGTCGGGGTGTGTGTCAGGGGGTGTGTGTCAGGGGGTGTGTGTCAGGGGGTGTGTGTCAGGGGGTGTGTGGGGGTGTGTGTGAGGGGGTGTGTGAGTAATTTACGGTTTGGGGGTCTTTAGCGTAAACAACAATGTGAGATATGTCACGTGACCACTTCCTTTCCGTCACTCGGACACCGCGAGAGTCAACCCCCACACTCCCCCCCCCCCACACTCCCCCCCCCCCCCCCCCCCCCACACTCTCCCCACCCCTCCACACACTCTCCCCCCACTCTCCTCACCCCCCCACACACTCCCCCCCCACACACTCCCCCCCCCCACTCCCCCCCCACACTCTCCCCCCACTCTCCCCCCCCCCACACACTCTCCCCCCCACACTCTCCCCACCCCCCACACACTCCCCCCCCCCACTCCCCCCCCCACTCTCCCCCCGTCCAGTAATTGTGTGCGGATTCACGCAAACACTTCCTTCGTAATTTATTTGCTGGATTCTGTCAGCAAATTCCCCCCCACACACAACTGTGTTGTTCACAAGGGAGGAAGGTGGGGCCGGAAACCTGGGAACATGTCCCGCTGGTGAATTATTTGTATTCATTGTAACAGCAGCACAGACAGCCTCAGCTCGATGTCATTTCTGACAATGCTGCATCAGACTTTATTCAAAGCTCAAATCACATCGTGAAATTCACAACCAGTTTCCGAGGCAAAAAGGCTGTCCAATGCTGCAGAGCACAATTAAAATTAAGATTTGAGCAGTCAGATGTACAAAAGCAGCGGATCACATACCTTTGTGTTACAATCAGCACACAATGCAAATCAGAAATGTAAAATGGTGTTTCGGTATTTTCACTCACCTGCAGGAATGACAGAGTCTGGTCTGGGAGTGAAATTGTCACAGGAGCACGGAGGAGAATTCAGTAATTCAAGATGTCTTGAAGAGATTGAAACTCTCACACCAATTTGTGCTGCAAATGTGTGAAGCTCTATCACACACAACGACAGCAACAACAACAAGATTCCATTTATAAAGCGCCTTTCACGTCAGGAGGACGTCCCAAGGCTCTGCACAGTTGGGTCATGACCCGAGGAGGGGGGAAATGGTCAGGGTGAGGGGAGGGAAGGGAGGGAGCGAGGAGGGGGTAGAGAGTCGAGAGCGGAGCTGAAGGCTGAAGGTCAAAGAGAAAGGTTTTGAGACCGGCCTTGAAGGAGGAAAGGGAGGAGGCGGCGAAGGCACTGGGGACAGAGTTCCAGAGCCTCGGGGCTGAGAGGCTGAAGGCCACCGATGGTAGGGCGGTTGGGGCGGGGGACGTGGAGCAGACCGGAGCCGGAGGAACGGAGGGTACGGGCAGGTAGGTAGGGGGATAGTAGGTTGGAGAGGTAGGAGGGAGCAAGGCCGTGAATGGCCTTGTAGGTGAGGATGAGGATGAGGATCTTGATCACAACGTGATAAAGGAACATAGGAACAAAAGTAGGCCATTCAGCTCCTCAAGCCTGGTCTGCCATTCTATTAGATCACAGTTGCTGCATATCTAAACTTCAATTATATATTTATGTATCATATTGTGATACCACACAAACACACACAAATGAGGAATTCTGTGAGGCCACATATCAGGAAACTAATAATTGTTTTATTGGTCTGAACATTTTCTTGCACAAAAGCAAACCACAATTCCTGCACAAAAGATCGGGGAACATTTATGAAAAGGCCTTTATTAGGATTCAAGCAGCAGAATTTCAGAAAGGAGTGCTGACATATAAAAGCATCGCACTCGGGACTTAAAAGAAGGATGAATTGCCTGACTCATTGAATCTCGGAGTAGAAGAACATTTTGAATTAATTATCACCGTGCTACAGAAATGACAATCAGGATCACAGTGTGGGAAAGAAAGCCAAGAAACTCAATGAAGTCAGATGGAATGGGTTCAAAGGTAACTTCACTGTTCAGCCATATGTTTAGAATCAAAGAGGAATGGGCTCAGGAGCAAAGGGATTCAATGTACAGTTTAATATTCGGCTCATCCAATTTTGTTTTTGTAAAATCCGCCTTTGGGGAGGTTGGCAGAGCAGTGGATTGTTTTACACACGGTGTTTCCATAAGCTGTGGCTTCTCTAAATCAACTCTGAATTATCCCAAACACTTTAATTACAGGCTGAAGCACTGCCTTCCAGCCTCTAGTCAATCAGCACAGAGACAGACACTGTGCAGGGCAGAGCCAGAGCCTCCGACAGCTAAACATGAAGCCAGGAGCCAGGCCTTGCCATGACACAAGGCAGCAGCTCAGCATTGTGGGGAAGTGAGATGACTCTGAATTGGTGTAAGTTTGTTTGATTAATTTCCTGTGGAGATACTGTTTTTCATTCCCACAAATGCAGCAGCCATTCTGGTTGGACTTGGAAAAGCTAGGCTACTGCTGCGTTCTGTACCTTCTTCCATTCCCCACACACTCCTGCACAAAGCAATTACCAATTCACATCTACACCACACATCTTCTGTCACTGACACGTCCTGTAAAGAATATGTACACTTACAGCACGGCCAACATTGAGAAGCTTCACTAAGTTAAACAGCCAATAAAACAACACCATAGTCCAAGCTAGGAAATATAACTGGTGCAGAGGGATGTTGTGTTGTGCCGTTCTGAAAGGAGTGAATTTATTACATTTGGGAACTGTGTTCACTGCAGTTCAGTAAATTTCTGCCAAAAGATTTCCTCCTGTCACAAACATTGACAGCTAGAAAGGCGGAAAGTTCAGAGGCCACACTGACGTGCTCCGGGCCCAGTCACACACCTGCATCCCCATAGCCGTGTCTGCTCAATCCAAACTTCAATGCAAATTATTTTTTAAACATGCAGCTTAAACAAGTAATAAAAGACTGAATAGATGCGGGTTTACACTGGAATCAATGGTTGAAGTCTTTGGGTCAAAATTCCTCTGTCGCTCAGTGCAGTGTGGGCAATATGTGCACACATGGAGAAATCGTGGGACGTACACACATGATGTGAATGACATGTGCACACAATGCAACTTTATAAGTAGCTAGACTGAGCGATGGAGGAAGTTCTCGCCCTCGAGTTCAAGTTCCACCAGGCAAGACACTGATAACAGGCCAAGTCTTGCTTGAAGCCTTTTCTCTTAATTCTTTAACAATTCTTTCGACAGCCAGTCGAGGCCGTCAAACAGGCCATTGCCCTGTATGGCACAGGTCGCCTGCACATACCACTGTGAAAAACAAAGAGAAATTAATTACATAAATTCAAGCCAACACCCAGCGATCGGGCCCCTCATTACTGCCGAGCCAGCAGAAACTTGCCCCTCAGGCTTGGCTCAGTATAATTCTCTCTTGGGTAGGAATGTGTGTCACACCTGTGGGCAGGAATTTGGTGGCAATGCTCTCCTGCGTTTCATGCTGAGTGGTGTCACCCACCAGGCAACTCATACCAGGCAGCTCGCAGGTGGTTCCTGGTACGTACTATCCTCAGGGTGGGGTGGAGACAGGGTCTCCTCAGGGCTGAACTGGCTCCAAGGGGACATGTTTGGCAACGGAATGTCAGAATCGAGCCAGTCCGTTGGACGGTCTCTAGTCCGGTTCCTGAGCCAGACATTGTCCACGGTATTCCAGGGCACTCACTGCTGATGACAGCACAACCCAGCCTGGTTCAGCGTCAGGACCTGGAAGGCAGACCAGTCACTGGGGCAGGGAATCCTCCCCTCAGTTCCTGTTAACCCTGCAAACCAAAGCCCTAACGGGTAGGGTGGTCACAGTGATGGGTTTTCTCGTGTGTCAGACTCCCGGCTGATCATGGTAATGGGCTTCTGCGTGTGTCAGACACCCGGCTAATCACAGTGATGGGTTTCCATGTGTCAGACACCCGGCTAATCACGGTGATGGGTTTCCGTGTGTGTGTCCGATACCCGGCTAACCAAAAAAAGTTACACGAGAAACAATGATAATGATTATCAATGCTCTGGAAGGACCCTTACATTTCTGCTGCTCAAAGAGGTCAATCCCAGTTTATCCTTCATGTCACTGACGGAGATGGCATTTGGCAGGTCCTGCTTGTTTGCAAATATCAGCAACAAAGCATCTCTCAGCTCGTCCTCTTGAAGCTGGGAGGAAATAAGTGTTGGAATTAATCCGAAGGCATGTTGGTATAATCCCACTGTCTTGCTCACTCTTCTTTACCTTTCTCTCTTCAAATTTCCCTTTTAAAAGAAATTAAAATTCCTCAAAATTAGTGATTGTCCCAACTTCCCTCTGTGTAATGTGCCCTTCAATTCCTTTGTGATTATCTGATGTTTGATCTTCTGGTGACTGACTCACTAGTTACCCTGGCATAACCCTTCAAGATCCTGACAACCTCAAAGGTGACCTTTAACTCTTTCAGCTGTAGTGAATATTTATGCTGCACCTTCCTTTTGCTAGAATATCTACTCCGTCCTCTGCCCTCCGACTCTGGGCTGCTGACACTCTCATGTCTAGGCTCAACTAATAGTGTTCTACTGCCAAACTTCCCAGCTCTTCCATACACAAGATGCAGACCGCACAGAACTCTGCAGCTTGTGTCCGCTCACATCAGGCTCTGTGAGCCTCTCACCCCCAACCTCGCTCAGTGCCACTGTCACCCATTCTGCAGATTGAATTCAAGATTCTTATTCTCACCTTCAAATCTCTCCACGTTCTCACTCATCTTATCTGTGACCTGCAATCCCACCGACCCGCAAGCGAACACCATCTCAAGACAAAGCTATGAGGCAGTATTTCTGTCATTTCCCCTCCCACTCCGCCCCGAGTGCCAAGTCAGCCGTGTAAAGCACTTTTGACATGCCCTCTTGACATGAAAAGCGCTGTATAAATATACATTTATTATAAAATGCAGAGCTATACAAGTGCCACGGACATCCCAAGGAGCGGCTCACAGATCACTTGTCGCACTCACCATTTTCTGTAGTTCTTCTGCTGCCTCCTGCACTCGCTCCCGGTCATTACTGTCCACAACAAAGATAAGGCCCTGAAATCAACCGGCACAGGATCAGCCTCAGTTTGTCCTCTCATCACTTGATTAAGCAGCTTCTAACCTCATTGCAGGCAATGAGGGTGGAGGCCGTGTACATAGTAAGTAGAGAATGAGGTACCCCACACACTACATACGCTGAGTTAAGGCAGACTCTTACCTGTGTGTTCTGGAAATAGTGTCTCCACAATGGACGGATTTTATCCTGACCGCCCACATCCCACACAGTAAAACAAATGTTCTTGTACTCCACCGACTCCACATTGAAACCTGTAATGACAGAATGTCTCGATGTTCAGTGATTCAGAGTATAATACATTGCACATAAACCAGAGACAATTCCAGATTGAAAGTGTTAAAAACAGGTGAAAACAAGAACTGTTTAAGAAACTATCAAATTAGCTGGGCAAAGGGAATGTCTGTAATGACCTTCACAATACCAGCCTATATCAAGCTCTGATCTTGCAACATTTATTTTCTGAACTCAGAAAAAATAGACTCTCACTATAGAATTTACATTAACATTCACCTCGTGGGAGGGAAAAATGACTAATTTATTGTTTGGTCAGCCGGATGTCTGACACATGCAGTCTCCAAACCAAACTGAGATTTCCCCACATATACATATACACATATACATATACCTATACATGGAAATCCCGGAGATAGATTGTTGTAATGGAATGTTCTCTCTCTGTCTGTCTGTCTCCCCGGAGGGACACATCCTGTTTATCTAATTCTGGAAAGTATTAGGCGCAGGTTGGCAAGAGCCAAGGCTTGGGGACCCAAGAGTGTGCAATAACTGCGGGAGTCTAACCAGTTAAAACTTCATAGCTTGCCATTGAAAGCGCTGTCTGATAAGCTTTCCCACTAATTGTCCTACCCGTTAGGGCTGGCAGGGTTAAGAGGAGCTGAGTGGGAAGAGTTCCTCCTCTAGTGATTGTTCTGCCCTTCCAGGTCCTGACAATAAGATGAGCTGTTCTTTCATCAGCAATGCCCTGGAACACTGCAAAGCTGCCTGGCTGAGGAACTGGCATAGAGACCATCACAGAAGGCTGGCTCGATTCTGAAATTCCACTGTCAAACATGTCACCTTGCAGCCAGTTCAGCTCCAAGGAGATCCCACTTACCAAAGATACTCAAAGACAGTCAAAAAGCTCCAATATTAAAGAGTTGGTTGTAATAAGCACGGTTTGTGATTAGTCTGTGCTGGCTTCTCCTCAAGTCAGCCTTGGACATGGTGAGCAATGGTCTAATTGATACCTACCAATAGTCGGGATGGTGGTGACGATTTCTCCCAGCTTTAGCTTGTACAGAATTGTCGTTTTACCAGCAGCATCCAATCCCACTGAGGAAGAGAGAAATAAGAGAATCCTGATATTTTATACTAATGTAAAATTGACACAAACCGGTGTATTTGTGGCTGTGATACAAGGATCTTCAATGGTAGTTTCAATAATTGTCCCAAATGTCAGGCCCGCTGCAACTAAATTCTCCTCATCCAGGCCTAGCCCATAGCTTTGTTATGGAAAATGGGTTGCTAAGAAGCGAACCATAGTGTAATGGGAGGATGATCGGATGAGATTAGACACGTCTGCGGCTCTGAGACGATGCCCTAGAATCTCAGCCGTGTGCAGCGACACTGATCAGAGGCTGCAATCACACCAACCTCCATTTATCCGGGAAGTGAAGCGTGTGGTGCTGGCTCTGAGCTCCAGAACAGAGCTCGGAGGAGCATACTGATGTGGGCCTAAGCCATCAAAATCATATAGTCTGAGAGCTCCACTCACAATCTGTCTAGAAGGTGACAGTGAATTCACCTCCCTCTTCCTTGTCTAACCCTGTCCCACGAAAAGTTACCCTATACCACCAGAGCTATATTTAAGTAGCAACAAATATACACTTATATAGAGTGCTTCACATTGGGAGGGAGGGAATCGCAAAGTTCTGACAGTCCAGGGTTTGCTAGACTCGCTTTCAAAGCCCTCCCTGGTCTTGCTCCTTCCTACCTCTGACCTGCTAACTCTTTGTCGACCTGTCAGCGCCCTCTGCTCAGCAGCCCCGGGCCTGTTCCAGATCCCTCGGCCCCACCCATCATTAGTGGTGAGGCCTTCATCTTCTCTGCCCCCACCCTTTGGAACTCCATTCCACAGTCTCTTCATCTTGCTTCTTCCCTTGCATCCTACAAGGCAGGTCTCAAGACCCTCCTCTTCGACCGATCACCTTCCTACTACCCCCACCTCCCTGCCCACCACCCCCCCTGATCCCAACCCCCAGCTCGGGTCCAAATCCCTGACTCTAGCGTCTTGGGATGGTTCAGATCCTACCACTCGCACTGTCTCCACTTCATCTCCACAAAAGGTTTCTTCTCTAGACCCGCACTGTCCCGTGCTGAGTTCCACAGGGCTCTGTCCATGGTCCCCTCCTCTTCAAGATCTATATGCTCCCTCTTGGTGACATCACCCGCAGATGTGGTCAACTTCCACATGAATATAATAATAATAATAATAATCCTTGCATTTGATATAGCGCTTTTCACGTCGGGAGGACGTCCCAAAGCGCTTCACAGAACACACTGTAAAGTGAATTGACTGTATATTTGTGGGCGAACGCGGCAGCCAATTGCGCACAGCAATGTCCCACAAACAGTCGTAGATTGAAAATGACCAATTTAATTATTGTTTTTGGTTTTTTGGAGGGATTATTATTAGGCTCTGTGTGGAGTAAGGAAACTTGCCCAAGGTTTCGCCCTCTGCCTGGAATTGAACTCAGGTCTCTCACTTGCAAAGCGAGTGCTCTAACCACTGAGCTACAGGACTCCACGTGGCTGAATGTGGCTGACACCCAATTGTACTTCTCTGCCTCCACCCTTGACTCCAGGACAACTGTCCTGACAGAATGTCTGTCAGTCCTGGATGAGAACTAACTTTCTTCAGTTGAACGTCAACAAGACTGAGGCTTCTGATTGGCTCCTGTGAGCGCCTCCTCACCTCAGGCACTAACAGCATCACCATCCATGGGGCACACTCCACCTCACCGAGCCAGTCCCGAATCTTGGGGTCTTGTTTGACCCTCGACTATCCTTTCTACCCCACATCCATGCCATGACCCGCTCTGCCTTCCCCCACCTCCGCAACATTGCCCAGCTCCGCCAATGTCTCACACCGCAGGCTGCCAAAACCCTCATAGACGCAGTCATAACATCCAGGCTTGACTATGGAAACTCCCTGCTTGTCGACCTCCCCAAACCCTCACCCCATGGGCTGCAGATCATTCAGAACTCTGCAGTCCGTGTCCTCTCCCGCACCAGGCTCCGTGACCGTATCACCCCCATTCTCACCCAACTCCACTGGCTTCTCATCACACAGAGGATACAGTTCAAGATCCTGGACCTCACCTTCAAAGGCCTCCATAGTCTCGCACCCGCCTACCTTTGGACCTCCTAAACCACTGCTAACCTGCCCACTCCCTCCGCTCAGCGGGCTCTGGCCTGCTTCACGTCCCCCACCTCGTCCACCCCATCATTGGCGGGCGGGCCTCTGCCCCCCACATCTGGAACACCATCCCGCAGTCCCTCCGCCTCTCCCCCTCCCTTGCCTCCTTCAAGACCCGTCTCAAGATCCTCCTCGTTCAACAGAGCTTTCGATCACCCTCCTTCTCGCATGCCCTCCGCCCTCCCAGATCCTAACCCCCAGCTCGAGTCTGAAACACTGATTGTTCAGCACCTTGGGACGTCTTCCCGATGTGAAAGGTGCTATACAAATGCAACTTCTTGTTTTGGGGATGTCCTCCTGATGTGAAAGGCGCTGTGTAAATGCAATTTGTTGCTGAGAAGAGATATAAATGCCTCTCAAGGAAGGTCCATGACAGAAAGCCCGAGGGTTCAATCCTGACAGATGCATAGTGACAGACCAGGGTTTGCTCTGGTTACTCAGTGACTGAGTGACAATTTCAGTACAAACCACTTCATCCTCTCTGGCACCTCCGCGGCTCTCCATCTTCTGGAGTTGGAGTTGGGGCTGTTGTTGGGTCTGGTGTTGGAGTTGGAGTTGGGGATGGGGGTGCGGTTCGGGTGGGGGTGGGGTGGGGTGGGGTGCGGGTGGGGTGGGGGTGGGGGTGGGGTGGGGTTGCGGGTGGGGTGGGGGTGGGGGTGGGGTGGGGGTGCGGGTGGGGTGGGGGTGGGGTAGGGGTGGGGTGGGGGTGCGGGTGGGGGTGGGTGGGGGTGCGGGTGGGGGTGCGGGTGGGGGTGTGGGTGCGGGTGGGGTGGGGGTGCGGGTGGGGTGGGGGTGGGGTGGGGTGGGGGTGCGGGTGGGGGTGCGGTTCGGGTGGGGGTGGGACTCACCCATGAGATTCGCATCTGTTTTTTGCCGAAAGCCGCGACACGGTGGGGGTGGGGGTGGGGTGGGGGTGGGGGTGGGGTGGGGGTGGGGTGCGGGTGGGGTGGGGTGGGGTGGGGGTGGGGTGGGGGTGGGTGTGAGGGTGGGGGTGCGGGTGGGGTGGGGTGGGGTGGGGTGCGGGTGGGGTGAGGGTGGGGGTGGGGGTGGGGGTGCGGTTCGGGTGGGGGTGGGGGTGCGGGTGGGGTGGGGGTGGGGTGGGGTGCGGGTGGGGTGAGGGTGGGGGTGGGGTGGGGGTGCGGTTCGGGTGGGGTGGGGGTGCGGTGGGGTGGGGTGGGGGTGCGGGTGGGGTGGGGGTGAGGGTGGGGGTGCGGGTGGGGTGGGGGTGAGGGTGGGGGAGCAGTTGGTGGGGGTCGGACTCACCCATGAGGATTCGCATCTGTTTTTTGCCGAAGAGCCGCGACACGATGGAGGTGATCGTGAGCCCCATCGTCAGACCGGAAGTGAGTTGGCGAGTGTGTCCCACTTCCGCGTCTGTTCACTTCCTGCACTCGGAGCTTCCGGTCCGTGCAGCGACTGTGCTGTGTTTTGGATCCGGTGTGACGGTCAGTGTCAGGGTGTGTGTGAGGGTCAGTGTCAGGGTGTGTGTGAGGGTCAGTGTCAGGGTGTGTGTGAGGGTCAGTGTCAGGGCGTGTGTGAGGGTCAGTGTCAGGGTGTGTGTGAGGGTCAGTGTCAGGGTGTGTGTGAGGGTCAGTGTCAGGGTGTGTGTGAGGGTCAGTGTCAGGGCGTGTGTGAGGGTCAGTGTCAGGGTGTCTGAGGGTCAGTGTCAGTGTGTGTGTGAGGATCAGTGTCAGTGTGTCTGAGGGTCAGTGTCAGGGCGTGTGTGAGGGTCAGTGTCAGGGCGTGTGTGAGGGTCAGTGTCAGGGTGTGTGAGGGTCAGTGTCAGGGCGTGTGTGAGGGTCAGTGTCAGGGTGTGTGTGAGGGTCAGTGTCAGTGTGTGTGTGAGGATCAGTGTCAGTGTGTCTGAGGGTCAGTGTCAGGGCGTGTGTGAGGGTCAGTGTCAGGGTGTGTGTGAGGGTCAGTGTCAGGGTGTCTGAGGGTCAGTGTCAGGGCGTGTGTGAGGGTCAGTGTCAGGGTGTCTGAGGGTCAGTGTCAGTGTGTGTGTGAGGATCAGTGTCAGGGTGCGTGTGAGGGTCAGTGTCAGTGTGTGTGTGAGTGTCAGTGTCAGGGTGTGTGTGAGGATCAGTGTCAGGGTGCGTGTGAGGGTCAGGGTGTGTGTGAAGGTCAGTGCGTGTGTGAGGGTCAGTGTCAGGGAGTGTGAGGGTCAATGTCAGGACGTGTGTGAGGGTCAGTGTCAGGGTGTGTGTGAGGGTCACTGTACACACAGACACAGGATATATATAGTGTATAATAGTTATATTGTTACAGTGTATACACACATAATATAATCCTTAGACTGGTTCAGACCCAACCTCTCACACCGCCTCCACTTCATCTCCACAAACGGTTTCTCCTCCAGCCCTCGCACTGCCTCATGCGGCGTTCCTGAGGGCTCTGTGCCTTCCCCCCCTCCGCAATATCACCACTATCTCACACTGGTGGCTGCCGAGACCCTCATACACTTTTTTCATTACATTGAGGTTCAACTATGCAAACTCTCTGCTTGTCGACCTCCCCAACTCCTCCGTCCATAGGCTGCAGATCATCTAGAATTCTGCAGCCCAGGTCCTCTCCCGCTCCAGGCTCCATAACCTTATCACCCTCATCCTCACCCAACTCCACTGGCTTCCCATCACACAGAGGGTACAGTTCAAGATCCTGGTCCTCATCTTCAAAGCCCTCCATCGACTTTCTCCCCCCTACCTCCTAAGCCCTACCAACCTACTCGCTCCCTCTGCTCAGTAAGCTCCAGCCTGCTTCACGTCCCCCACCTCGCTCGCCCCACATTAGCAGGCGGGCCTTCTGCGACTGCGCCCACCCTCTGGAACTCCCTCCCGCAGCCGCTCCGCCTCGCCCCCTCCTATGCCTCCATCAAATACCATCTCAAAACCCTCCTCTTCGACCCTGCCTTCGATCACCCTCCCCCCCACCTGCCCTCCACCATCCCCAATCCCAAACCCCAGCTTGGGTCCAAATCACTGACTGTCCAGCGCCTTGGGACATCCTTCCGACATGAAAGGCGGTATACAAGTGTTATTTTGTTGTTTATATATATATGTATAGTGTATAATAATTACATAATAATCCTTGTATTTGATAAAGCACTTTTCACGTCTTCGAGACGTCTCAAAGCGCTTCACAGAATATACTGTAAAGTGAATGGACTATATTTGTGGGCGAAACATTACATATAGTGTGTACACTATATTGATGGTGTTACAGTGTATCTATATCCGGTCACACAGACAGTGAATGGTTAGTTTATGCAGTGTTTCCGGTGGGAATGTTACAACGTTGCAATGTTTGTACCATTTCCCGTTGACGTTTCACAAAATGTCGGTACTTCCGGTCCAGTTGGGATCCGATTTATATTCCGAGAAACAGAAACCCCGAGGGTGAGAGACAGAGACCCACACAAACAGGGCGACAGAGAGGGAGAGACACGGGGGGTGGGGGAGAGCCCCACAGGGTGGGGGGGGAGTGATGTCACTGGGAAATGAGCAAATCCTGAAGTGGTTTAAGTTTTGTCAGAGAAAGAAAAACAGAGAGAGGAGAGAGAGACAGAGAGAGAGAGAGAGACTGAGAGAGGAGAGAGAGAGACTGAGAGAGAGAGAGAGAGACTGAGAAAGAGAGGAGAGACAGAGAGAGAGAGACAGAGAGAGAGAGACAGGAGAGAGAGCCCAAGAGAGAGGAGAGAGACAGGAGAGAGAGAGAGAGACCGAGAGAGAGGAGAGAGAGATACAGAGACAGGAGAGAGAGAGAGAGACCGAGAGAGAGGAGAGAGAGATACAGAGACAGGAGAGAGAGAGAGATTGATGCCTTTTCTGGTGTTTTCCTCACTTGTTCTTTTGGTTGAAGGTCTGGCCCTCACTGACCATTGATTGGACATGGAGAAGTTTGGGGTGAACTTTGGTCCAAGTAAGAAAGATCTTCTGGAAACCATTGAGACGCAGAAGAAGCATTTGTTGCAATATCAAACCCGCTTGAGAGATGTTGTCCGTGCCTACAAAAGCCTTCTGAAGGAGAAGGAGGCTCTGGAGGCCAGTATCAAGGTCCTCTCAGTCTCACAAGAGGCTGATAGGAGCTTACAAAGCCCGGAGCCTGGTCGTGCAACTCCTGCCTGGTGCTCGGACCTTGGTGATGAGAAATGTTCGATCCACAGTGAGGACAGTGCAGGGACTATGAACAGTGTGGAAACCGCAGCAAGTGTGAGCAGCAGCACGAAGGGGGAGCAGAACGAAGACCTGGTGGCAGCAGGAACCTTGTCCCCAAAGTGTGAGGAAGCTAATGGTTCTGAGAGCGGCCTGACTGTTGGCAGCACCGAACAGCCAATCACTGGTGACGGTGACAGGAAGATGCTACAGCTGAAAAGCCAATTGGCGACACTAACCAATGCCTTGGCGACTGTTACTCAGGAGAAATCCCGAATGGAGGCCTCCTATGTGACAGACAAGAAGAAAATGAGGCAGGAGTTTGAGGATATGACCCAGGCTTTAGAAGAGAAAAATACCAAATATGAAGCTGAAATGAGAAAGTTTCAGGAGCAGCTGTCAGAGGCCAAGGCTCGCATCATCACCCAGCAACACGAGCGCTCACAGGAGCAGAGCGACCATGCCTCCATGCTGCGGGAACTCCAGAAGCTGCTACACCTAGAACGAGCTTCACGACACGATGTGGAGCTGAAGCTGGAGGAGACCAAGGAGGTGCTGACATCAAAGACCCAGACGGCGGAGCGGGTGGACGACTGTGAATCTCATGTGAAGCAGCTGAGTCAAGAGGTGGCCGGGCTGAAGCAGGCACTGCATTTGGCTGAGGAAGAGAAGAAGAAACCAGACCCACGAATTCAGCAACTCGAGGAAGAGATCAGCGAAGTCAAGAACCATTTTCAGGCTCAGCTGCAGCTGGAGATGTGGAAGGTAAAGTGTTTTCTGTAGTGAGATGATGGAACAATTATCTTTTGAGATTTGATTTACTTATGTTTGTGTAGTAAGTGTTATTATTGAATTGGCTTTTTATATATTTTATATTAACGAATCCTAATTTTATCATTGGATGTTGAGTCAGTCCATCACCTCCCACACTGCCTCCTGAATGTCCTGTCTTGTAAACCCCCGAGTGTGAGTGTGTGTCTGCGTGAGTGTGTCTATGTGAGTGTGCCGCCTCCACTTCATCTCCACAAACGGCTTCTCCTCTTGCCCCCGGATCATCTCATGCGGTGTTCCTCAGGCCTCTGTCCTTGGTCCCTTCCTCTTCAGCATCTGTATGCTCCCTCTTGGTGACATCATCCACAGACATGGGGTCAATTTCCACAATTATGCGGATGACACCCAACTGTACCTCTCTGCCCCCACCCTTGACTCCAGGACCCACTGCTGTCCTGACAGAATGGCTGCCAGACATCAAGTCCTGTCAGAGCCAACTTTCTTCAGTTGAATGTCAACAAGACCGAGGCTCCTAATTGGCTCCTGTCAGTGCCTCCTCACCTCAGGCACTGACAGATCACCATCCATGGCTGCTCACTCCCGCTTACTGAGCTAGTCCGGAAGCTTGGGGTCTTGTTTGACCCTCAACTATCCTTTCTACCCCAATCTGCGCCATGACCCGCTCTACCTTCTCCCACTTTTACAACATCGCCCGGCTCCGACACTGTCTCACTCCGCAGGCCACCGAGATCCTCACACGCCTTCATTACATCGAGGCTTGACTATGCAAACTTCCTGCTTGTCGGCCCCCAACTTCTCCCTCCACAAGTTGCAGATCATCCAGAACTCTGCAGCCCGTGTCCTCTCCCACACTAGGCTCCAGGACCCTATCACCCCCATCCTCGCCCGACTCCACTGCCTTCCCATCACACAGATACAGTTCAAGATTCTGATCCTCACCTTCAAAGCTCTCCATGGTCTTGATCCTCTCGACCTCTGCAACCTCCTAACCCCCTACCAACTTGCTCGCCCCTTCGTTCAGCGGGCTCCAACCTGCTTCACATCCCCCACATCGCTCGCCCCACTATTGGCGGGTAGGACTTCAGCCACTCTGTCTCCACCCTCTGGAACTCCATCCTGCAGTCCCTCTGCCTCACTCCCTCCCTTGCCACCTTCGAGACCCATCTCAAGACCCTCCTCTTCGACCGTGCTTTCGATCTCCCTGCTTCCCCCCCGCCCTCCACCCTTCCCGATCCCCAGCTCGGGTCTGAAACTTCTGTCTGTCCGGTGCCTTGGGATGTCCTCCCAACGTGAAAGGAGCTTTACAAATGTAATTTTGTTGTTGTCTGTCTGTGAGAGGGTGTCTGTGTGAGCGTGTCTGGGTGAGCCTGTGTCTATGTGAGAGGGTGTCTGGGTGAGCCTGTCTGGGTGAGCCTGTGTCTATGTGAGAGGGTGTCTGGGTGAGCCTGTGTCTATGTGAGTGTATCTGGGTGAGCCTGTGTCTATGTGAGAGGGTGTCTGTGTGAGCGTGTCTGGGTGAGCCTGTGTCTATGTGAGAGGGTGTCTGTGTGAGCGTGTCTGGGTGAGCCTGTGTCTATGTGGGAGCGTGTCTGTGGGAGCCTGTGTCCATGTGAGAGGGTGTCTGGTGAGCGTGTCTGGGTGAGCCTGTGTCTATGTGAGAGGGTGTCTGGTGAGCCTGTGTCCGGGTGAGCCTGTATCCGCGAGCGCCTGTCTGTCTGCGTGAGTCTGTGTCTTGTGAGTGCGTCTGTCTGTCTGTAAGTGCTTCTGTCTGTGCGAGTGTGTGTCTGTCTATGAGCGTGTGTGTCTGCGAGCGTGTGTCTGCTTGCGAGCGTGTCTGTTTGTGAGCATGTGTCTGTCTGTGCGAGTGTGTGTCTGCGAGCGTGTCTGCGAGTGTGTGTCTGTACAAGCATGTGTGTCTACAAGCGTGTCTGTGCGAGTGTGTGTCTGTCTATGAGCGTGTGTGTCTGCGAGCGTGTGTCTGCTTGCGAACGTGTCTGTCTGTGAGCATGTGTCTGTCTGTGCGAGTGTGTCTGTCTACGAACGTGTCTGTACGAGTGTGTGTCTGTCTGTGTGTCTGTCTGTCTACAAGTGTGTGTGTCTGTCTCCGAGCGTGTCTGTGCGAGTGTGTCTGTCTGTGTGGGCTTGTGTGTCTGTGCAAGCGTGTGTCTGTCTGCGAACGTGTGTCTGTCTGCGAACGTGTGTCTGTCTGCGAGCGTGTCTGTCTGCGAGCGTGTGTCTGTACAAGCATGTGTCTGTCTACGAGCGTATCTATGCGAGTGTGTCTGTCTGTGCAAGTGTGTGTCTGTCTACGAGCGTGTCTGTGCGAGTATTTGTCTGTCTGTGCGAGCATGTGTCTGTTTGCGAGTGTGTCTGTCTGAGAGCGTGTCTATGTGAGCGTGTCTGTCTGTGCGAGTGTGTCCGTCTGTGTGAGCATGTCTGTCTGCTAGTGTGTGTCTGTCTGTCCGAGTGTGTGTCTGTGCGAGTGTGTGTCGGTCTGTGCAAGTGTGTCTGTCTGCGAGCTTGTGTCTGTCTGCGAGCGTGTGTGTCTGTCTGCGAGTGTGTGTCTGTCTGTGTGAGTGTGTGTGTCTGCGAGTGTGTATCTGTCTATGAGCGTGTGTGTGTCTGTGCAAGCGTGTCTGTCTGTGCGAGCGTGTGTCTGTCTGTAAGCGTGTGTTCATGCCTTCATCACTCCAGGCTCGACTACGCAAACTCTCTGCTTGTCGGCCTCCCCAACTCCTCCATCCACAAGCTGCAGATAATCCAGAACTCTGCAGCCCGTGTCCTCTCCCCCACCAGGGTCCGTGACCCTATCACCCCCATCCTCGCCCGACCCCACCGGCTTCCCATCACACAGAGGATACAGTTCAAGATCTCGGTCTTCACTTTCAAAGCCCTCCATGGCCTCGCCCCACCCTACCTCTGCGACATCCTAACCCCCTACCAACGCGCCTGCTCCCTCCGTTCAGCCAGTTCCGGGCTGCTCCACATCCCCCGACCCACCCGCCCCACCATTGGCGGGAGAACCTTCAGCCACTCTGCCCCCAACCTCTGGAATTCCATCCCCCAATCACTCCGCCTCGCCCCCTCCTTAGCTTCCTTCAAGTCCCACCTCAAGACCGTCCTCTTCAACCATGCCATCAGCCACCCCCCTTCCCCTCCCCTCCCTCACCCCAGCTCGGGTCTGAAATGCTGTGCACTGTCCAGCACCTTGGGACGTCCTCCCGACATGAAAGGCACTATACAAATGTAATCTTGTTGTTGTTGTCTGCGAGTGTGTGTGTCTGTCTGCGAGCGTGTGTGTCTGTGAGCGTGTGTGTCTGTCTGCGAGCGTGTGTGTCTGCCACAGACTAACTAGCAATCAAATTGAATGTTCCCAAGGATTGGGGTAACATTTACAAAGATTGTTCAGGATGGAAAAAAGGCCACTCGGCCCAACCAGTCATCCCAGTGTTTCTACTCCACACAAGTCTCCTCCCATACCCTCTATTCCTCTCTCCCTCCTGTGAAAGTCTAGCTTCCTCTTTAATGCATCTACACAATCTGATTCGACCAATACTTCAGGCAGCGAATTCCACAATCTCACTCGCCTCTGCATGCTGTTTTTCTGCTAAATAATACAAGGAACATATCAGAAAAAACACTGCTAACGTGCTCCTCTCCTTATCTGTTGCAGTCAGTGGCCCCCATGCAGACCCTTGAATCCCGGTTAAAACCAACTACCAGAAATCAACTCTGTGTTGGCGGGTTCCTAACATGGGGCATTGGAATTGATTTTTTTTAACTCAAGAAATTAACTTGGTTTAGGATTTCTTCAGACTCAAACACATCCTCCAATGTGAAAGACGCTATTATATAAATGCAGTCTGTTGTTGTACCAAAGCTGTGGGGAGGGGAATCTAATTCCATTTCTCAGTCTATATAAACCCCCAAAGTGCATCAGTGACAGTAATATCTTGACTGATTGGGGAAACACTATAGATGCCCATTAAGTACATAGCAATGAAAGCTCCAGCTTCAGTCCCTCCCTGAACAGAGGTGTGACAGGTTTTTACTGTTATGTTTTAGGCAGCTCAAGCTGAGGACCAGCTACAACAATACTCCCAAATGGAGGAGGAACGTGTAGCAAACCTTGAGGCACGTGTATCTGAACTTTCTGATCTTCTCGGCACTTATGACAAGACCAAGCATAAAGATCAGATAACTGTTCAGAAATTGAAGGACCGTATAATGCAACTGGACATGGAGAACAAGACGCTAGCTATAGCGGCCTCCAGGAGAGCTACAATGGACTTGACCTTGGATGAGTCCAATCTCGACATCAATATCTTGAGAGACCGAATGGAGAAACTGAAGAAAATGCTGCTGTTGGCGATGGGAAGTTCCCAGGACATGCCACTGGACATTGAGAAGCTGTGGGAGATGGAGTTCAGCAGCACAGGGGACACTTCAGATGGAGAGAAAGCTTCCATTTTCTATTATCAGCAAGAGCTGAAGCAACTGAAGGAAGAGTTTGAACGATACAAAATGAGGGCTCAAGTCGTCCTGAAAAATAAGACAGTCAAAGACGGCAGCACCAGCAAAGAGCTGGAGAGTGTCCGTGAGCAGCTGTGTGAACTGAAGGAGAAGTATATCGCTTTGCGACTCGTCTGCGATGACATGGAGACCAAACACAAAGGTGAAATGGAAGCAAAGAGAATGGAGATTATCCAACTCCAACAGGCGCACAAGACAGAATTGGACAAGATCGCAGGCGAATGTCATAAGCGAGTTATTAAATTGGAAGAGGAAATGCATAAACACCGGGACCAGACAATGGCCGTCTTAGCAGAGAAGGATCGTGACTCGGAATCCTTTCGTTTGGGCTCCAATGTGGGACACAGCGCATGTAGTGAGAACAGGGGGCGTGGCTTAGATCAGGAAGACCTTCAGAACGATTTGTGTCAGGATATTCTGAAGCACACGGTTGCAGGGCCCAGTGAACCTGCTCTGCTTCACTACACTGAGCAGGCAGCTCGCAAGGAGCTTGAGGTAGTGACCCTCAGGAAACAGAAACACAAAATGGAAACTGTGCTGCAGCAGTGGGAGGACAATCTCTTGATGGAGAAGGAGCAGCACAAAGAAGATGTTGACAAACTCCAAGACCAGATACAGAAATGTCTGAGGGATAAGAAACGCGAAGGTGCCAACCTTGAGTACGTCAAAAATATAATCTATCGTTTCCTGACGCTGCAGGACACGCTCGGGCGGCACCAGACACTGACGGCCATTATGACCATCTTACACTTCAGTCCCCAGGAGAAGCAGCAGGTCCTGCAGCAACAGGGAGGCCGTTGGTGGGGATCTGCCAAACACTGACGTAATCTGCACTTTGTCTTCATTTTTTTTAAAACCGGCTCATCACTGAGTGAAGTTGACCGGAGGCTTTCTGAGGCCAGGGATGCTCTGCAGATTTACCAATTGGTAGGAAGTAAAAGCTCCTGAAATGCCTGGTAACTAATGACAATGGTTTACTTTATCAGGAGATGAAACTGATGTTATTACATCTCGTTAGACAAGTAGAAGTTCTGAATCCTGGCTTATTAGAGAAGCAAGACTGAAATGATTCTCTTGTGATCTGGAACCCACTTTTCACTGCCAGTAAATATCATCCGCTGTGTTTCAGCAACAAAGGAAAGTCACCTCTTCATAGTTCATGGCATTGCTTCTGACTGGTTTTTGTTCTTTTTTCTTTAGTTTGTGTTTATTTTATTGTCAAAAAGCACTTTGCTTCTTTACTGAAGATCTTGAGTCAGAATACATATCACTTTTGTAACGAGTTACAAAGAGCAGTTTATACTGAAGCTGGAAATCCCTGGAGAATTAAAGATAAATCTGATTTGATCAGATGACTTTAGGTCAGTCACTGCTTGATTCAGGACATTTCTAACTTGGTTTAATTTTTACTTTATTCAATGAAACAGAATTCATCCTGTTCTAGCGAAGGAGCACCCAGCACAGGTCACATCAGCCTCAGTCACTTCCTGACGAATCACTGGAAAGCAGCTGCTGCTGTTACGATCATGAAGAGATGTGACCAGTGTTTGGGGTAAAATGAAAACCATAAACACTTATTTCATTCAAAAGTTGTTGGTTAAAAGATTACTAAATCTTCTAACATTTGATTGGAATCAACTGAACTTCGTGAATTGGGGACTGAGGAGTCCACCAGCGGGCACCGCCCTGCCCTGCGCTCAGCGGGCCCCCCGTTGCCCTGTCCTCAGTGGGCACTGCCCTCCACTCAGCAGGCATTGGTCTGCTCCATGGCCCCTGCTTGCCCACGCCACCATCAGCAGTTGTGCCTTAGCCTTTCTGCCCTGAACCTTTGGAACCCCTCCACCTCGCTCCCTCACTTGCCATCTTCAAGTCCCGTCTCAAGACCCTACTCTTTGACTTCGGTCATCCTCACACTCACCTTGTCCTTCATCCCTCTTGATTCCAACCCAGCTTCACTGTCCGTTGCTTTGGGACGTCCTCCCAATGTAAAAGGCGCTACATAAATGCAATTTGCTGTTGTTGAGGGGAAATGTGAAGAAAATAAGGATTTCACCAGCTTTGGGTGAGATCTGGTCAGCAGCGGGCTAGGTGGAGGAAAACAGTCCTGTTCGAGGACCAAATGTGGTGATAGAAAGGACAACCGGGGAAAGAACCAGACACCAAGGGGTCGTGCACAGGTTCAGTCTGAAGGTCGGAGCTGCAGGTAAGAATATTGACGAGCCGAGGAGAATAGCTTCTACCTTGGCCATGTGGTTAAACTCCAGCAGTTGCCCATAACAGACACTGAGGTTCCCAAACCTTAGCTCTTCCCAACCTGCACCTAATTCTCTCTAGGTTTAGGTAAACAGGAGAGAAGTAGTGACCAGGAACTCTGGGTTTCCCATTCCCAGTTTGTCAGACATCAGCTCTGAACATCCCAGACACTCGGTCAAACAGCACAGGACACAATCCCAAAGAATGTCACTCACTGACACAAGGCTGAATTATACAAAAATCAAGCAAAGTAAGAAATTCGGTTAAAAGGGAAAATATTTTTTTTTTTTTGAGTTTTTAGTAACTTTTGTTTCGCGAAAAACAAATTACAATAAGTAATCTTTGCATTTGATATTTTACCTGACGTCTCAAAGTGCTTCACAGTGTAATAAGGGCAAACACGCAGCAATTTGTGCACAGCAAAGTCCGACAAACCGGCACAAATTAGGTGACCCACTGGATAATCAGAAGGATTGTTGGTTGGGAAACCAGGAAAAACTCTTCTCCAAGTGTTGTAGAACTTTAACATTCATCTGAACAGACAGATGGGACCTCAGTTTAATAATAATAATCCTTGCATTTGATACAGCGCCTTATCATGTCTCCCTGACGTCTCAAAGCGCTTCACAAAATATACTGTAGAGTGAATTAACTGTTTAACATCTCATCTGAAAGGACGGAACCAACGACAATGCAGGTGTTTCCTGTATACCACTCGTTCACACAGTGAAACGTGCCCCCTGAAGCAATGTGCAGTAATTGAACACTCCTCACACACCTGAAAAGCCATTGGATCACTCTCTGGACCAGAAGACAGTGTCCACAGCTGCTGGAGCAGGTTAAAGGTCACTGTTGATGTGTGGGAGCTGAGCCAGGCTCAGTACTGCTGCAGGACAGCCTGCAGATCCTCTGGGAGTGAGCTGATCACCGTGTTTATGTATGACTCCAACTTGTGCAGTAACTGCTGGTTGACTGGGAGGTGTTGGATCCGTGCTGTTTCCTGGGGAAACACATCAGCGCAAGAAAGACACAATCAACGTTAGCTACTCTCATTGTGAAAATAAAACCTGCAGCATTAACGAGAGGACTGCAGTGTGTCTCATCTCATCCCAGTTGTCGTCTTCACGTTCAAAGATCTGCTCCCTGCCTTTGTAACCTAACCTTTCTCTCAACAAACTCTGGCCAGCTTCATGCCCTCAACCCACTTTCAGCTATTCTGCCCCACTTTCTGGAATTCCATCCTTGAGTCCCTTCACCTTACCCTCTTAGGGAGTGGGGAAGGTTAATGCAGAAATTAATAAAACAGGGTAACATTACTGACTGCAGGAACAAGGAGACTTTACCAATTTTTCCCGCAGTTTTAGGACCAGGTCCACGATTTCCACCTCTGACTTGTCTCTAACCCACAGCAGCAGATCCTGGGAAACAAAAATAGTAAACGTCAATAATAACTATAAGCCACAACTGAAGCTTGTCCACAGGTGTCTGAATTGTCAGTTACTTCCCGCACCAGGCTCCGTGACTCTATCACCCCATCCTCGCCCAACTCCACTGGCTTCCCATCACACAGAGGATACAGTTCAAGATCCTGTTCCTCACCTTCAAAGCCCTCAGGGTCCGAAACACTGACTGTCCTGCGCCTTGGGATGTCCTCCTGACGTGAAAGGCATTATTCACATGTAATTTTGTTGTTGGAGTATGACTCGTTCCAAATCAATGTGTAGCCACTCCTTCCTTGCCTCAAAAAACCCTCCTGAAGACTCTTCTAAAGATTCAATTTCAGCCAATATAATGGTTTGTTGCTCATCTACTTACTGTCTCACATAACACTTCCAGGTGCAGGGTCTGCAACTTCCTGGCCATTTCCTGGTGTCGCAAACGAAACCAACCATCAAAGTTCGGAGACTTGAAGAAACGCCTGTCAATTAAAGACCAACACAATTCCGCTCGGAATCGCAGAACAACAGCCCCTATTCCCATTGTACTAACAACTAAATTAGGCAGGGGGAGGACTGGGCGAGGCAATGCAGGGCAGCGATAGGGATGGCTGGGCGGGGCAGGGCGAGCACCTTGGGCTGGGATGGCGTGGGGCAGGGCGGGGGAGAGCAGGAGGAGGGCGGGAATACTAAGGTTCAGGACCTCTGTTTTATAGCCACCAAGGACGTGTGTAGGAATGTCAGGAATGTTGCAGGTGTCGCTGGTGGAGGAGAATAAGGAGAGGAGGAGGAGAGCTGGGGGAGCAGAACAGCCAAAGGTGGTCGTTCATGTGGGATAAGCCTCTGAGACACCGCAGGAGAGCGCAAATGCAAGTTGTTGTTGAAACGTGATGATAGTAGATGGCAATCCTGCAAAGGGTGCTAGATTAAAGAGCACAAAGCTACTAATCTCGATAACAAATTGCATTTATATAGCACCTTTTACATTGTAAGGCTGGCCCAAGATGCTGGCCAGTGAAGGATTTGCATCCGAGGTTGGAGTCAAGAGGGGTGGAGGGCAAGGGGTGTAGGGATGGGAAGGGGTGGTCAAAGAGGAAGGCCTTGAGTTGGGACTTGAAGGAGGCAACGGAGGGAGCGAGGCGGAGGGTCTGTGGGATGGAGTTCCATAGGGTGGGGGCTGAAAATCTGACCGCCGATAGTGGAACAGACAGGGCTGGGGACATGGAGCAGGCCAGTACCCACCGAGCAAAGAGAGCGGACAGGTTGGTGAAGGTTTAGTAGGTCACAGAAATATGGAGGATCAAGACAGTGGAGGGGTTTAAGAAGTTGGTAAAGATCTTGGATATATGAAGCGGCCAGCCCACCTGTAAAGCCCGACCCAATCTCCTTTCAGCACCGATGTCAGCTGGGGGCCAGCGTAGTCCAGTGTCTTCATGAACTCCTCTTGGTTGAATGGTCGGATCTGAGGTGGATTCTGTTGGAAGTGGATAGAACAGAATAAGATGCTAACTTGTTTCAGTCAGAAACATTATCGCTTCTGTGTTAGAGATCAGTCTAAGCTAACACTCTAGTGCAGCGTCAGGGTGCCATCTTTCCAATGAGATGTTAAACCCAAGTCCCATCCTCTGTTCAGGTGGGAAGGAGTAAGAAGTTTCTCCTGTGTCCTGGCCAACAATCCTTCAGATACATTGATCATTTACTTCATGAATATTTGTGGGACACTGCTGCTCGCAAATTGGTTGCCATGTTTGTCTATTAACACATTCACTACAGTTGACAAACATCAGCCAGGCTGCTTGGCCTGTCATCAGCAATGCCCTATGGTACTGCTAACCTGCCTGGCTCAGGAACCAGACTAGAAACTGCTACAGAGGATGGTCTAGATTCCCACATTCCATCACCTTTATACCCACAGCAAGATCCCCTGCATGAGGGGAGCTATATAAATGCAAGTTGTTGTTGAAGTTGTTATAAGCATTTATGACCCTAAATTAATCTGACCCCCCACCTCTTGGCTCCCACTCCAGCTCAGGTCCCCAGCCAAGTGCCTTCGCATCAGGTTGCATTTATATAGCGCCCTTCACGCACTTGGCAAGACCTTCCCATGTGACGTCCACATGTCTCTGACACGAAAGGAATTATTTAGCAGCAACTACTGGAATCCCAATGGATTTCCCTTTTTACCTGTTTATAGTTTCTTTTCAAATTGCTACCCAGTTCCCCTTTCAATGCTGTTATCATGTTAGCCTCATTAGCTCAACTACAAAGCTAAACTAACACCAAGGATCTTCCATAGAGATTGGATCCTATTGCGATGAGTGGACATGTTTTGTAGGTGCTCACTTACAACACAGTCACTACACTTTACAGTAAATCCGGTGAAGCGCTTTCAGTCTTCCCAACGTGAAAGGCGCTATATAAAATGTAATTATTATTCTGGTTCAAATTACAACAGAATTTACATTTATACTGGGCCTTTCACAATAGGAGGAGGTTTCAAAGCCTTAACAATGCCCAATGGGTTAATATTATATTAACAAGACATGAAACTATGTGTGAAAGAGCCAGAATGACAATGGCTGGTTTTACCTTCCATGCTGTGATTGTTCTCTGGAGTGGCATCAGACTGGCCACATACCTCTCCTAAGAGCCATAAAAAGTTATATTAATAGCAAAATATATTGGGCTCCATACAACAGTCAGAAAAGCAATGAGATTTCATATTCTTTAGCTCTATTCAGAGAGATTTTCATATATCTAGCTTCAAATCTCCATAGATATGTGAGCAATTATGCCACTCTTGTGTAATGGACAACAAGAGCAACTTACATTTTTTTGGCACGTGGGGTAGCGTCTTGCTGCGCTGTTAATAGCTATGATATTGTTAATAACAATAGTTAACAAGATAAAGACTAGATAACTAGCCCCAGTACTGCAGCTTGTCAGGAGCTCCCCAAGTTCAAACTCTCTTGAATAGATGTGAGGAAGGTCCACGTTAGAGGCTAAGGTTAAGAGAGGGAGAAATAACGATGGCCCATTGCCCGTTGGACTCAAAGCCATGTTGGAGATGCTGGAGGAACTGTGGTGTTCAGTGCTACCTCCCGGGGCTTTGAACCAGTCGTTACTGATCATAAGAAAGAGAATAGCACGAGACAACCAGGGACAAGCTCACAACAAAGTTTTCAACAAAGTAATTAAAACAAGCTGAGTGAGTCCATCAACCCCGAGCTCCACCAGCTCCCGATACCAAGATTCTTGTGCTAACCTTCATGTCCGTCCACAGATTAACCCCACCTGAGTTTTGCTCTCTCCACCCTGCTCCTTTTGTTCTCCTCTACTCTACATTGGGAGCTGAGCTTTCAGTCACTTTCCAGAACTCTCTCCTCAAATCCTTTTCACTCAAATCCTATCGTACTGCATTCAGACCATGCATTTGACCATGTCTTCAGTCACCTTCCCAAAGCCCTCAATCCTTCCCACTTTGTAAATGTCACACATCAGCCCATGTGAACACCAATAACTTGTATTTATATAGCGGCCTTGGCGCGGAGTAGGTCCCAGAGCACTTTATAGTGAACGTCACTACATAAGTGCAAATAGTTGTACAGTGCAACCCCATTGTAAGGTTATATTGTGGTTAGGTTATAACCTCATTTATTGCAAAGTCATGGAGCCCACATGACCTTCATGCTTTGCGTTACCTGGCCAAGATAACCCACTTTCCCAAATCCCTTCAAGCCTTTAACCTTTACATTCCTTATTATTTTTATTCACACATTATTTATGTACTCAGCAAAATAATCAAGCTATGGCTCTGCTACAATTGCACGAGTAGATTTTACCAGAGGAATAATGAAACTTTGGGTCAGTTCCAATACGTGTCGTCGAAGAATGGCATTCTGTGCTTCTTCAGGCCTTTTCCTTTGAATTCCCTGAAATAATTATAGGCAAAGAAACAACATAAATTGTTTAGTCCTTTTAACATCTCTCGCAATTGAAAATCGTAACAAAAACATCTTCATACTGTGGTCGTATTGTTTTCTTTTGACTGTCAGACATATCCTTCAGCTTATATTAACAACCCTTAGATTTGATACAGCGACTTTAATGTTGGGAGGTCTCAAAGCTCTTCACAGGATATAATGTAAAGTGTAGTGACTGTGTGTTTTGCAGGTGAACAAAGCAGCCAACTTGTCACAGCAGAGACGCATAAACAGCCATGAAGTGAATAACCAATTTTATTTAGGGGGTTTGTTGGCCAGGACACCAGGACACAATCCCCCCTGGTCTTTTCCAATAGAGTCACAGGATCTTTAACGGCCACCTGACACCTTGGTTTAATGTCTCATTAACAGTATCTCCAACAACATAGCGAGATTGTGAGCTCAAAGTCACGATAAAAAGCTTGAATCCACAACCTTCTGACTGAGAGACAAGCAGCTACCACTGAGCTAGGGAAGAACATTTAATGGAAATCTTGCTGTTACAGTGGGAGCAGTCCCGCTTCAGTGACTCAGCATCTCAGCTTTGAGCACAGACCGTCCTGTACCTAGAGGATCAGCTATTCAGAATTATTTTCCAAATCTCCCAAATTATATCACTATATGGCTCAGGTGGACATTATAGCACTACATGGTTGCTGTATAATATGGTTGCCACATCTCATCTGGGTGCGTGCAAAGCTCTGATCAAGTTCCAGGGTCAATGATCAACCACCGGGCAATGCCAACATTATAACAGCAATTTACCTTCAAAAGTCTTTTGATAAGTGCCTTGTCCTTGTGAAGAAAGGTCTTGTAGGATGTGTAGATACCTAAATAAAAAGCAATTAAAGCAACAAACAGAAGGTGTCAGTTTGGCTCAGTCTGTAGCACTCTCACCTTGGAGTCAGAAGATTGTGGGTACAAGCCCCATGTTGGAGACTTTGAACTCCAGGTCTAGGCTGATGCTCCAGCACAGTGCTGGGGGATGGCTGTGTTGTCAAAGGGGCCAAGGAGATATAAAGTTTGTTCAGATGGGCATTAAGCATCCCATGACATTATTCTATAATAATAATCTTGCATTTGGTATCGCACCTTTCAAGTTGTCAAGGTTTCTCAAAGCACTTCGCAGGATACACTGTAAAGTGGATTGACTGTGGTATTTTGTCAGAGAAACAAGGCAGCCAATTGCGCACAGCAGTGTCCGAAACAGCCATGAAGTGAGTGAACAATTGTGTTTGCTGGATTGTTGGCCAGGACACCAGAGAAGGAGAAACTCTTCTGTTTTCTAATAGTGACATGGGGTCTTTGACTTCCACCTAAACAGGCAGACGGGACCTTGACTTAACGTCCACTTGAAGGACGGCACCTCCCACAATGCAACACAACTACAGAACTGCATTGGAGTGACCAAAAGAAAATGCAAATACAGGGGTCCATAAGCCAAGGCTCTTGCCAACCTATGTCTAACCTCCATATTATTATTATATGTGGTTTATATACATATGTGGAATATGAAGTTTGATTTGCAAATTGCTTGCCATGCTGATGGATTTCCAGGTGTGTCAGTCATTCGTTTGACTAAAAAACGTACAAGTTGGTCAAGCGCATTTCACGTGGTTCAGATGGCCCTTTAAAATACATCAGGTTGACCACGAGATGAAAGCACTATATTCTGAAACAAAGCTTGCATTTATATTGAATCAGAAAACCTTTCACAGAGTAAGAGTGAGAACAGAGCAGAATGTGAGTCAGGGGCTGGGGTGGCCAATCTATAATTCCCAACAAGATAAAGTGATCTATCTACAGTCCAATCCAATCAATACCTGGTTTTGTGTCCAGAGTCCTCAACTTTGTGAGTTTTTTTACTTTTATTTGTTTCGGCAAATCACCTGAAAATAAATTGGAGCAAAATGTAAGAGGTGAATTTAGCATGGAAACTACAACTAGTTGCATTTATATAGCGCCTCACACGCAGGGTAGGGTCCCAGAGCGCTTAACAGGCCAATTGGCCTAACCAGTCTGTGCAGTGTTTATACTCCACACAAGTCTCGATCCATTCATTACTCCCTCCCACACCCTTCTACCCCCTTCTTCCTCATGTGAAAGTCTAGCTTCCTTTTAAATGCATCTAGATATTGGTCCATTATACAGCAGATGTGGGGAAACAGATGTCTGTGATCACATTGCACAGATTAAACTGAATTATAAGTAATGACCATTACAGTAATTTTTCCACAAAATAAAATCCTAGGTAGCTTTCATTTTCGTGTCAAAAACTGGGAGAAAATAATGCAACACAATAAAAAAATGACATTTATATGTAACCTTCTTTTATATTAGCCAAATGTCTCAAAGTGCTTCACACAGCTGCCTGGCACCCAAGCTGGGGATGTTGGTGGAAAAAGATGCCTGGATTTGCCTAGAAATGCAAACGATATCTACTAGCAATTACTCTCGACAGTAATTACTGTCAACCTCCATGATGTTTCCATGTTACAGGAACAATATCAATCACAAGATTAATATTTAAGCTTCTGACCAATACTGAAGCGGCCTCCATGGCGTCTCCTCACCTGACATCTTGACGTCTCCAATACGGAGAATGTGTGGCCAATGTTGGAAAGTTTTGATGAAGAAAGGGTTGGTTACTCCCAGGACAACATTTGGCCTAATCAACACAACACATGAGTCAATATAGAGCCACGTTTCACCACAGCCACAAGCAGTAGAAGCTTAACACGGAAACAGAAACTAAACTGGAAAAGTCCTTGTACCTTAAAGTTTATTAAAACAATGAGTTGCCATTTAAATTGCCAACGTAAGTCAAACATGAATTACAGGCTGTCAACTGCTGATATTGCTAACAATCAGCTGTTTGAAGCAGGGATTAAAAAGAATTAAAAGGGAGGTTAGAAAATAAATCTTGAAATAGAGATCTTTGAGAACATGGAATTGTTGCCACAAACAGTAGTTGAGGCAAAATCCAGATTCTTTCACGAGAATTTTGCTAGAAGCTCGCAGGATAATTGCCAACGAGTTGCGACCAGGGTTCTCTGTGTCCTTGTTCTCCTCGGTCTTTCTGCCTTTCTGACTACCACTCTATCCTTCTCTATCACCTCTTCTCGTAGCTCTACCTTCATGGTTCTGTTCTATTCTGGCTTCTCTCTTACCGATCCCAGAACCTCTACTTTGTTTCTTCTAATGATTTACTCAACCCGTGTCCACATTTTTATCACATCCCATCACGACTGACCTCCTTTCTGCCCACTCAACTACCTGCGGCCTGAACTCAGCTGGCTCTGACCTCCTGCTTATGAACACCTGTAGCTCAATGGTTACAGCAGTTGCCTTGCAATTGAGAGGACCTGGGTTTGATTCCCGGGCAGGGCCTCGCAATTGAGAGGACCTGGGTTTGATTCCCGGGCAGGGCTAATCCCCACTATCTCTCTCTCTCTGCCCACTCATCCATCTTAGTTTATTTCTCTATTTCTTTCTACCATTCTCTTCCCCCTGTACTGAATGTGATTCAGTCCTTTGACTAACCTGCCAAGATCAGTAAGGCACAAACTTGGAGTAAAATTTTGCTGCTGTTTGAAATGAGGATTTCATAGAATAGAATCATAGAATCCTACAGCACAGGAGGAGGCCAATCGTGGACCTGTAACTCATTGCATGAACGTTTTGATAAGATCCCTTATCAGTAACCCTCCCACCACAGCCAATCAACAGCATTCCCCACCACAGCCAATCAATAACACTCCCCACCACAGCCAATCAATAACATTCCCCACCACAGTCAATCAATAACACTCCCCACCACAACCAATCAATAGCACTCCCCACCACAGCCAATCAATAGCATTCCCCACCACTGCTAATCAATAACACTCCCCACCACTGCTAATCAATAATACTCCCCACTACAGCCAATCAATAATACTCCCCACCACAGCCAATCAATAACATTCCCCATCAAAGCCAATCAGTAACTCATCAAACACACAAATGCACACATCATACACTGAGAGATGAGATGTTGCTACTTACGGAGCTTGTGTTCGCGTCATATACTCTCTGAACTCACTGTCGTGGATGGTGAAGTAAGGCCGATAGTCACAAAAGTACCTCAAAGGCGCAATACAACTACAATAGAAATAGAGGGACTAACAGGAGACGAGCAATGTAAAGTACTCATTCAGCTGTAGATAAAATAACCCATTTGATGGGATATTACTTCACATAAAGTAGGACAACATTAAGAGTTAACCAACATGTCATGTAGTTAAAAACCTGCATCCAACATAACTACATCATTTACAGACAAATGCTAGGTCGGTATCCATGATAAAAAGCGACATTATAAATCACACGTGCCAGGAAGTAACAACCCTCTGAGATAGTCAATGCCATGATATCCTTGGTATATGTTGGACATGGTTTTGCGCAACATTAAATTTTACACATTCTCAATTTATGTTCTCCATTGTCCTTAAACAATAAAATCACTTCAGGAATCAGAAACACATTTCCCCAGAGTTGGAACTCACCTGATCAAGGCCAGGATGGTTTCTGAAGAAACTGTTGGCGACGGTGCCATGACAATGACCGGCTCTCCCAGCAACATCAGCTCCCAAAGCATCTGGATGTGAATCAGGATTGGCTGAAAGCACCTACCCCGAGAGGAGAGAGCAAGACTTTAGCTTCATGAATCAAAATCTTTGCAAGTAGATTCATGTCACAGCTTCTCCATTACAGATGAAAAACACAGCCATCAGACACCATGAAGATTCTGAGAACCTTAACAGCAGAGAAATCTTTATTGGCCATTGTGTCGGTGTAATCCATTCAGTCCCATTTATCTTCCCCCCACATCGCCCCCACACACACCTGCCCACCCTTCCCCCCCCCCCCACAAAAACACCTGTCCCCCCGCACACACAAACACCTGGCCCACCTCCACACAGACACACACACCAGCCCCTACTCGCACCCCCCCACCACCTGCATATTCCTCTTTAGATATCTTTCTCCTTCCCTCTTGAAAGTTCATCTGGATCCTGCCTCGAACACTGCACCCAGCTGACATTCCAATATCGTCTGTAAAAAAAAACTCCTAACCTCGCCCTTCACTCACTAGCTCACACTGACGGCCTCTGTCACTATCTCACACTGACAGCCATCGACTCAATCAAACCTCCCCTTTCACAACCCCCATCAGCTCTTCCCTCAGCTTTCTCTGTCCCACTGACAACACTAACAACTGGTTGTTTCCTCCAGTCTCTGCTCGTGGGTCTCCCCCATCCCTGGTCTCATCCAGTAAATCTCCTGCAGCCTCTCTACGGCCTGCGTCCTTCCTACATTGAATGGCCAGGACTGAGCACAATCCTCTCACCGTGGACTAAGTACTGATTTATACAATGAGTGTGATCACCTCCTAGTTTATATTCAGTGTCACTTGTAATTCACACTGAATTATTTACTCGATCCCAACACCTTGCTGGTTGAGTGACCTTATTCTCTGTGGTTTGCCCGGGACGGCCATGTTATTGATGTGAACTCTTTACTGTAGGAGAATCTTACCTGAAGAGATCAAGTTGGTTTACTGTGGGGAGGACCAAGGGGGCAGGCAATAGATTCTGAACAACAAGAAACAAAAGTTTTTTTTTTGAAATTACAGACACGCACTTTGTCTCCAGGTACAATATCACAGATGTCCAATGAGCTGAGAAATGCTAAATAACCTTTGTTAGGTTATCAGTATATAAAGGCCCTCATTGTCAATCACATAAACCCTCATGTGGTCTATTGAGGTAATCCAGACAAGGCAAAACAGCTTGTCATGATCCACATCATCTATTCCCTTCAGAATCTTAAAGAGCATAATAATATCGCCCGTCAACCTAATCTTTTCCAGTGTAAATATGCCTAGTTTATCTAATCGCTCCTCGTTGTCCAGTCCCTCCACCCCCTCAATCATTTTGGTTGCCCTCCTCTGTATCCTCTCAATCGCCGTAATATCCTTTTTATATTGTGGTGATCGGAACTGCACACAGTATTCCAAGTGCGGTCTCACCAGTGATTTGTAAAGTGGCAGGATTACCCCACTATTCTGGCTCAATATTGCCATTTTAATACAGCCCAGCAACTGGTTTTTCAATTCACGTTACAGTATATTCTGTGAAGCGTTTTGAGACAATCTCAACAACATAAGAAATAGGAGCAGGAGTAGGCCATTCGGCACCTCAAGCCTGCCCCGCCATTTAATAAGATCATGGTTGATCTTCTAATCTAATTCCGTTTACCTGCCCTATCCCAGTATCTCTTAATCCCTCTATCCTTCAGAAATCTATCAACCTCAGTCTTGAATAAGTTCAAGGAGCGACTAAGCATCCAGTCTCTGGGGTAGAGAATTCCACAAATTTATTACCTTCTGACTGAAGAAATGTTTCCTCAACTCAGTTCTAAAAGGCTGACCTTTAATCCTGAGACTATGACTCCTAGTTTTAGATTCTCCAACCAAGGGAAACAATCTCACAATATCTACTCTGACAAGACCCCTAAGAATCTTATAGGTTTCGATAAGATCACCTCTAATTCTTCTATATTCTAGAGAATATAGGCCTAGTTTACTCAACCTCTCCTCGTAAGTCAACCCCCTCATCCCAGGAATCAACCTAGTGAACTTACGTTGCCACCCCCTTTAAGGCGAGTATGTCCTTTCTTAGATAAGGAGACCAAAACTGCACACATGATAAGGCGCTATATCAAATGCAAGGATTATTATTATTATTCCAAGATAAACCTAGAGGCCAAGAACAATCCCCAAACCCTCTTTTCCTTCTTCAAATCAGGTCTGACCAGCACTCTATATAATTGGAGCAGCTTCTCTTGTATATTCAGGAACTCTGGTTACAGAGTCCAATATCTCTTTAGTCTTATTGTTGCAACATTTACAAACTAGATGCCAAAATGCCTTTATTTAATGATCTTGGTTCTTCTCCATTTGAAACATATTTCCTCCCACTGCTCTTATGTCCAAAGTTTAATACCTCATACTTTGCAATGTTGAATTCTAGCTGCCATATTCCTACCCTTTTGCTTAATCTACGTCCCTTTCCATCTCTTATAAGAGCTCCAAGACTTTAGTGCGATATAAATGTAATTTGTTGTTGTTGTTATACCTCCTGGTTGGATTGTTTCAGGGGACTGGCTCCAATCTTGTCATTTTTAGATGGAATCCGTACCTAACGGTAAGCAGGAAAGATAAGATAAAGATTCAAATAGGCTAACAAAATTTCAGGATTAAGAATGTGTAAGCAGCAGAATTCACAAACATTCCTATGAAAAACATTCAATGCAAATCACATGAGATCCTGCATAAGAAAAGGCCAGGCAACTTATCAAGCCCATCCATCCCCAACAGTAGATACATGCCGTCTCCAACCATCCCAGTGTGTCCCATCCATCTCCAGTACCTCAGTGTTGTTATATTTCCCTTAAAATACTCCTATTTTCACCATTTTTCACTGTTCGTGCAAACTTGATACATTCTAGTCATTTCCCTGAATTCAGATTACAAAATCTTGATCATGTAAATCAAGGCCACCAGTTGGTCTATGCTGATATAAATCAAACAGAGACATCTTTCGAATGTACCTAGCAACCCACAGTTTACCTTTGTTTCCAATGTCCATAGTCACGCAATTAGGACTAAGATCTGACAGCTCAGTATTCCAAGGACTAGGAATAGTCCAGTATTTTGTGTAATTCTCAGACATGCTTTCTATAAAGAAAAAACATCTATATTGGCTCCATGAGTCAGAGCTTTGAGACCTTCTCCCGCTATACAAGTGTAAATTGTATTGTAATGTAAATCATATAATGGATTGAACTCATAATTATTAAATGTTGACTGCATCTATAAGGTAAATCCTGCTGTTGAGGCCCATGGAATTCTCAAGGACATCTTTACTCACAGAGTGTGACTGAGTTTAAATGTCACAAATCACTGGACACCACATAAAACTACTGCCAATCTGGCACCAATTGGCAATTGATATCAGAGATTGTATATGGACATACAGTCATACTGGTGTAACTGACACTGGAAGTTGAGACATGATTAGGGCAAAGCTAATAGGAAAGAAATGTATCCTGAGGATGCCAAGCACTCAGTTAAGATCCGTTGCACAAATTGACAAAAAAGGCCAGAGAAAAACATTACAATAGGTGAAAACCTTATTTTACATTAAGCATCATTCAAATTTACTTTTGTATTTGTTCTTTGAACTCTCTCTGACTGTTAACTTTATCAATCAAACACTGTACGCACAAAATGAAGAAGTCATGTGTCAAATCCATGTGTCCTGAAAGTTCCAAAATGACATTCTTTCTGTTGAGCCATTTCACACGGTTGATGTTACCTGAATGAGCACCCCCATGATAGGCAGACTGAGGACCTTCCCGGGAGCCGGTGAGGGCCACTGGTCTATCTCATTACAAACTGTGAAAAAGGACACAATTAGCTTTTACATGCAATTTTCCTTGTTGTGATCGGCTGCCAATATTCTCACCTGCTATTTTATTTATTTTATTTCCAGGGAACAGCTCCAATAACAACATGAATTCAGATGAGCAAACCAATAAGATTTACTTCTACTGGACGATAAGAACATACAGTCTGTACACGTGTGTCTTATACATGTGTACATGTCTGTGTATGTGTCTTATACATGTGTACATGTCTGTACATGTGTCTTATACATGTGTCCATGTCTGTTCATGTGTGTCGTATTCAAACAACCTCTCATTGGATAATAATCGTTCTTGCATTTGGTATAATGTCTTTCACTTCGGACAAACGTCCCAGTGGACTTACTGTGAAGATTAGTGACTGTGCATTTATAGGAGAACAACAGGCCAATAACATCAACACCTTGCACTTATATAGCACCCTCCATGCAGGCTAGCGTCTCAGAGTGCTTACCAGTGGTGGAGCCTGACTCCGAGCTGGTGGGAGGGGGTAGGTTACTGTAAGCATAGTCAAAGAGAAAGGTTTTCAGGCAGGACTTGAAAAGGAGGAGAAAGGGGGCAAGGCAGAGGGATTGAGTGTTCCAGAGTTTCGGGGCATAGTGGCTGAAAGCGTGACCTCTGATGGTGGGGTGGAGGGTGCGAGGGATGAGCAGGAGCCGATGCCAGTTGAGCAGAGGTGCCAGGTGGTGGATTGGGGGAGTGAGGAGGTCGGACAGGGAGGGAGGGGAAAGAGAGTGAAGGGATTTGAACACGATAGTGTGAGGAACTTGAAGTCAATTCGTTTGGGGATGGGGAGCCAATGGAGCCTGGGCCAGAACTGGTGAGATGTGAGCACGGAGTTTGGCCTGGGTCAGTATGCGGGCGGCAGAGAGCAGACAGCAATGTCCCACAAATAGCCATGGGGTGAATGACTAATATTATTGCATTCCTCAGGGCTCTGTCCAGATCATCCAGAACTCTACAGCTCATGTTCTCTCCCACACCAGGCTCCGTGACCCCATCGCCCGGCTCCATTAACTCCCCATCCCACAGAGGATAGAGGTCAAAATCCTCGTCCTCGGATTGAAGCCCTCCACGGCCCTGCTCCTCCCTACTTTTGTGACCTGCTAACTCCACATCGATCTGTCTGCTCCCTCCACTCAGCAGCTTGCAACCTGCTCTATGTCCCCTGCCCAACCCACCATATTGTTGGCCTCTCTGCCCTAAGTTTTTGGAACTCCATCCCATAGTCACTTTGCCTTGCCCCCTCCCTGGCCTCCTTCAAGGCACATCTCAAAATCCTCCTCTTTGAAGGCACTTCAATCTTCACCTTCCTATCCCTACCCTCCCTGCCCTCCACCCACCCACCCCAATCCCAACCTTCAGCTCGGATCCAAATCCCTGACTGGTGAACGTCTTGGGATGTCCTCCCGATGTGAAAGATACTGTATAAATGTCATTTGTTGTTGTTGTTTTGGGGGATTGTTGGCCAGAACCTCCTTTCTGTTTTCGGTAGCACCGCAGGATCTTTAACATCAACCTGAACAGGCAGATGGGACCTCGGTTTTAGCTTCTAATCCAAAGGACGGCATCTCCAACATGCAGAAATCCACCTGCACTACATCAGATATATGGATTATTTTATTGATCAAATGTTTAGCCTTGACAGTGAACTCAAAGTTCTGATGTGGGGCACGAACAGAGGTGAGAGTCCTGCCAATCGAGCCAGGCTATATCAAATTCAAGGTTTATTTATCATTACTACTTGGAAGAAACCTACAACATATTTTATGTTGATTTGAAGAACGCATTTTTATCATAGTTATAACATTGGGAGAGTTCTAACCTGCCTCGAGACAGGGCTCCAACTTCTCAAAGTATTCTGGTGCAACAAGATTTAGCAGCGAATGGAACAGGTTCACAAATGGAAGCTGAGAGATCAGAACCAGGGACTAGAGAAAATAGAGAAATATTCACTTATTACATAAAGTGTGAAAAAAAATCTCATCAGGAGCAGTCACAGTTTAGATTAATTCTAGAATCAGAGAAATGTCAGGAGGAGTTCACCCCATTGAATCTGTGCCAATATAGACTCTGCACTGCACACAACACCAAGTCCTCTCCACCCACTCCCCCTCAACTGGGTTTCACCATCAGACATTGTTAACCGTAAACATGCAAATCTTACGCACAATTAAGAAGTCTGTCATAGGATCTATAACAATAATTATTATTAACCTTGGCTATTTCATTGTCCTCAATACCAGGGTCAATCACCCTCCTATCCCCCAACCTAAACAGGGTCTTGTTCTGGTCAGTAAACAGCCAACCCCTGGGGACTGCTTCTGCAAACCACCATAAACGAGGGGAGCAGCACATTCTCATAGCCTGTGAGACACTGATCCTCACAGTGTGGGTGACACTGACCCTTGGTGTGTGTGACACAGACCCTCACAATGGTGAGACACTGACCCTCAGTGTGGGTGACACTGACCCTCAGTGTGTGGTACTGACCCTCGGTGTGTGTGACCCTCACTCACCACGGACACTCGCTGCACTGACTGCTATGGTGACTGTTCCCATTCTGAAACATTGTGGTGACACGGAAACTAGGGAAGTCACGTTTGGAACTAAAATCAGTGTTTAATTCTTGCAAAGAAGAAAATATTCACCCAATCAATAATAATAATAGCAATAATAGCACAGTAACACACATCCTCTTTTCCTTCTATCTTAGGAGAACAGCAGTATCTCCACACGCCGAACGCCTAACACCCACCACTTAACATCCAACACAGGCAGATGAGACCTTAAGACAGGGCAGCTTGGTGGTGTCTTCTACCATGTTGGCAGCTACTAAACAAGGACCTGTATCCTAACCTCCCCATCTTACTATCTTAAAATGATGTCCTCTAGTCACTGACTCACCAACCTGCGAAAATAATGTCTCCCTCTTTACATGATCAATCCCCCTCATATCCAAGTATTAATAGGATGGTTTTAGATTGTAGTTAAAAACTAGTTACCTTTTGAAAATATCCACGTTTAATCGTGTTGTCCTTGACTTGTCGAAAGTAGACATATCCATAATAATGTGCTGGATCCCGCTGAGAGAGAGAAATGGGGAGGGGCTTAGTAGCTGAAAGACACCTCTCACACAAAACAAAGACTCAACGACCTTGACAAGTGTAGTGGTGAAAACCGAATAAGAAAATAAGTGAATTACAATGATTAAAGTTATAATAATAATAATCCTTGCATTTGATATAGCGCCTTTTCATGTCTTCGAGACGTCTCAAAGCGCTTCACAGAAAATACTGTAAAGTGAATTTACTGTATATTTTGTGGGTGAAACACGGCAGTCAATTGCGCACAGCAGCGTCCCACAAATAGTCGTGGCTTGAGTGACCACATTATTATTATTTTTATTTACTTATTTAATTATTTTTGAGGGGTATTACCCCAAGAAAAGCAATCCACCAATCGACTAATAACCAGGTTCTTACTTACTGCTAAGTGAACAGAGGCATGTGGAGTAAGGAAACGTGCCCAGCGTTTCGCCCTGCCCGGGAACTGAATCTAGGTCCTCTCACTTGCGAGACGAATGCTCTAACCACTGAGCTACATGGCTCCACACTCTAAGGCACATTCAAAATTGCCAGTAAATGTTGGTATCGGCCCTGCAATTACACAGCCAGAAATTCCAGCTCGTCAAACTAGATCTCCCCGTCAGGCCGGCCAGTGTATATATGGGCCTTAAGAAGCTCTTCTGGAATGAAAAGCGCTAAATAAATGTAAACTGTACCGTATATAGAGGCCTTCGCACAGGACAATGTCTCAGATGCTATAACATAAAAAACAGGTACCAATAAACTGGCAATACAAGACACTGATTGTCTGCTGAGTCGTAGGAATCTTATCTATCTATGTAAATGCATCATACTTTATTTAAAATTGTAAAGCATTATTTCAGTTCCTGCAAATTCCGGAATAGTATTCATCACTCCTTCTGCATGTTCACTGCACTATTTGAAGAGTTTCTCCTGGTGTGCTAATCAACAATGCTCCAGATAAAATTGGTCATTCACTTCATAATTGCATGAGGGACATTGCTGTGTGTAAATTGGCTTCTGTGTTCACCTTCAAATAAGCAACCATTTCACATCACAGAAAATACTATGAAGTGCTTTTGGACATTTCAACATGATAGGGTATTCCATAAATCAAGGATAATTATCAACTGTAAAACTCAAGTGAGGGTCACATAAACACACAAGAGTTTGTGATTAAACGATCTGCCGAGTTACAATACAATTTGCACTTATCTAGCATTTTTCACAACGGCAACAAATTACATTTGTATAGCTCCTGTCACATCGGGAGTACAACCCAAAGTGTTTGGCAATTTTGGCTGGGCACGGGAGGTGAACCTCTCTACAGAGCAGCCCTTGAACCTGTTCCTATTTTACTATATCCAGAAATGGACGACATTGCTTTCAAAGTTTCCCTAGCTGTAGGGTGTCAAAGAGCGAAACTCATTCTAGGCGAGAGGAGGATAAATAATAATAATTCAATCAATAATAATCCTTGCATATCACGACACCATAGCAAGTCATCAAAACATCTCAAAGCCCTTCATAGGATTTTACTATAAGGTGTAGTGACTGTATATTTGTAAGCAGAGGGTAAGAAAATACACGACTTAATGTTTGAACCTGCAGAACAACCGGAGCCTCTTGATTATAATTGTCCTCCTCTCCAGGAAGCAACAGTTTGTGTCCCACCGACTGCCGAATTCGAAAGCTAAACTGTGTGTCTCCAAGGCAACCTATGAGATAAAGAGAGTAACGTTAACTACATTCAGCGCTGACTGCACTGTTTCCCTGGTTCCACCTTCCATGGGGCCAGATCATTTAGATCCACAGCGTGTATCTTCTCCAAAACCAGGTTCCACAAACTCATCACTCCCAACCTCGCCCAACCCCACTGGCTGCCCATCCCCTTCCCCACCGGCTCCCCAGCCCCACTGGTTCCCCACCCCTAGTTGAACAACTTTAAGATTCCCAACCTTACTTGCAATTGGCCCCAACTTCCCTTTATCCTGGTAGTTCCCTGGTCACCCCCTCCAGTCCAGCAACTATTGCCTACCACTCTGTGACATTGGGAGGCGAGCTTTCAATCATTCTGTCCTCACACTCTGAAATTCTCTTCTGAAATCCCTCCATCTTGCTCCCCCTCCCTCTGCTTTCAAACCTTCCACTGTATCCCCCTACCCCTCTGCCTCCCAGGAAAGACACTTTTATAAATGTATATTGTATAAGCGCTCTGAGACGCTAGCCTGCATGGTGGATGCTATATAACTGCAAGTTGTTGTTGCTGCTTTTGTTAAATGCCCTTATTCTGTCAGAACAGAAGAGAAGGTTTTGGGGGAAGCCAGACAAACCACAATGTTCTTTACCAGTGACGTACATTCCTGTTGCTAAGATTATAATAATCCTTACATTTGATATAATGTCTTTCACAATATGGGGACATCTCAAATTCCTCCCAACGCTAACTGTAAAGTGGAGTAACTCTGTTAATAACAATTATTATTATATTATAACTCTGGAGACAAACATTGAAGCTTCAATATAAATGTAGCACTTTGTAAAATCTAAAGATACAATAGTTCATAGAATGTTACAGCACAAGAAGCCTTGCCGGCTCGGAAAGAATTATCCATTTTGTCCAATTTCCCTGCCCTTTTCCCCAGAGTTTCTTTTTCAATATTTGTCTAATTCCTTTTAAAAACTATTATGAATTCTGCTTGAACCTATGATTTTCGGAACATTCTCCCAACCTCTTCTTGTATTTTTTGGTGATAATCTTAAACTTATGTCTTCTAGTTAACAATTCATAAAGCAGTGGAAATAGTTTCTCCCCCAAATTCCTCATAATGTGGACATGATGTTGAACCGAGTTCGTACCTGAATATGAATCTGGGAAAGACAGATAGCAGATATTTGTTTTCTGAAAATTAACGAAAACAGAGAAAAATGAGAATTAGAAATAATTTCAGGAAATTCTGGAAAGACACTGTGTAAATTTCAGTAAACGCAGGTACCTGGAATGTTTAAATATACAATGACTCACCATGTAACAGATGTCACAATAAAGGGGAATGGCAGAGCAGGAGTGGTGGTGGGGGGACAGATCATAAAATAATACCGTGGGGGATGGGAACAGTATATAAAGTGACACTGTTAAAGTGTATCAGAGGCTTCAGTATTAACAATAATCTCCAATTTAATATCGTGTCTTGGAATATTGTTGCAGTATCTCAATGCATTCACAGGATTTACTGTAAAGCGTAGTGACTGTGTATTTTGAAGGTGAATGCAGCAGCCAACATACACACAGATTCATCCCACAAGCAGCCATGTAGGGGATAGAATTTTTTTTCTCTTTTCAAATATCATCACAGGATCTTCAACATCCACCTGAACAAGCCACAGACGGACCTTTGTTTAACGTCTCATCCAAAGGACCCAATCCCCAGCCCTGCATTGGAGCATACCAATAAATACAAATCGCACTGTGTTTTGTGCGGTATCTTACCTCCCTCTCGGAAAGTCGAACATCATGGGGATACACAAGCTGGGAGACAAAAAGATGAATAAAAATAGTTGAACAGAAGAGGCATATTTCACATTAAAAACAGGACTTTACACAACAACACAACAACAATGTGCAGTTATATAGTGCCCTTCACACAGTGTAGCGTTTTGGAGCATTTAATTATTCAGCAAAATAAATTCTAGTTGGATCCAAGGTTATTCTGTTTTTTCCAGACGAATTTTAGTTTTTCAGTGACCAGACAGCCCCACCTGCCCCATATTTATCAATTTAATTGCCGCCATGTTCGACTACAAAACAATCACACCTCACAGTACATTCTATGTAGCGTCCTGAGACGTCCTCCCGATGTGAAAGGCGCTGTATCAAATATAAGATTTATTAATACCATGTTTTGCCCTCTGGAACTCCCACCCTCTACCCTTCCGCCTCACCCCTTTTCTATGTCTTTAAATCTCGCCCTAATTCCACCTCTTTGACTGCGCTTATTATCAGCTCCTTCTTGCACAACGCCTGACCCTGTCTCTGCGAAGTGCTCAGAGACATGAAAGACACTGTGTAAATACAAGCAGTCGGTTTCTGATCCTGAATTTTGGCTCATTGTTTTCTTGCTTTCTCTCCACCGGAGGGCACTGGAGGACACAGCCTGGTATACAACAACAACAACAAGGTTCCATTTATAGAGCGCCTTTCACGTCGGGAGGACGTCCCAAGGCGCTGTACAGTTGGGTCAGGACCCGAGCATTGGGGGGAAATGGTCAGGGTGAGGGGAGGGAAGGGAGGGAGCGAGGAGGGGGAAATGGTCAGGGTGAGGGGAGGGAAGGGAGGGAGCGAGGAGGGGGGAATGGTCAGGGTGAGAGGAGGGAAGGGAGGGAGCGAGGAGGGGGAGATGGTCAGGGTGAGGGGAGGGAAGGGAGGGAGCGAGGAGGGGGGGAATGGTCAGGGTGAGGGGAGGGAAGGGAAGGAGCGAGGAGGGGGTAGAGAGTCGAGAGGGGAGCTGAAGGCACTGTCAAAGAGAAAGGTCTTGAGACCGGCCTTGAAGGAGGAAAGGGAGGAGGCGGCCAAGGCACTGGGGGATAGAGTTCCAGAGCCTCGGGACTGAGAGGCTGAAGGCCACCGATGGTAGGGCGGTTGGGGCGGGGGATGTGGAGCAGACCGGAGCCAGAGGAACGGAGGGTACGGGCAGGTAAGTAGGGGGATAGTAGGTCGGAGAGGTAGGAGGGAGTGAGGCCGTGAATGGCCTTGTAGGTGAGGATGAGGATCTTGAATTCGATCCTCTGGGGGATGGGGAGCCAGTGGAGGTGAGCGAGGGTGAGGGCGAGGGTGGGAGTGATGTGGTCACGAAGCCTGGTGCGGGACAGTACACGAGCTGCAGAGCGGTATACAGACTTTCTGGCAATACCAATGTGTCAGCCTGGCTCAGTGGTAGCGCTCAGAAGGTTGTGGGTTCAAGCCCCACGTCAGGAATTGGATTCACATAGTCTCTCAGCTGACTCTCCAATGCAATGTTGGGGGGTGGGGGGGGTTATATTTTCAGATTAGACTTTAAACCAAGGTCCTGTCTGCCTGTTCACGTGGGCATTAAACATCCTATGGCACTATTCAAAAAGAGAAGGGATTATCTCTCTGCCTGTGTCCTGCCCAACAATCTCCCAAATAAAATTAGCCACTCACTCCATGGCTGTCTGTAGGACACTGTTGTGCGCAAACTGGCTGCACTATTAGCCCACAAAGTATACAGTCACTACACTTTACACTTCTTCACTTTAGTTGCTTCTCTTTGGAAAAGAAATTGCCCAAGTTGATGATTTCACTTGTAAGAAGTTTGAGAACTCTTACTTAGTTAAATTGTTTACTGTAGCAAATTATTTATACCAGGAATGAAGATACGCCTGCAAACATCAACACAAAAAAAATACTCCATGTGACACAGAAACAGCAATTCAGCCCAACTTGTCTGCACCACAGATACTTATTGAACAACTGAAGCAAATAGTATAACTGGGTCTGAAAGTGTGGTAGGAATTAAAATATGTTCAGGCTCTCTCAACCTTTACTGTTCATCAAAATCTCTGTCTGTCCGCCCGTGTGTGTCCGTCTGTCTGACAGTTTGGCTGTCCATCTTTGACTCTGTGTATATCTGTCATTCTCTGTCTGTGTGTCTGTCGGTTTGTGTGTATGTGTATCTGGCTGTCACTCAGTGCCTATGTTTGTGTCTCTGTATGTGTCTGTCTCTCACTGTGTCTCGGTTTCTCTCTCATTGTGTGTTTCTCTCTCACTGTGTCTTTGTGACTATGTACCTGAGTCTCTCACTGTGTCACAGTGTGTCTGTGTGTCTCTGTCTCACTGTGTGACAGTCTCAGTGTCACTGTGCCTCACCGTGTCTCTTAAGCGCTCTGAGACCCTGCCTGTTGCGGAGGGCGCTATATAAGTGTAAGTTGTTGTCTCTCTCACTGTGTGTCACTATCTCTGTCTCCCACCGTCTCTCACTGTGTGTCTCTGTCTCTCACTGTCTCTCACTGTGTGTCACTGTCTCTGTCTCTCACTGTGTGTCACTGTCTCTTACTGTCTCTCACTGTGTGTCACTGTCACTGTCTCTCACTGTGTGTCACTGTCTCTGTCTCTCACTGTGTGTCACTGTCTCTGTCTCTGACTGTCTGTCTCTCACTGTCTCTGTCTCTCACTGTGTGTCTCTGTCTCTCACTGTCTCTCACTGTGTGTCTCTGTCTCTCACTGTGTGTCTGTCTCTCACTGTGTGTCACTGTCTCTCACTGTGTGTCTCTGTCTCTCACTGTCTCTCACTGTGTGTCACTCTCTCTGTCTCTCACTGTGTGTCTCTGTCTCTCACTGTCTCTGTCTCTCACTGTGTGTCTCTGTCTCTCACTGTGTGTCTCTGTCTCTCACTGTGTGTCTGTCTCTCACTGTCTCTGTCTCTCACTGTCTCCCACTGTGTGTCACTGTCTCTCACTGTCTCTCACTGTGTGTCTGTGTCTCTCACTGTCTCTCACTGTGTGTCTCTGTCTCTCACTGTGTGTCACTATCTCTGTCTCTCACTGTGTGTCACTGTCTCTGTCTCTCACTGTGTGTCTCTGTCTCTCACTGTGTGTCACTGTCTCTGTCTCTCACTGTGTGTCACTGTCTCTGTCTCTCACTGTGTGTCTCTGTCTCTCACTGTCTCTCACTGTGTGTCTCTGTCTCTCACTGTCTCTCACTGCGTGTCACTGTCTCTGTCTCTCACTGTGTGTCTCTGTCTCTCACTGTGTGTCTCTGTCTCTCACTGTCTCTCACTGTGTGTCTCTGTCTCTCACTGTGTGTCACTGTCTCTGTCTCTCACTGTGTGTCTCTGTCTCTCACTGTGTGTCACTGTCTCTGTCTCTCACCTCAATCGCTTGTCCGAGCTCCAGGTCGAAAGTAACGACACAAACACATTCCAACCAGGAGGAGAAACGATCCCACGGCAGCGACTCCGGGAGCAAATCTCCGGCCACGTAACGTCTGGCGCTTCCAGTGGCCAAACTGCCGGACGCATCCATCCCCGAACGTCAGGAAAGGCCGAGGCCGCGCGGCCTACCCGGCGCATGCGCATTCCGTACAGCAGTGATTTGTATGCAATGTACAGTAGGGGGCGCTGTGTGTGTAACGTGTGTTCACTACCGCAGGGGGCGCTGTGTGTGTAACGTGTGTTCACTACCGCAGGGGGCGCTGTCTGTGTAACGTGTGCCCAGAACAGTAGGGGGCGTTGTGTGTGTAACGTGTGCCCAGTACAGTAGGGGGCGCTGTGTGTGTAACGTGTGCTCAGTACAGTAGGGGGCGCTGTGTGTGTAACGTGTGCTCAGTACAGTAGGGGGCGCTGTGTGTGTAACGTTTGTTGTGTCCTGACTTTAACCTCTGGGACTCTCTCTGTTCTCGCCCTCGAGTTCAAGTTCCACAGGAAAGACTCTGATAACAGGTCAAGTCTCGATTGAAGCCTTTTCTCTTAATTCTTTGACAATTCCAGGGGCTCCAAGAGCTCCAAGGGCTTCACGGGCTTCAGGGGCTCCAATGGCTCCAGCGGATCCAAGGGCACCAGGGGCTCCAATGGCTCCAGGGGCTCCAAAGGTTCCCTGGGCTCCAAGGGCTCCAAGAACTCCGGGGGCTCCAAGAGCTCCGGGGGCTCCTGGAGCTCCAGAGGATCCAGGAGCTCTAGGGGCTCCAGGAGTTCCAGGGGCTCCAAGCGCCCCAGGAGGTCCATGGGCTCTAGGAGCTCGAGGGGCTCCAGGAGCTCCATGAGTTCCAGGGGCTCCAGGAGCTCGAGGGGCTCCAACAGCTTCCAGGGACTCCAGGAGCTCCAGGGGCTCCAAGAGCTCCAGGGGCTCCAAGAGCTCCAGGGGCTCCAAGAGCTCCAGGAGCTCCAGGGACTCCAGGAGCTCCAGGGACTCCTCTCTCTATCGCAATCTTTCTCTTCTCTTTCACACTTTCTCTCTCTATTACAATCTTTCTCCTCTCTATCACACTTTCTATCAAAGTATTTCTCCTACACTCGCTCACTATCTTTTGCCTCTCTATCACAGTTTCTCTCCTTTTCTCTTCACAAACTTTCTCCTTTCTATCACACCTTCTCTCTATTGCAATCTTTCTCCTCTCTCTCACCTATTAGTGTTTGTGATCTGATTTGATGGTGTGTTTGATGGTGTCTCTGAAACATTCAATAGGAAATTCTCGGACAGTGTGAATGCTATAAAGTAATGAATTCTCTGTGAAGTCTCTGAACCAGCCAATAGCCAACAGCCAATGTGATGATATTGACTGTTTGCAGCTGTGAAGGGAGGACGTTCCCTTCAACTGGACCTTGTGAGGAATGTGATTCGCTCATTGGCCACATGTCAAACCTGAACCTTTGGGTATTTAACTCGAAGGCTGAGCTCAGTCAAACAATTGGAGGAAGGAGTCACCTCATCAACTCAGAGAGAGCAGATGAGTTGCTGGAGGTTTGTGGTTCAGAGCAGTGAAATGGTCAGTTTGTGTGTGGTGGCGCTTGGCTCAGGCTGGTCTTTCTATGGACTATATCAAGTAAGTCTGTATTTGTGGGAACTTTCTGGTGGGCTGTAAATTGTCAGTAATGTTTGTGAAGGGAAGTTGTCCAAACCTTGGATGTTGTCAGCCCTGTGAGCTTCAGAGACATTTGCACTGTCCACCTGCTCTTCATATAAATTGTAAGCAACTCTTGGCCAGTTTGGCTTCTCCTTTTATTGTGTAATTTGTCTCAAAAACAATTGGTTATGTTTCTCTCTAGAGTCTGTAGACAACTCCCATCAGAGTCTTCCCTCCTTTGCTGTTCTTTAATTCTACCCATAGTGTTTCTACAGCCTGATCACCTTTACTAAAGTCTTTTCTATCTACTAGTGTACTTCAGTATTATCCATATTGCTTTTCCCAATTTCCTTATCCTTTCTGAAGATCTTACAGCCTGGAATATTTAGCTTCCAGTAATTTCTGGCTTGTAGCCAGGTCTCTATAATGGCTACTACATCATATGCTTTAAGCTGAATTTGTGTTTTTAACTTGTTTTATTTTTATACTATGTGTATTTGTCACAGACACTTATTGGGGTAACTCTCCTCACTTGCCAATGTGCCCAATGGTGTTTTTGTTCACATTTTTGTTTATTTTCTTAAACTGTTTATCTTTCTGGAGAAACTCAGTTATTTATCACTTTTTGTTTTCTAACCTTTGAACTTTAAAGACCTTGTTGCCATCCATCTATTTAATGGAGATTGTAAACAACTCTTGAACAGTCCGGCTTTTCTTTTTATTGTCTAACTCGTCTCAGAGATGGCGATGACAGAATTGTTATGTAGAATTATTATTTTGCAGTGTTAGTCTTTAAATCATCATCTAGATTTTGGTCAAAGATGTCCAACTAGGAATCGTTTGGAGATGAGATGCAGCTGAAAACCATGGGAGATGTAAGTGATTAATGGGCTGAGCTCAGTTGCTCGGTGGAATCCTGTAGTTCACTGGTTAGAGCGCTCGCCTTGCAAGTGAGACACCTGGGTTCAATTCTAGGCAGGGTGAAATCTTGGATAAGTTTCCGTACTCCACAAGCCTAATAATAATTGCTCCAAAAAACAAAACAATAATAAATTGGTTATTTTCAATCCACGACTGATTGTGGGATGCTGCTGTGTGCAATTGGCTGCTGCGTTTCGCCCACAAATAAATAGTCCATTTGCTTTATGGTCCGTTCTGTGAAGTGCTTTGAGACATCAGACATGACAAGTGCTATATCAAATACAAGGTTATTATTATTGTCACCAGAAGCCAAGTCTGTACTAATGAGAACCAAAAACTGTCGACTGAAACCAACGCCCTGTTTCTCTCTCTAGCACCTTGGGATTCAAGGAGGGTAAGTAAGTTAAGTCTGTGCTAGTGGGAACCCTGTAATGACAGCAAAGGTTGTATATTGTTCTTTCCTGCACCATTCTACACTCCAGAGGTTTGGCAACACTGTGTGGACTTCATGCAGGATGTCTGACATCCAAACATATGAGTCTTAACTCTGGTTCGCACTGGAGGTTGAGATTAGAAGTCGTTAATAAAAGAGACTGGGGTTTGAGAGGGACAGGATGGAGGAGATCTTGCTGGATTAATGTGTTAAGCTCACAGTTTGGGTTGAGGGTTTAATTCATCGACACAGATTGTAGGAATATCAGAGATTGAAGATACATACTTTTGTTAGATGGTACCTGTTTAATCTTCGGATTAGACAGTGAATTTGCTTGGTTTTGGGTAATCTCGAATAGCTGTGTGAAGGTTGGTTTTGTTTGCCCAGAGCCAGTGTCTGTCCAGGTAGGTTCAGTTTACTGGTTGAGCATCAGTTTATGCGACAGATGGTTTGGAGCACTTGTCGATCATCAGTTTGTGTCCAAGTTGGTTCAGTGCAGGTTGTGAGGTAGTAAAGGGCTAATCAAAATAAGGTGAATGTTTGTGATCATAGAGAGGGGTCCCAGGTGCTCAGGATTGATTGGGTAAAAAAGTGTCTTTGGCACATTTGAGGTATAAAAGGGAGGAGGTGGAGATGAACCAGAATTGTTGAGGTTTGGAGTTTTCACTGACACTTGACTCTAACATTACTAATTATGCAAACTCTAAATTTCAGGAACTTGTAAGAGGTTTGGGATAATGTTACTCTATTGGTTACTGCCTCACAACCTGCAAAATTGTGAAGAGAAGGATCGCTCTTTCAGAGTGCACTTAAACATTGTGTAATTCTCACCCAGAGATAAAATACTGTGACAAGGTGTGGAGTCAGTGTCTGTTGAGGTTGGTTCAGGGCAGTTGTGGAGTTAATCCATGTCAGAATTGTTTATTAATGCATTTTATCCTGAGATTGGTTCAGTGTTGAGTTGTTTTGTGTCTGGGCAGGTTCAGTGTAGATCATGAATTGGTTAGTGTTGAGACTGGTTCAATGTTGGTAAAGGGCCTTTTAGTTTATAGCTGAGTCTAACTTAGACGTGTTGCACTACATTGGACTCTATGGAAAGTGAAAATTCCTGGAAAGCTTAGGGTGACAACTGAAGCTCATGCCCTATTTCTCTTTCTCTAGCTTCTTGAGACTCGTGGAGAATAAGTAAGGCAAGTCTGTGCTAGTGGGAACCCTGTGATGATGGCAAAGATTGTATCTCTTTCTCTCTTGCACTCTTCCACACTCCAGAGGTTTGGTAACATTATGTGGACTTCATGCAGGATGTCTGACATCCAACCACATATGAGCCAAACTCTGGTTCACACTGGAGGTTGAGACTAGAAGTTGTTAGTATCAAAGACTGGGGTTTGAGAGGGACAAGCTGGGCAGATGTTGCTGAGTTAACATGGTGAGGTGATAGTTTGGGTTGAGGGTAGAATTAATTGGTACAGATTGTATAAATCGCAGAGGTTGAAGTCCAACACTGTAGTTGGTGTAAGGTTTGATTTGATAACTTCTATTACAAGAGTTTGATCTGAGATCAGAGAATTTGTGTGTCGTTGGGTAATATAGTCTTTGTGTGAAGTTTAGTTTATTGAGCCAGTGTCTGTCAAGGTTGGTTGGGTTTAGTGGCTGAGAGTTGGTTTGTGTCGGGGCTGGTTGTGGAGCATCAGTTTGTGTGCAAGTTGGTTCAGCGCAGGTGTAGATTCAGTGACAGTGTCGAGGCCGGTCAAGTGCAGTTGTTGAGGTTTAGAGTCTTTCAGGCCTGGCTCAGTGCAGTTGCCTCGGTTCACTCGCTGCCAGGGCTGGGTCGGAGCAGTTTGCACGGCTGGTTTACTAGTGACCGGCAATGTGTAGCTGCCGAGAGTCAGTCACTGCCGGGTCTGGGTCAGTGTGGCTGCCACGAGTCAGGTTCTGTTCAGACTGGTTTAGTGTTGAGTCAGTTTATGCTACGATTGGTTGAGAGTTGTATTTGTCAGGGTGAGTTCAGTCCAGTTGAGAGTGTGATTGAGAGTTAGCTTGTCAGGGCAGGTTCAGTGTAGTTCGAGTCAGTTGGTGTCAGGGTTGGTTACGAGAGTCCTGTAGCTCAGTGGTGAGAGCACTCGCTTTGCAAATGAGAGACCTGAGTTCAATCCCAGGCAG